AAAGTACAAGAATTTGATAATGATGATTGGAAGGTAGAATTCTTATTGATTGGACTATTAATTGTTGGTTATTTTGCATCATTTCTTTCATTTATCGTTGAATTGGCTCTTGGAAAATGGAAGCAGAGGCAGAGAAGCCAATAAAATACTTTTTATTAGGTATTACAAGATTATTATAATTTATTTATAATTTTTAAAATTTATTAAACGTTTTTTTAGAGGAAGTAGAAAATTTTATCAATCGCTCCGAGTCTTTTTTTTTTTTTAATTAGACTCGGAGTGATGATTGATTAAATTTTCCATTTTCTTTATTATAATTTATGCGCTCTAAAGAAAGATACATGAGAAGCAAAAAATTATAAGTTATGTTTATGATAAACTTTATTCATAAATTTTTTAAATTTAATTTGTAAAAAAAAATTAATTATGTAAAATCAAAATTAGTTTTTATTGAATATTTTGGACTTAAGCAATTGTTTGCTTTGTCTATTTTCACTTTAATCATAAACAATAATCTATTTTTTGTTTTTCGTATCCCACTTTTCTTTAATTATTTTAATTTAATTTATTAATTTCTAATAATTTAATAAGATCTTATTTTTTGGATCGTTATTCCAAAAATATTCAAAATAATATTATTCAAAAAATTTTTTCTTTGGTATAAAAATCTAAATTTACTTAAAATTAATTTAAAAACTGTTTTCTTTCATTGTTTTTATAAAAGAATCAATGTATTTTATTGTATTTTAAAAATTTCTTGTAAATAATTTATTTATACAATCTTTTTTTTTTTTTAAATTTGCACTATAGGACTTTTTTATGATAAATAATTACGTCTATAATCACCGTCTGGTAATGGAAGTTTCTTTGCACAAACATAATAAGCCTTATCGTTTATTATTATTTCCTTTAAACAAATATCTGCAAAATTATTGATAAATAAATTTCAGTTAATATTTTTTTTTTTTAAAAAGAAAGCAAAATCGTAAAATATATATAAATTTTGATGTTATTATTAATTTTTATTGCTTATAAAACTTTTAAAAATTTTTTTTTAAGTTTTCTATTGAAATTTACCTTTGCCATCTTCATACCAATATTTAAATTCAATACTTGAATATCCAGTACAAATAAAATAGCCAGGCAGATAATTCGCGGGTTCTGTACAAATTCCTAAAAAAAATTGTTTGTTTTTAAAATTTGAATTATAAATTATGAAAACATATTTTATTGATTTAAAATTGTTTTTCTTTTTGAATTTTATTTTATTGTATTTCGCAGTAATATAGTAGGTAATATTATTTTATAATAAAATTTTGTTTTAAAAATTTTTATTTTTGCTTACAATTAGTAAAAATTATTTACTTTTTACTATTGTAATTCATTAGAGAAAATTTATTTTGAAAAAATTATTTTGCTTACTAGCTGCTTCTCTTTCGTCTTCATTAAGTTCAGTGGAACGACTTTCGCAATTATAATAAAAAATTGCAAATATAACTAAAAATGCTATTAAACGCATTTTGTTTTTTTTTATCCAAATGTAATTAAATTTTATTTTTTTTTTGATAATGGAACTATTTATATAGCTTGTAAATTACATTATTCATACAAAAACATGGAATTAAAATAATTGATTAAAATTTGCAATTTAACTACGTATAAATTATTATTTCCTCTATTTTTAAAAATTTAGAGAAAAAATTATTTTTTAAAATTAATTTTTAATGAAAAAGTGTTAAGATATTACGTTTTTTTTTTTTTTTTTTATTTGAACACCTATTTCGTCATTCTAAATAATTCTATTCAATTAAATCAATTTTTCATTGATTTGACACATTTTTTTAAAAAAATTTTTATCATTACACACAAAAAACAATTATAATAGAATCAATTTCTAACAGATGTGATGACGTAATAAAAAAATTTTTTTATAAAAAAAAGAAAATGTTTTCTAATTTTTGAATTTGACAATTGTAGATAATAAATAAAGCTATTTTATGTCACCATTCATATTTTAAATATAATTTATTCAATTGTTGAATAATTTAAATTCAATGACACTCGATAATGATATATATCGCGAATTTTATAATTTTTAATTCATAACGGAAATAGAAAATAATTTCACAAATTTATAAAAAAAAAAAAAAAAAATATTATCACTATTTTTATAGATTAATTAATTTTTCTTTTTGTACATTTTTTAAATTCAAATAAATAATAATTAATATATTTGAAAAATGCGTTTAATTGCTATTTTATTTATTACATTTGTTTTTTTTAACAATTGTCAAAGTTTGGATATTTCTAATTATTTTGAAAATGAAGACGAAGCTGGATGTAAGTCACAAAAAAAAATTGTTTTTAATTTGACAATTAATTAATTTCTCAATATGTATTTAAATATTTATTAAATTTCTAAATTAAAAAAAATTATCATTTATATTTTTTTTTACTTTCGATTAAGTAATAATAAATCATGTAAAAAGATAATATATATCTATACTGCATTATTATAATAAAAAATAAAAAATAAAGTAATAATAAATTTATTAATAACGAATAATAATTATTAAATATCATTATTATTTTTTTTTATTAAATAAAATAATTATTAAATTAATTGAAATTAAATTTATACAAAAATATGGTGGCAACAATAAATTTTTATAGAATATCAATTTTTTTAGATATTTAAATTTAGAATCTTTTGATTTTTTTTTTCAAATAAATATTTAATAAAAAATTAAAAATAAATCAAAATTTCAGTAAATTGTACAAGAGAATTGACTAGATATCCTGGCTATTACGAATGCACTGGTTATGCAAGTGCAATGTTTACTGGTCGTGTTCGATTGGAAATGGGTAGAGGTAATAATAATTATAGAAAAACTATAAATATACCTACATATAATAATTTCAAATTTAAAAAAAATTGTATAATAATTATAATATAATTAAACATAATTAATTAATTAATTAAATTAGTAATTAATAATAATTAATAATTAAATTAGTAATTAATAATAATTAATAATTAATAATAATTAATAATTTAATTAGTATTATTAGTTATTAATGTTATTTAAAATAATTAATTAATTAATATAATTAAATATAATTATTTTAAAAAAAATTTATTTATATTTTTTTATTTAATTTATAGATATTTGTTTGCAAGAATTAGTAACAATTGAAGGTGATACTTATTATAAATGTGCAACAACAGTTCCATTATTTGACGGATTACTTATTCATTAATTAATATAGGAAATTTATTGTAAAATTATTATTATTAAAAATTATAGACCGTGTGAAATAAATATTTAATGTTAATTTCAAAAAATAAAATATTTTCGAATTAATAATTATATTTGTGGTAAATTTATTTTTATTCAGTAAAATTGACAAAAAAAAAAGACGAAGCTGAAGTACACAACGTTTATGATAGACAATTTTTAAAGAAATAATTTTTTAAAATAAAATTTTTTAAATAATTTTTTGCCTAAAAAAAATAGTTTTCTATATAATTTGTTGATTAATGAAAACTACAAGAAATATTTTTTAGGCAAAAAATTATTTTAAAAATTTCATTTTAAAAAATTATTTCTTTAAAAATCGTTTATCATAAACGTTGCGTACTTCAGATTCGTAAAAAAAAGTTCTTTTTTTGTCATACATTCCCATCCTTGCATTTAAATAATTATAAATCGGGTGAAATAAAATAAAGAAATTCAAAAAAGGAATGAATTTTTAATAATAATTATAGATTTAATAAATATTTGCGATAAATATATATATATATGTTTTTTTTTTTAAATTGACAAAGAAAATTTTCATTTTTTTGTCACACATTTCTTATTTTTTGCATTTAAATAATTATAAACCGCGTGAAATAAATATTAAAATATTAATTTCCTATTAATTTTTATTTAATATTAATAAAATTCTAGATTTTTAATAAATATTTGCAGTAAATTTATTTTTAGTAAAATTAAAAAAAAAAATCATTTTTAACCTCTGTTAATATATTATACTTTCCCATCCTTGCATTTGAATAATTATAAACCGCGTGAAATAAATTTATGAATGTTAATTTAATTATTAATAATAGTTCTAGATTTAATAAATATTTTTAGTAAAACTAAGAAAAAAGTTTATTTATTTAGAAAGTTCGTTATTTACCTCAAGAAGACTGAAGATTTTTTATTTACCTCTTATCTGTGTAATACATTCACATTTTTGAATTCGAATAATTAAAAAAAAACTGTTTAAAGTACTTATTAATTTTAAACACTATTTAAACAATGTTTGTTTATTTTCCGATTTTATTGTTTAGTAATTGAAAAAAATGTTCGTTATTTGACAGTTTGTTTAACACATTCCCATCCTTGTATAAAATAAGCCTTAGGGCCAATATACAATTCTCTTTCTTAACAAACTGTCACACTTTAGAGTTTCCTCTTCGTAATTATAAAAAAAAAATTTAACAAATATCCCCGATAATAATTGAGACAAAAAGAATTTAAATTAAAGATTCTGTAAAAATTCTATCTTTTTTTTAATTTAATAAAATAAAATGGAAACAATTTACCATTGATGGATAATTTTCTCTTTTTCATTGTTACACTGTTACCAACAGTTGCCGCACGAATTAGCGGAAAGAATGGCGCCACTGTTTCTATTTTGTTTTGTACAGGAAAATGTTTGTTTAAAGGCCAAAGCAGAATAGATTCTTGAACGGGAACGCAACCGTGAACGGAAACGTAAGAATGAGTGAGAAAAGAATAAAGATATTTGTTATCCTTCTCTTACTCATTCTTACGTTTCCGTTTACGATTGCGTTCCCCTTCAAGAATCTATTCTGCTTAGGCCTTAAGGCCTAAGCAGAATAGATTCTTGAACGGGAACGCAATCGTGAACGGAAACGTAAGAATGGGTGAGAGAAGAATAAAGATATTTGCTATCCTTCTCTTACACATTCTTAAGTTTCCGTTTACGATTGCGTTCCCGTTCAAGAATCTATTCTGCTTAGGCCTTTACACTTTGCTGCTTATTTATAAGCGTTTAATTGTCTTTTTTAAAGTCTACTACTAAAATATTCAAGTTTAATTATAACGAGTGTAGAAAATAATCGATAAGAAAAAGAAAGTAGTGAGTGAAGTGAGCGCGTTACGCACGTGGAATTCATATAACATAACCTATAAAAAAAAAAAACATTCACTTTTAAATCACGTAAATTTTGTTCTGATGTTTTATTTATAGTATTTATTAATTTATATTCGATTTATATATATATATTTAAAATATGTCGCTGTTACTATTTCGTTTAAATGGAATACCAATGAAATTTCATTTGGTCGATTTGTCTAAAGAATTGAATATTCGATATACATCATTAATTGAGGTATTTACAAACTTATTTTAATATTATTTTACGAGATCTTTTATTTTAATACTATTTTTAATATTTTAATATTAATATTTTAATATTAATATTTAATTTGAAGTATATTTTAAATAAATTATTTTCCATTTTTCAATTAATTTTCAGTTAATTATTTTATTTATTTTTTTAATTTATTAAAAACGTATTTTATTGGAATTTTACTGTTAAATTTTACAAGTTTTTTTTTTTTATTATATTATAATGAACAATTATATAATACGATTTAACTTGAAATTAATTTTAATAATAATAATATTATTTATAAATTTTATTTATAAAATATTAATTTTAAATTAATTAATAAGGTTATTTTTATAATTTTTTTCGTAAACTATTTTTTTTTTTTTTTTTTATATACATTCGAATAAAATAAATAAATAATTTTTAGAAAAATGGAGGAGAAATTAGTGTGGAACCTAATGAGAAAATTCGTACCTTTACGTTACCTATTTTTTGCCATAAATATTCATTCATCTTTAATATTGAATACATCGATGATTGTTTGAAAAATAACAAAATTTTAAATATTGATGACTATTAGTAAGTAATATTTTTATGATAACAATTTGAATATTTTATTCTTTATTCATCTATCGAAGTAAATGTTTTATTTGTTTTTTTTTTTTGTTTCTGATTTTAAAGAATATTAAATTATTCTTTATTTATTATATAATAATTATTTAAAATTTTTAATACATTAATTAATAATTCAACAATATTTTATGATTTTTTTTTTTTAATTATAAATATCATAATTTTTGTATTATAATTATTTTATAATTTTTTTCTCAAGCATTGGCGATACTAATGTTTTCGCAGCATGTACTGCAATAATTATGGGAAGAAAAATTTGCACATGGTAAATAATTTATATAAAAAAAAAAAAAAAAAAAAAAAATGATATATACATATTTGATGATTTTTTATAATTTATGTTATATTTTCTAGTCGTAAATGTGGAAATCAACATATAAAAATTGTAAAACAAGGGAATAATTTAAATGAGGTATTTTGATTATTAAATTTTCACTTCATTATTTTTAAAAATTAAATTTTTTACATTTATTATGTTTTATATTTATATAGTATTTTTTTTTGTTTGGTGTTCTAAACATTTTTTTTTTATTTCTAGGCTCCCAAGAAATTAGTGGAAGTTGAGAAAATTGTTTTCAACTCTAAAAATGCGATTAACAATGAAATACAAGTATTTATTACCAATTTACAGAAATATAATTCAATTCAATTTTTTTTTAATATTAAAATTTTAAAATAAGTTTTAATGATTCTATTTTAAAAAAATTAAAAAAGAATTAATTAAATACTAAATTTAGTAATTTTTAGTATTTAATTATAATTTTTTAATTTTAATTTCTAAATTATTTATTAATAATTAATAATAATAATAATAATAAATAAATTCTGGAAAAAACACTGAAACAGAATTTTTTGTTTTCTCTATTATTTTATTAACATTTTTTTCAATTTTTTTTTCTATAAAATTTGTGTTAATAGTTAAATTAATCGTAACCGTTTTTTTCTGTTTTACATTTAAAAAAAAATAATTTGTAACTTATTATTTTTTTTTTTTAGGTTTCTAGCGTAGAAGAAAACATAAGTCGATTTTCTGATGACGAGGAGGTAAAAAATTGAAACTAAATTCTTTTTATTTTTTTCTTGTGATTTTTATTTAAATCCTTTCTCTTTAATCTTCTTTTTAAATTTTTTTTTCCAGTTTGTTTTTCAGTTTTGTAATTTATTTCCCTTTTTAGGTTTCTAGTGTAAAAAAATCGGAAATTATAATTTCTGATGACAATGAGGTAAAAATTAAATTATTTTTTTTTCTTATGATTTTTTCTTAATTACATATTTTATTTTTTGTTCGATTTTTCAAATTTGAAATTAATTAAAAAAATAAACTAAAAAACTTAAAATAAAAAATGTAAATTGAATTATCGTTTTTATAATTAAAATTTATATTATTAAAAATATTTTTTTTATCCTAGTATTAATTGAAATGAAAAAAAAATTTCTTTTTAGGAGGAAAATAGTTTTGAATATAAAATAGAATCGCCAACTATGATTATGGAAACAGAATCGGAATCAGAATCAGAATTCGAGTTTGATGTCAATGAAAGCGAATTAGAATGTAATATTTCTGATTATTCAAATTCAGATGATCCTGATTATAATGTAAAACGTTTGCCAAAGAAACGAAAAACGTATGTTAGAAAATTTATTTATAATTTTAATTTCTAAACTAATAAGGAGGAATAAATTTTAGAAATTTTTTTATATTCTTCATTATAAAAGCAGTTTAACTATTTTTAAAATTAAACCAAATGATAAAAAAAAAATAATAATTTTCAATTTCTTTTCTTTTTGCAGTTTACGTCCTAAAGTGGATAATTTAAAGCGAACAAGATATAATCGATTGCCAATAACAAATGTGAGTAATTTAAATTATTTACACAATATTTATTTTAGATTAATTTTTATTATAAAATTAATTAATAATAAATAAATAAAAAAAATGTTATTAATTATGTATTATATTTCTTTGATTTTTTTTTCCAGATTGTTGATATAAATTTACAAGATACTGAAAATGAACCTTCTACGTCAAAAATTGACAATGACTCCGAGGATGAATCAGAGTTTGTTTTTTCTTTAATAATGTTTTTTTTTTAACAATTTAATAATTTAATTTTAATAATTCTTAACTAAAGAGTAAAATTAAGAAAATATTTTCTAATAATTTTTTATGAAATGTAAATTTAAAAAAAAAAATTTTTTTTGAAACACACAGTGATTCATCTGAACCAACAGTAGATTTAAAAGAATGGGCCAAAAAACATGTTGAAAATGTTGAGAAAGATAAATTTGGATATCCAAAAAAGACTCATATTGGATTCAGTGAAGAGGAAGATTTATTATTAATTGATTTAATCGTTAAAACTAAATCAATATATCGTACCAAGGGTTCATTAATTTGGATTTATATTAAGAATTTAAAGGTATATTCATTTCAAATTCTGCAAATTTTTAATTTTTTTCTTTTCATATTTTATTTTTATATATTTAAATAAAACTAAAAACAATGTAATATAAAATAAAAAAAAAATTTATCTTCTCAATAATATGAACATTAAAATAATAATTATAATTTTCAGATTTTTCCAGAAGATATAACTGATGAAATATTCAAAGATCATTTTAGAGCTAAAATTTTACCTAACATTGAGAAATATAATTTAAATAAAAAAATTGAAGAAAAATTTATCGACTACAGAACTTTTGGAAAGTTGGTTTGCAAAAAGAATTTTATAAAAATTATATATATATATATATATATATATATTAACATTTTTATTTTATTAATTCAATTATTTGTTTTTAGAATCGCTCGTAAATATCCAATGAATGATTTGAAAAAATGGGCATATGAAAAGACGAAAAATTTGAAAAAAGATGAAAATGGATTTCCAGAAGGCGAAAGTTTATCATTTGAAAAGTGGGAGAAAAGAATGATTATCGATTTTTTGATTAGAATAAATCCAGCTTCTAATTTTAGTATTTTGTTGTGGGACATAGCTTGTATGCTTCGTGTAAGTTTTTGAAAATTTTTCCTTTTTTTCTTATACTTTTAATTTTCTTTTTTTTTTTTTTTTTTTTAAATTATTTTTTAAAGTAAAAATGATTTTGAACCTTGAAAAGGTCGTTGATTTTTTTTTTTTCTTCAAAAAATTACTTGATACTGTGTTATTTCTTTAATTTTCATCAATTTTATTTTTTTTTAAGCTCTTTCCAGTTCATCGAACAAAAGAATCTATTCAAAATGAATTGAAATTTAATATTTTGCCGAAAATTGAATCATTTGATTTAGCTGCGGGAGCGGAGGCTATATTTCTACGATTAAAAAAGACAGCAAGGTGTGTTTTATATTTCTTTTTTAATAGTAAAATAATTAAAAAAAAATGTTGAAAATTAAATTTACTATAAATTTCTTTTTTTTTTTTCTTTTTTGTAGATTTAATTTGTCGATATCGAGTGATCTTAGAAACTGGGCCGAGGAACAAACAAAAGATATGGAAAAAGATCATCTTGGTTATCCACTAGCACACAATAAATTTATACAAAAATGGGAAAAGGAGATGATGTTGAAATATTTATTAAAAATCGATAATATCCCACAGGCTTGTATGCCGACAACGTGGTCTCGTGCTGTTAATTTAAAAGTAATTTTTATATTATTAAATCTGTTTGCTTTTCTCTTTTTTTTTAATACTAATGAGGCTAAAAATATTTATTTTTGCAGCTATTTCCATTAATAAGAAGAGAAGATGGTTTGAGAAGTATTATGAGAACAGAAATTCTTCCTGATATTGAAAAATTCAATATGCCAATGGAAAAGAAAGAAGAATTTATTAAATTAAGAAAAAGTATACGGTATCTAAATATTATTTTCTACTTTAATTCCTAATTTTTTTTTGTTTTATTTTCATATTTTATCTCAATTATTTATATATTTAAATTTACTGTTTTTTTTTTCGCAGTACATTTTGGATTCCTACGGAAAATATGAAAATATGGGCGGAAAATATTTCAAAAGATAGAAAAAAGGACAAATATGGATATCCAATATCGAGGTCTAGAAAAATTGAAAAATGGGAACAATATCTTATTATTGATTTTCTTGTAAAATTTAATTTAATTCATAAATGCAAACAAAAATTAGTCTGGAAGTTGGCGTACAATTTAAAAGTATGTAGTTACAAAAAATTTATCACAAAAAGAACATTTTTTTTTTCAATCAAAAATTTTTTATCTTCTTTCTAATTTATTATATTTTAATAATTTAATATGTTTTTTTTTTATTATTATTATTATTATAGATTTTTCCAAAAGAAAGAACAGTTTATAATTTATCGTTTGAAGTACGTAACATTATGTTGCCAATTATTGAAACTTTTGATATTCCCAATGAAGTAAAAGTTGAATTTTTAAAAGTGCGAAATCCTAAAGGGTAATTGATTTTTAATTTTGCGTTTTTTTTTTTTATTATAAAATGATATGAAAATAATTTTTGGTTTTTTTTTTTTTCATTTTATACAGAACTGTTGAAGGATTTTTAGAACCCACGGAACATTTAAAAAAATGGGCAAAAAATGTAACTAAAAACTTGGATAAGGACTCTGATGGATATCCAATTCAACAATCAATGAGGTCCATGTCAAATATTGAAAAAAAAATTTGTGTTGACTTTCTCGTGGAATCAGAGAGAATCCATTTGAGCTTGTCTCATACAACGTGGGAGCTTGCATTTGTTTTAAAAGTATAATATAATTTTAAAATACTTTAAATTACTATTTAAATATATAAATTTTAATTCGTATATATATATATATATTTTTTTTATTTATATATAAATTTTTTTAAAGACTATTTAATTTAAAAAAAAAAAAAAACTTAATTCTCGTTTATATTTTTTTGTTTATTTATTTTCTATTTTGCAGTTACTTCCTAAATGCCGATCAACTAGAAATATGCGCACGATATTTAAAAGATGTATTTTACCTTCTATCAAGCAATATAATTTACCGCGACATATTGAAGAAGAATTTTTAAAACTTACAAAAAATAAGAAAAGTAGAAAAAAAAAATCTCGTCCATAATACAGGTAAATTTTTAATCCTTCTATTAAAATACAATGTGTGTTTTATTTTTAATTATTCAATTTTTAAAGATATTTATAAAAGACCTTTTTTTTATTTTTTTATAAAAAAAAGATAATTTTTAATTATCGTTTTTGTATTTTTTCTTTTTTAGTATTTAATTAGTTTTTTTTTGTTTTTAATTTTTTTTTTTCTCTTTTATTTTTCTTTTAATAAAAATTCTAAATTCGCAAAATTGTCTTTTTTTTCTTTTAGGTACTGATCAACAAATTTGAATGAATATAATTCAAATATATTTATTAAAAGAAATGTTTTTCAAAATCGTGAGTAAAATATAATTTATCGTAATGTATTAATAAAAATTTTGTAATACTGAAAAAAAAGAGGAAAAAAAATTTATTTTCAAAAAAAAAAAAAAAAAAGGCAAAATTCTATGTGAAATCACGTTGAATATTTATGTTTGTAAAAATAATTTTTTTGTATTAATTAAAAAGAAGATTTTTTTATTTTCTTAAACATTGATTTTTTTTCTCTCCTTTTATTATGTCATTTGTTTTGTTTTTTTTTTAAATATCTAATTAAATTTTTACAATTTTTACAGAAAAAATTAGTATTTTACAATTAAATTATTTTCAAAATTTACAATTTTTTGGAAATTACAAAATTTTTTTTATTTATTTTACTTAATAAGTTTAGAAAAATTTAGAAAAATTCAAATTATGAATTTTTTTTTCAATTTAACATCAGGCGGATTTTTAAAAAATTAACCAATATAAAAAAAAAATTTAACAAATATCCCGATAATAATTCAGACAAAAAGAATTTAAATTATTAAGATTCTGTAAAAATTCTATCTTTTTTAATTTAATAAAATAAAATGGAAACAATTTACCATTGGTAGATAATTTTCTCTTTTTCATTGTTACACTGTTACCAACAGTTGTCGCACGAATTAGCGGAAAGAATGGCGCCACTGTTTCTATTTTGTTTTGTACAGGAAAATGTTTGTTTACACTTTGCTGCTTATTTATAAGCGTTTAATTGTCTTTTTTAAAGTCAACTACTAAAATAATTAAGTTTAATTATAACGAGTGTAGAAAATAATCGATAAGAAAAAGAAAGTAGTGAGTGAAGTGAGCGCGTTACGCGCGTGGAATTCATATAACATAACCTATAAAAAAAAAAAAACATTCACTTTTAAATCACGTAAATTTTGTTCTGATGTTTTATTTATAGTATTTATTAATTTATATTCGATTTATATATATATATATATTTAAAATATGTCGCTGTTACTATTTCGTTTAAATGGAATGCCAATGAAATTTCATTTGGTCGATTTGTCTAAAGAATTGAACATTCGATATACATCATTAATTGAGGTATTTACAAACTTATTTTAATATTATTTTACGAGATCTTTTATTTTAATACTATTTTTAATATTTTAATATTAATATTTAATTTTAAGTGTATTTTAAATAAATTATTTTCCATTTTTCAATTAATTTTCTGTTAATTATTTTATTTATTTTTTTAATAAAGAATGTATTTTATTGAAACTTTACTGTTAAATTTTACAAGTTTTTTTTTTATTATATTATAATGAACAATTATATACAACGATTTAACTTGAAATTAATTTTAATAATAATAATATTATTTATAAATTTTATTTATAAAATATTAATTTTAAATTAATTAATAAGGTTATTTTTATAATTTTTTTTCGTAAACTATTTTTTTTTTTTTTTTTATATACATTCGAATAAAATAAATAAATAATTTTTAGAAAAATGGAGGAGAAATTAGTGTGGAACCTAATGAGAAAATTCGTACCTTTACGTTACCTATTTTTTGCCATAAATATTCATTCATCTTTAATATTGAATACATCGATGATTGTTTGAAAAATAACAAAATTTTAAATATTGATGACTATTAGTAAGTATTATTTTTATGATAACAATTTAAATATTTTATTCTTTATTCATCTATCGAAGTAAATGTTTTATTATTTTTTTTTGTTTCTGATTTTAAAGAATATTAAATTATTCTTTATTTATTATATAATAATTATTTAAAATTTTTAATACATTAATTAATAATTCAACAATATTTTATGATTTTTTTTTTAATTATAAATATCATAATTTTTGTATTATAATTATTTTATAATTTTTTTCTCCCCCAAGCATTGGCGATACTAATGTTTTCGCTGCATGTACAGCAATAATTATGGGAAGAAAAATTTGCACATGGTAAATAATTTATAAATAAAAAAGAAAAAAATGATAAATACATATTTGATGATTTTTTATAATTTATGTTATATTTTCTAGTCGTAAATGTGGAAATCAACATATAGAAATTGTAAAACAAGGGAATAATTTAAATGAGGTATTTTCACTGGATTATTTTTAAAAATTAAATTTTTTACATTTATTATGTTTTTTATTTATATAGTATTTTTTTTTGTTTGGTGTTCTAAACATTTTTTTTTATTTCTAGGCTCCCAAGAAATTAGTGGAAGTTGAGAAAATTGTTTTCAACTCTAAAAATGCGATTAACAATGAAATACAAGTATTTATTACCAATTTACAGAAATACAATTCAATTCATTTTTTTTTTTCTAATATTAGAATTTTAAAATAAGTTTTAATGATTTTATTTTAAAAAAATTAAAAAAGAAGTAATTAAATACTAAATTTAGTAATTTTTAGTATTTAATTATAATTTTTTAATTTTAATTTCTTAATTATTTATTAATAATTAATAATAATAATAATAATAATAATAATAATAATAATAATAATAATAATAAATAAATTCTGGAAAAAACACTGAAACAGAATTTTTTGTTTTCTCTATTATTTTATTAACATTTTTTTCAATTTTTTTTCTATAAAATTTGTGTTAATAGTTAAATTAATCGTAACCGTTTTTTTCTGTTTTACACTAAAAAAAAAAAAATAATTTGTAATTTATTATTTCTTTTTAGGTTTCTAGCGTAGAAGAAAACATAAGTCGATTTTCTGATGACGAGGAGGTAAAAAATTGAAACTAAATTCTTTTTATTTTTTTCTTGTGATTTTTATTTAAATCCTTTCTTTTTAATCTTCTTTTAAAATTTTTTTTTTCTAGTTTGTTTTTCAGTTTTGTAATTTATTTCCCTTTTTAGGTTTCTAATATAACAAAATCGGAAATTTTAAATTCTGATAACAATGAGGTAAAAATTAAATTATTTTTTTTTCTTATGATTTTTTATTAATTACGTATTTTATTTTTTGTTCGCTCTTTTAAATTTGAAATTAATTAAAAAAATAAACTAAAAAACTTAAAATAAAAAATGTAAATTGAATTATCATTTTTATAATTAAAATTTATATTATTAAAAATATTTTTTTTTATCCTAGTATTATTAATTGAAATGGAAAAAAAAAATTTCTTTTTTAGGAGGAAAATAGTTTTGAATATAAAATAGAATCGCCAACTATGATTATGGAAACAGAATCGGAATCAGAATCAGAATTCGAGTTTGATGTCAATGAAAGCGAATCAGAATGTAATATTTCTGATTATTCAAATTCAGATGATCCTGATTATAATGTAAAACGTTTGCCAAGGAAACGAAAAACGTATGTTAGAAAATTTATTTATAATTTTAATTTCTAAACTAATAAGAAGGAATAAATTTTAGAAATTTTTTTATATTCTTCATTATAAAAGCAGTTTAACTATTTTTAAAATTAAACCAAATGATAAAAAAAAAAAAATAATTTTCAATTTCTTTTCTTTTTGCAGTTTAAGTCCTAAAGTGGATAATTTAAAACGAACAAGATATAATCGATTGCCAATAACAAATGTGAGTAATTTAAATTATTTACACAATATTTATTTTAGATTAATTTTTATTATAAAATTAATTAATAATAAATAAATAAAAAAAAATGTTATTAATTATGTATTATATTTCTTTGATTTTTTTTTCCAGATTGTTGATATAAATTTACAAGATACTGAAAATGAACCTTCTACGTCAAAAATTGACAATGACTCCGAGGATGAATCAGAGTTTGTTTTTTCTTTAATAATGTTTTTTTTAATAATTTAATAATTTAATTTTAATAATTCTTAACTAAAGAGTAAAATTAAGAAAATATTTTCTAATAATTTTTTATGAAATGTAAATTTAAAAAAAAAAAATATTGAAACACACAGGGATTCATCTGAACCAACAGTAGATTTAGAAGAATGGGCCAAAAAACATGTTGAAAATGTTGAGAAAGATAAATTCGGATATCCAAAAAAGACTCATATTGGATTCAGTGAAGAGGAAAATTTATTATTAATTGATTTAATCGTTAAAACTAAATCAATATATCGTTGCAAGGGTAGAATAATTTGGATTTATATTAGGAATTTAAAGGTATATTCATTTCAAATTCTGCAAATTTTTAATTTTTTTCTTTTCATATTTTATTTTTATATATTTAAATAAAAATAAAAACAATGCAATATAAAATAAAAAAAAAAATTTATCTTCTCAATAATATGAACATTAAAATAATAATTATAATTTTCAGATTTTTCCAGAAGATAAAACTGATGAAATAATCAAAGAACATTTTAAAGTTAAAATTTTACCTAACATTGAGAAATATAATTTAAATAAAAAAATTGAAGAAAAATTTATCAACTACAGAACTTTTGGAAAGTTGGTTTGCAAAAAGAATTTTATAAAAATTATATATATATATATATATTAACATTTTTATTTTATTAATTCAATTATTTGTTTTTAGAATCGCTCGTAAATATCCAATGAATGATTTGAAAAAATGGGCATATGAAAAAACGAAAAATTTGAAAAAAGATGAAAATGGATTTCCAGAAGGCGAAAGTTTATCATTTGAAAAGTGGGAGAAAAGAATGATTATCGATTTTTTGATTAGAATAAATCCAGCTTCTAATTTTAGTATTTTGTTGTGGGACATGGCTTGTATGCTTCGTGTAAGTTTTTGAAAATTTTTCCCTTTTTTTCTTATACTTTTAATTTTCTTTTTTTTGATTATTTTTTAAAGAAAAAATGATTTTGACCCTTGAATAGGTCGTTGAATTTTGTTTTTTCTTCAAAAAAATTACTCTATACTGTGTTATTTCTTTAATTTTCATCAATTTTTCTTTTTTTTTAAGCTCTTTCCAGTTCATCGAACAAAAGAATCTATTCAAAATGAATTGAAATTTAATATTTTGCCGAAAATTGAATCATTTGATTTAGCTGCGGGATCGGAGGCTATATTTCTACGATTAAAAAAGACAGCAAGGTGTGTTTTATATTTCTTTTTTAATAGTAAAATAAAAAAAAAATTAAAATTAAATTTACTATAAATTTCTTTTTTTTTTCTTTTTGGTAGATTTAAATTGTCGATACCCAGTAATCTTAGAAACTGGGCCGAGGAACAAACAAAAGATATGGAAAAAGATCATCTTGGTTATCCACTAGCACACAATAAATTTATACAAAAATGGGAAAAGGAGATGATGTTGAAATATTTATTAAAAATCGATAATATCCCACAGGCTTGTATGCCGACAACGTGGTCTCGTGCTGTTAATTTAAAAGTAATTTTTATATTATTAAATCTGTTTGCTTTTCTCTTTTTTTTTTAATACTAATGAGGCTAAAAATATTTATTTTTGCAGCTATTTCCATTAATAAGAAGAGAAGATGGTTTGAGACATATTATGAGAACAGAAATTCTTCCTGATATTGAAAAATTCAATATGCCAATGGAAAAGAAAGAAGAATTTATTAAATTAAGAAAAAGTATACGGTATCTAAATATTATTTTCTACTTTAATTCCTAATTTTTTTTTGTTTTATTTTCATATTTTATCTCAATTATTTATATATTTAAATTTACTGTTTTTTTTTTTCGCAGTACGTTTTGGATTCCTACGGAAAATATGAAAATATGGGCGGAAAATATTTCAAAAGATAGAAAAAAGGACAAATATGGATATCCAATATCGAGGTCTAAAAAAATTGAAAAATGGGAACAATATCTTATTATTGATTTTCTTGTAAAATTTAATTTCATTCATAAATGCAAACAAAAATTAGTCTGGAAGTTGGCGTACAATTTAAAAGTATGTACATAGTTACAAAAAATTTATCACAAAAAGCACATTTTTTTTTCAATCAAAAAATTTTTATCTTCTTTTTAATTTATTATATTTTAATAATTTAATGTTTTTTTATTATTATTATTATTATAGATTTTTCCAAAAAAAAGAACAACTAATACTTTATGGTTTGAAGTACGTAACACTCTGTTGCCAATTATTGAAACTTTTGATATTCCCAATGATGTAAAAGTTGAATTTTTAAAAGTGCGAAATACTGAAGGGTAATTGATTTTTAATTTTTTGTTTTTTTTTTTATTATAAAATGATATGAAAATAATTTTTGGTTTTTTTTTTTTCATTTTATACAGAACTGTTGAAGGATTTTTAGAACCCACGGAACATTTAAAAAAATGGGCAAAAAATGTAACTAAAAACTTGGATAAGGACTCTGATGGATATCCAATTCAACAATCAATGAGGTCCATGTCAAATATTGAAAAAAAAATTTGTGTTGACTTTCTCGTGGAATCAGAGAGAATCCATTTGAGCTTGTCTCATACAACGTGGGAGCTTGCATTTGTTTTAAAAGTATAATATAATTTTAAAATACTTTAAATTACTATTTAAATATATAAATTTTAATTCGTATATATATATATTTTTTTTTATTTATATATAAATTTTTTTAAAGACTATTTAATTAAAAAAAAAAAAAAAACTTAATTCTCGTTTATATTTTTTTGTTTATTTATTTTCTATTTTGCAGTTACTTCCTAAATGCCGATCAACTAGAAATATGCGCACGATATTTAAAAGATGTATTTTACCTTCTATCAAGCAATATAATTTACCGCGACATATTGAAGAAGAATTTTTAAAACTTACAAAAAACAAGAAAAGTAGGAAAAAAAATCTCGTCCATAATACAGGTAAATTTTTAATCCTTCTATTAAAATAAAATGTGTTTATTTTTTTTAATTATTCAATTTTTAAAGATATTTATTATAAAAGACCTTTTTTTTATTTTTTATAAAAAAAAAATAATTTTTAATTATCGTTTTTGTATTTTTTCTTTTTTAGTATTTAATTAGTTTTTTTTTGTTTTTAATTTTTTTTTTTCTCTTTTATTTTTCATTTAGTAAAAATTCTAAATTCGCAAAATTGTCTTTTTTTTTAGGTATTGATCAACAAATTTGAATGAATATAATTCAAATATATTTATTAAAAGAAATGTTTTTCAAAATCGTGAGTAAAATATAATTTATCGTAATGTATTAATAAAAATTTTGTAATACTGAAAAAAAAGGGGAAAAAAAATTTATTTTCAAAAAAAAAAAAAAGGCAAAATTCTATGTGAAATCACGTTGAATATTTATGTTTGTAAAAATAATTTTTTTGTATTAATTAAAAAGAAGATTTTTTTACTTTTTTAAACATTGATTTTTTTCTCTCCTTTTATTATGTCATTTTTTTTTTTTTTATATCTAATTAAATTTTTACAGAAAAAATTAGTATTTTACAATTAAATTATTTTCAAAATTAACAATTTTTTGGAAATTACAAATTTTTTTTTATTTATTCTACTTAATAAGTTAAATAATGTAATGTTTTTTTATTTATATGGTTATTTATAAAAAAAGTAGATAATGTTTATTTAGAAAAATTCAAATTATGATTTTTTTTTTCAATTTAACATCTGGCGGATTTTTAAAAAATTAACCAATAATAATTTGTTTCGATAATTTTCTGATTGCTTAATTTTGAAATTCGCGCCGTTTTTTACGGCCAATAACAATGAAGTCGAACGATATTATCATGTGTGGATAAAATTTTTTTTTTACCCAATTGTTTTTATTTGTGCGGGAGAATGTTTACAAGTTTTTTTTTTTATATATAATGTTTAAGACAATTAGAATAATTAGGAAAAAAAAGTTATTTGATTATAAAGTGTAAAGTGTAAATCACAATTGAAAAATATTAGAAAGCAATGGAACGCAGTGAAGTTAGTGAAATACTATATGAATTCGTGGAACATAACCTAAAAGAACAAACGTATAATTTTAAATGTGAATTTGTCAAAAGTTTATTTGTTTTATTTGTTTAATTTGAATTTATTAAAAAAAATAAAGAAGATGCCACAATTACTTGTCCGACCAAATGGAACGCCAATGCAATTTCATTTGGTCGATTTGCCTGATGATATATTAACTCGATATATATCTTTAATTGAGGTATTTAAATTATATTTTATTTCAAACACATTTTTATTATTATAATTATTTATTTATTTACAATAACAGTTTTTATTATTATTTCTCTTATTTTTCTTTTTAAATTAAAAACTATTAATAAATAATTTTTTTAATTTAGGTAATTAATTTTATTTACATTGAAAATCGTATGCGTAATTTACTTCCATTTGAATATTTTATACCTGTATTATTTAAATTTTTTTTTTTATTTAATGTAATAAATCTATTAATATTTTTATATTTTTACTATATTAATGTAATTTATTTTTTTGATTTTTTAAAAATAATTAAATTACAAAATTTCAATTTTATCGACAAAAGTTTAATGCAAATTGTATAATTCGAGAATTTTTTTTTTAAATTTTCTTAATTTTATTTCGCATTATTTCTTCTCAGAAAAATGGAGGTGAAGTTACATTAGAACCTGATGAAACAATTCTTACATTTACGGTGCCAATGTTTTGCTTCAATTATTCAATTGTTTATAATATTCAATTCATTGACGATTGTTTGAGTAGAAAAGAAATTTTAAATGTTGACGATTATTAGTAAGTAATATTGTTATTATTACTATTATATTTAAAAAAAAATTGTAATTTTAAAAATTTTTTATTATTTATATAATAATAATTATATTTATTATTATTATTATTATTTTTTTTATAATTATTTTTTATTATTATTATCATTATTGGTAATATTGGTTTATAAATAATTAATAATTAATTAATAAATAATAGTAAATAATTATATAATAAATATAATTATATATAATTTAATAATTATAAATTTTATTATTTTATTAAATATATTTTTAAATATATTTTTAAATTTACTTTATTCCACAGTGCGAATAAATGTAATTATTATTATTATTATTTTTTTTTCTTTGCAAAAAAATATTAAATTATTCTTTTAATTTCATTATTTAATTATTTATTTAAATTAATTTTTATAAAATTTAATAAATGAATAATTAATTCATTAAATATAGTAATTAATAATTTAATAATTTTTTAGAATGTTTTTTTTCTAATTGAATTTTTTTTTCTTAGCATTGGTGATGATCGATTTGTCGAAGAATGTAGAAGACCGGAAATAATAAAAAAAATAAAAAATTGTGAATGGTACATAATTATTTTTATTTTTTTGTTTTATGTAAAAATATAAAATTTGAAAATTACGAAATTGATGAATTAATATAATTAATTTTATTTATTTCAAGTTCGGATTGTGGATATGAACATCATGTGGAAAATGTACAGCAAGAAAAAAATTTAAATAAGGTAATTCAACACTAAATATTTAATTAAATTTTAATTTTATTTGTAAATTTATTTAATTTTTTTTCTTCTTAATTCTCCAAATTTATGTAATTTTTAATTTCAATTTTTCCTGTTGAATTTTAAGCAAATTGGATTTAAAAAAATTATTTTTCTAGTTACTAAATTTAAATTTTAGTTTTTATTTTTTCTTTTTGAGTAAAATATTTACTGATTCCACGTTATATTTGTGTATTTTCAGTTTTTATTTATTTATTTATTATTTAATTTGCCATTTTTTATGTGAATAATTTTTTTTTTCTTTCATTGTCTAACATGTTTTTGTTTTTTTAGTCATTCAGAAACGAACGAGAATTGGAAAAAGCTGATTCTGATCCAACAAATGCGGTGAAAATTTGACTAAAAATTGATATATTTATATTTTTGATTGTCGAAAAAAAAAAATTTAAGTTTAAAACATTAAATTTGCCAATAAAATTTTTTTAAGTGTTCTTTTTAGCTGGTTTTCGATTTTTGCTTCTTTTTTTAAATAATGAAAAGAATAAAAAACAAATTTTGAAATTTGAAAATATTAAAAAAAAAAATTGTACACTGAATTTTAAAATTAATTATTATTTATATTATTATTATTCAATAATTTTAAATTGATAAATTTTTAATTTTGCGAAAAAATAATTTTTTTTTTTACTTATAATAGTTTTTCCTAATTTGTAATTTTATTTAATTTCAATTTCTATAAGAATAAAAAGTACAATTTTATTAATATTAATAAACAATAAAAGAAGAAATTTTTTTTACAAAGTTTTCAGTTTTTTTTTTGAAAGATGAAATCAAAATGTAAATTTCTTTCTTTTATTTTTTTTTTTGTTTAAATGAAAAAATAATTTTTTGATTTTTCACAAATCAAATTGTAATAATTTTTTAGAATGAGATGCAAAGACGTTTAATGGATGACAGTGGATCTGATACGGAATATATGTTTTCTGATGATTCTCGAAAATCAGAAGATTTCGATTATGATGTTGTTTTTTCACCTGTAGCTGAAAAAGAAAAAATGTTTGTGTAAAAAAAATTAATTTTTATTTATAAATAATTTATAATTTAAAAAAATTATAAAGTATAGAAAAATTAGAAGAAAACAATTCATTTTTTTTTTTTTTTTTTATTAAATTAGTAAAGCAAAAAATTTTCTTTAAATATTTTTGCTAAATTTTACAGTTTTTCTTTTTCTTTTTCCTTCTCTTACAGTATTCAATCTAAAGAAAAATATCCAAAACATCAAAAATACAATGAATTGACTACTAAAAATGTGAGTTTAATTTTTCTATATATTTTAAATTAATTATAAATTTTTAATGAATTTAGATTAATTATTTATTTTTTTTTTTAGAAGATTGTTGAAAAAAATTTACAAGAAGATAAAAATCAACCATCAACTTCAGGAATTGTTGATGAGTCAGAGAAAAATTTACAGTTTGTTTATTTTTTTTAAAAATACTTTCTATTTTTTTTTAATAATTAAATGATAATTTAAAAAAAAGTGATTTTTATTATTCTAATTTCAGAGAATTATATGAACCGTCGGAATATTTAAAAATATGGGCAAAAAAAATTGTGGAAAATAAAGAAAAAGATGAATTTGGTTTTCCAATGCCAAATCTTAAAGGATATAATCATAATGAAAAGTTAATATTGATTGATTTTCTGGTTAAATCAAATTTAATTTTTAAAAATAATGATTTGAAAGTTTGGAAGCTTGCTCGAAAATTAAAAGTACGTTAATATTCAATTTATTTAATAAAAAAATATTTATATATTTATTTAAAAATAATTATTATTTTATTTCATCTCTTTTTGTTGTGAATTATAATTATAATTTAAATAATTAGAATTTTTTATATTTCAGATTTTACCGCATAAAAAATCGGTAAAATCAATGAGAGCTTTTTTTAAGCTGCGAATTTTACAAAACATTGAGGATTTTCATTTATCTAATGAAATTCAAGAAAAATTCATTAATTATAGAACATTTGGAAGGTAAGCAAAAAAAAAGAAAATTCAATAATTTGTTTAATTTTTTAATTTTTAAAAATTAGAAATTTGTTTATTTAATTTTCTGTGTTTTTTTCTTTATTTTTTATTTATTTACTTATTTTTTTTTTTTTTTGCTTTGTATTTTCCAAATTTTTCTTTTTGTTAATTATTTATTTACAGTTTTCTTTTTAAATTATTATTATTATTCTTTCTAATTCATTTTTATCTTTGTTTTTTAATTTTATATTTTTGAAAATCATTTTATTTATATTTTTGCTTAATATGTAAATTTAATTATTCTACATAATTTATTTTCATTAAAGTCTAGTGGAACATTTATTAAAATGGGCAAAAAATGAAACAAAAAATTTGAAAAAGGATAAGGAAGGATTTCCAATTATTGAAATAAAAAGAAGAATAACAGATTTAGAAAAAGAGATGATAGTGAAATTTCTCATTGAATCAAAAAGAATTCGTCAAATTAAATCTGATTCTACGTGGAAATTGGCCGAATTTTTGAAAGTATATATATTTATATTTTTATTATATCTTTAAAAATTCTATCAATTTAATTTTATATTTTAACATTTTTTTTTCCTTTTTTTTTTTATTTTAATGAATAATTTTTCGAATTTTTTTTTTCTTTTTTACAGATATTGCCTAAAGAACGAATGAAACAAAATTTAGGACAAATTGTAGAAAAAGAAATTTTACCCAATATTAAAAATTATAATTTACCCGAAAATATAGTTAATCAATTTTTAAAATTAAATAAAATTATCAAAAATTCGCCTAAAAAAGATTAGTTGATAAAAAAAAACAGGCGAGTATTTATAATTTTAAAAAATAATATATTGTACAAATTTTTGTAAAGTGAATAATTAATTTTGTATTTTTTATTGAAGAAATTATTAAAAACAAATATTGTATTACATTTATTTTTATTTAAATATTATTTTCGTTTTTTCACCTTTTTTTTGAAAAAAGACATTTTAAAATACCGTCAAAATTATTAACTTAAAAATAATATTTATTTATTACTAATAATAATAATTTAGTAAATAATTTCGTAAAAAGTATTAAAAATTAAAGAAATAAAAAGAAAAACGCAAAAAGCTTTGTTAATTAATTTTAAATTTTCCCGCCTAACGTCCCTAGCGGTTGAAATCGGAAACAATGTCAATGTAACTCTAACCTCAAAAAAAAGAGAGAATCTTTGTCGATAAAATATCCCCCTCCGTGTTATAAAAGGGGGAATTAAAATCATTTATCCCCCCTCCCCTATCTTCTCTATAACAATTAAAAGTCATTTATTCGGTTCGCTATATATATATATATATATTAGAGAAAATGTCGTTGCGTGGGTGTTGGGTGCAACGACAGCGACAATAAAACATTAATTAAGACCGCTTATTTTTTTTTGGTGTTTGATGAGAACGGGTCAAATTTAGTTTTTCTTCATCATCTCTCTCTCTCTTATATTGTGTGTATATACAAGAATCAGAATTGTATATAATCCCTGAGTCTAACCGGCGGGACGATGCGCGAACACAGTGCATGAGTGCAAAGCGCGCCGCGTGCCCCACGACACAACGTCGTCGCGAAAATGCTTATCGAATGCACGTACAATCGTATATAGTATAGTGTATAATAATTATGCAGTGAGTGTTTAGAATTTTTTTTAATTTTGTTACTTTTTCATTTAAAAGTAACGGCCTTGTAAAAAAGAGAGGAAAATCTTTTTTGACAGACATGTCACGATTTTGGTACTATAATTAATTGTGTGTGTGTGAATTAGAAAATTCGAGAGAATACAAAAAAAAAAAGGAGTGCGGGTTTTTTTTTCCGTTTACACACACCCGACCCGGCTGTCAGGACGCCATGTTTCTCAATCGAAAACCGATGGCGAGGTTTATCACGCTACAATTTTTATCTATTCTTATTGCTTTGGCTTCGTCTCAAACTGGTAAGTTTCAAAAATAATCTATTTTATGTAAAAAAAATTTAAAAAAAAAAAAAAAACGACGCTATTATAAATGTCAAGTTTGGGGGGGAAATATTTTCACACCGATCGCCCCTTATCGGTGTGTGTAAATTTATATCAAATTTTGTTACATTGGGCTTAGTGATAAAGGACTTTTTTTCTCAGAGAAGGGAGGGAATTTAAGAATATTGAATTTTATAATTATTTAATTAGTTATGCAAAGAACGCCCACGTGGTTATAAAATAAACACGTGCTTTTCATTTGGAACTTTTTTACAGGTCCAAAACAAAAGATTTTTTTGACGTTTTTTTTTCAAAATTTTGCATTTTTGACTTAATTTAATAGCAAGTTTTTTTTAAAAATCTGTTTATTTTTAGTGTTTGTATTTTTTTTATTTATTATTTTTTTGCACGTATTCTTCCGACAATGTAAAATAAATATTTTGAACATTGTCGATGTTTTCAATTGTTTATATACAGTAGTGAATTTTTCTTTTATTTGTACAATTTTGTAAATTTACACGAGATTTATAATAATTGTCGGCAGAAATTTACAAAATAGTTTTTTTTAAACATTTTTTTTTTTTTTTCAAATATTAATTAGAATTTTTTCTTTCGTGTTATAATTATTCTATTTAAACAAAAAAATTTAATTTTGTATTTTATCACAAAACTTTTAATTAATATTTTCATTAAATTAATTTTTAATACATTATTATAAAAAAAAGTGACTAATTAGTAAACTATTGAATCAATAATCCAGTTTCTTAGTAGGAGAGTAAAGATTTCTTTGAATCAACGAAAGTTGAAAGATCAACAGAAAGAATAAACAAACTGTTAAAACTTTATTACGTTTTATTTATCTTGTAAATTTTTTTTTTAGTTAAAGTAACAAAATTTGATTAAAAAAAAAGAATTAAAGAAAAATTTTTTTTGTTATATTTATAAAATATTAAACAATATATTTATTACAAAAAAATAATCGGTTTTTTGAAAAAAAAAAAGTCAAATTAATTAAAATAAATTTTTTAATTAGAAAAAGGTTCTGTAAAATAATTTTTTTTTTTGTAAAATAAATTTTTTTTACTACATTAATTAATAAAATGTCAAATTTTTTTTCAGTCGATAAAGTAGATTTCTCTATTTTTATATTTATTTTCAAATCGAAAATCTGTTTTTGTTGGTTTTTTTCGTTTTTTTTTTTATCAAATTTTTTTTTTGGATAAATAATTATATTTTATAATAGATTTGGGACAATTGGAAAATGGAGAATCACAAAAAGAGCCATCGATGCACGTTGAAGTGTCACAGGATGCCGATGGTATTGAAGCTGGTAGTAGGCCTTCATTGACATGTCAATTTAGCGAGCCAGGTCATATTGTTTGGCTTTCGCCAGGAAGAAATTTGACCTTCGTTAAAGAGTCAAAGGATAAAGTCAGATTAGATTTGAAACCGGCACGTCGACAAGATACGGGCAATTACACATGTCGTGCACAAACGGGATCTGGAAAATTGGTCGATAAAACAATTGGCATTCGTGTTATAGGTGAGGACAGAAAACCAATTTCAAAAAAAAAAATTCATTATTTCAAAAAAAAGAAAAAGAAAACTAAATTTTTTTATCGTAAAATTTAACTATTTTTCTATTATAAAAGTTTATAATTACTGTAGAGTTAAAGTAAAAATTCTTTTTTAAACTATTTTTTTTTTATTTTTTATTTCACTTTTAGGTTGGTATACCTGGACCAACAAAAATATTTGAATTTTGGGGGGGGGGGATTATTTAAATTTTTATAATTGAGACAGAAAAATTATTTTCAAAAATTAAAAATTCTGTACAAAAAAATTGTATAATAATAATTAAATTTTGAAAAAAAAATTCGAGTAACATAACCTAAAATTGAGCTATTTTGTTTTTTTTTAGAATTTAAAAAATTTTTTTTATTCAAAATCAATTTTTAAATTATTTAAATAAGGAATAAAATTTATAAAACGTTTAAATAAATATACGACAATTTTACAGGAGAAAAATTTTAATTACAAATCTTTTTATTTTTAATTGCAAAAAAAAACGAAAATGTAAATTTGGTTTGTTTTCTTTTTTTAATTTTTATTATTATTTTTATTATAAAAAACATTATTATTAATGGTTTACTGGATTATTATTATTATTATTATTATTATTATTAATATTTATTATTATTATTATTATTATTATTAATATTTATTATTATTATTATTATTATTATTATATTATTATTAATATTTATTTTTATTATTATTATTATTATTATTATTATTATTTATTTTTATTTTCATTTTATTTATCCAATTATTATTGGACAATTCTAATGTTTAATTAAAATATTATATTATTTTTTTTTTTTTTGTTAAAAATATTAATATTTTCTAATGTTTGTATTATTAAATTTTTCGTTAAATTATTTATTAAATAAAAAACTATTTAAGAATTTTTGAAAAATATTACGTATGTAAAAATAAAGATTTAAAGAAAGAAAAATAATTGGAATTTAAAAAATCGGATTCTTTTAATTTTGGTTTTGATAATTATTTTATCAGCCTTGTTTATTAGTAATTTATTTATTAATTTTATGTAAATTACTAATTGATTAATTTATAAAAATAAATTTTTCTATTTTAAAAATTTTTCCCATCAATTTTTTTTCTAATTTGATTTTTTTATTATTTGGTATTTTTTTAGATTTTTTAAATTAATAATTGATTTATTAATTTTATGTCAGTTACTAATTAATTTATATAAAAAAAAAGTAAACGTCTATTTAGAAATGTTGACAATAAACAAATTTTTTTTTTTTTAGTTTTCTATTAAAAAAAAAAATAACATATAAATTCATATCCACAGAACCGGGAAGAATTGAACCAGGTGAAAAAGTACGTATGAAAGTATTGGAACAGGCAACATTAACGTGTCACATTTATGGTGAGCCAATAAATAATTTAAATTGGTCAAAAGGCAATGACACGGATAATCAAGGATATTTAAAGGATCATATGAATGTTACACACATTAATGAAACATACATTCAATTGATATTAAATTTTCCAAGTGTAACACGTAAAGATAATGGAACATACAAATGTCAAGCTCAAGATTATAGTAAACGAATACTCACCGGTGAGGTACATTTATTTGTCATTGAAGTACCACAAGTTAGTATTGACTTTATGAAAGCAGTTGGTGCTAATAGTATTTTTTTAAATTGGACCCTAAACAATGGCAATGAACCAATACAAAGATATTTTATACAAAATTTAAAACAAGGCACCGATCAATGGCAATATAATAAGGAACAAATAAAAGGCGGTATCACAAGTTATGTTCTAAGTGGATTAGAAAAAGGTACATCCTATCAAATTAAAATTAGTGCCACTAATTCTGTTGGTAGTTCGCATATTCAAATTGATCCACGATGGATAACAACGTTGGAAGAAGGTGAGACCAAAAAAAAAATGTATTATTTAGATTTAATTAAAAATACAGCAAAATTACTAATTTACACTAATTTTAGAAACCGTTAATTTAAAAAGAAAAATTTGAAAAATTTTTTTGAATAAAAAACAATCTTTGTTTCTTCATTGAAAGAAAGAATTTAGTTATAATTAATAAAAAAAAATTCATTTCACAGATCCAATATTTATTCCAACTGTTGTAATGAATGGAGCGAATGAAAATTCGATAACAATCACGTGGACAACGCCACCGGCACATTTAAAGGAGCATGTTCATTTTTATAATTTAAAAGCAACGCACAACGATGTAAATCTTGAAACAACTTATCCAGCAAAACCCGAATCTTATTATGCATTTATGAATCTTGAACCGTCAACAACTTATACATTTAAAGTACAAGCGTGCAGCGAATATACGAAACGATGTGGAAATTGGAGCGCTGAAGTTACTGGCACCACATATGATGGAGGTAATTTAAAAAAAAAAAAAAAAATTCTATTTAGAAAAATTTTTTTTTCTAATTCTTTCTAATTAGCGATTCATTTAATTTTTTTTCAAATTTGAATTTGTTGAAATTTTCAATTCATCTAAATTTCCATTTAATTAAATTTTGTTACAAATTTTAATTTGATTGAAATTTTAATTGAATATATTAAATTTAAATTACAAGTTATCAAGAACTTTCAATTTTTAGTTATTTTTAAGAGTCAAAATAAATTTATTAATTAAAATTGTAAATTAAATGCAAAATTCAATTTCAATCAATAATTTCCAAATTATCCAAATTTTAATTGATTTTAAATTTCAAATTATTCGAATTTCAATTTTTCCAAATTTTGTTTAATTTAAGTTTCAAATTATCTCAATTTCAATTTATACAAATTTTCAACTATTATTACTTCAATAATTAATTAATAATTTCAATTCAAATTATCCGAATTTCTATTTGTAAAAATTTCAATTTCAAATTATCTAAATTTTAATTTGATTGATGTTTTTAATTATCCGTTAATTTTAATTGATTTCAAAACTTCAAATTATTCGAATTTCTATTTGTAAAATTTTTAAATTTATTTAACAATATAAAAAAATTATCGAAATTTTAATTGATTTAAGTTATTAATTATCCGTTAATTTTAATTGATTTCAAAACTTCAAATTATTTGAATTTCAATTTTTCCAAATTTTGTTTAATTTTCAAATTATCTTGATTTTAATTTATCCAAATTTTCAACTATTATTACTTCAATAATTGATTATAAATTTTAATTACTTGAAAATTTTTGAGACGCATGATTCAATGTTCTAAAAATTATTAATTATAAAATTTTCATTTTATAAAATTTCATTTGACCTAATTATTTTTGAGCCGAATTTTTATTTATCCGAATTAATAATTTGCACGAATTTTCATCAAAACGATTTTTTGTCTTACAAAATTTTTATATAACCAAAATTGAAATTCAAATAATTTAAAGTTAATCAATTAAAATTCGAATAATTAAAAACTTAAATCAATTAAAATTTCGATAATTTTTTATATTGTTAAATAAATTAAAAAATTTTACAAATAGAAATTCGAATAATTTGAAGTTGAAAATCAATTAAAATTCGGATAATTAAAAACATCAATCAAATTAAAATTTAGATAATTTAAAATTTGAATTAAAATTTTTACAAATAGAAATTCGGATAATTTAAAACTTAAATCAATTAAAATTTCGATAATTTTTTATATTGTTAAATAAATTTAAAATTTTTACAAATAGAAATTCGAATAATTTGAAGTTGGAAATTAATTAAAATTCGGATAATTTAAAACTTCAATCAAATTAAAATTTAGATAATTTAAAATTTGAATTAAAATTTTTACAAATAGAAATTCGGATAATTTAAAACTTAATTAAATTTTAGATAAATCGAAATTTCCATAATTTTAAATTTTAATCGATTGAATTTTGCATTTTATTAATTAATTATTATTATTATTATTATTATTATTATTATTATTATTATTATTATTATTATTATTTTATCAATTTTAATTGATAAATTTATTTTTACCAATAAAAATAAGAAATTAATTGAATTAATTTTTATTTGAAAATAATTATTAACTAATTAATTAATTTTTTTTTTTTAATTTTGTAAATTTAGTTATTTAATTAAAAAAAATAAAAAGAATTATCTCATACTAATTATTTTGATAAAAAGAAAAAAATTATGAACGATGCAATTGTTTTTTTGCTGACTTTTTTGTTTAAATTGTATAATTAATCATTAAAATTTTTAATTTCTTTTTTTCTATACAAAGAATTCATTGTTTGTTTTTTCGTTTTCTTTCGATTTAGCGGCGAGTCCTCCGCGAAATCTCTCCGTCACGTGTCGTTACGACAATATAAGCAGCACCAGTTTTCTGACTCTAAGCTGGGAACCACCAGAGAAGCCAAATGGTGTCATTGATCGTTACGGCGTTAATTTAGCGGGAAAATCCATCTATCGAAATGATTTGGGACGACTTGAGGTCGATCATTGGGGACCGAGTGATAAAAATGCCCTCGGCACTGCACGCTCTTATCATTTTAATCAGATACCCCCCAATACAAATTATACGGTGAGTACATTTTTTTTTTTATCAAGCAAACAGTTACTTTATTTTTGTTTTTACAATTATTATATTTAATTTTCTATCATTTTCTTTATTTATTTAAAAAAACATTAATTATATAATAATAAAATGCTTGGTCTGTCCTTCTGTCCTAACTTGAAGTTGGCCTTTTCTGATTTCACGTGTTTTTTTGAATAGTAATCTTATGACGTGTCAAATTTTGACAATTCTTTTTCTCATTTTTGCCAAAGTTGTATAATTGTGTTTCCAAATTTCGGAATAAGTTTCTTTAAAATTCCAAATTCGAAAATTCAATTCACGAAGCTGAAGTACACAACGTTTATCAACGAAATTTTTTTTAAAGTTGTATATTGATTCAAAAATTGTATACAAATACAAAAAATTTATGATGAGCAAAAAAGATGCGCCAGGAAATTTCGTACAAGATAGTAATTTGAAAAAAATTAATTTTTAAAAATTAATTTTTAAGTATCAGGGGCCAACGAATACCTATTAAATATTAATTATAAAAAAAACAGGCCTCGAATCAACTTAAAGACACAAAAAGTCGTTTTAGTCGATTTATATTCCAAAAAAAAGTGGATTTGTTTTTTATTTTAACAAAAATATTTTACAGATTTTTAAATAAAAATTTTTTTTTTTAACAATAATCCTTTTCGAAGGGTTAAAGTTGAAATTTTTAGAAATAATTAAATTTCAAAAGATATTGTTAATTTTCAAACAATTATTAAATTTTACAGCTAAAAATAATTAATCAAACAATTTTTGGAAAATATTTTTTAAATTTAATTGAATTTTCAAAGATTTAAAATTGATATTTTTGAAATTAATTGAAACTTTAAGTGTTTTGTAATTAAAATTTTAGATGATTTCACTAAAAATTTATTAGAAAATGCGGACAAAATACAATAATTTGAAAATCATTTTTAATTGAAAAATGGTTTCAGATAGTTGAATTTTCATAGAATATTATTAAAATAGATAAAAATAATTGAATTTCCTTAGAGTTATAATTGAAATTATTAAATTTAAAAAAAAAATTTCCGATGGAAAATTTTGGAAATAATTAAATTTTAGATGCTTTTAAATTCAAATTTTTGAAAATAATTGATTTTCAATTAAAATTTTGTATAATAATTGAATTTTAATTGCTTTTGAATTAAAATTTTGAGAAATAATTGAATTTTAATTGGAATTTTTTAAAATAATTGAATTTTATTTGATTTTAAATTGAAAATTTGGAAAATAATTAAATTTTAAAAGATTTTGAATTGAAAATTTGGAAAATAATTAAATTTTAAAAGATTTTGAATTGAAAATTTGCAAAATAATTGAATTTTAATTGATTTTAAATTGAAATTTTTAAAAATAATTGAATTCTATTTGATTTTAAATTGAAAATTTGGAAAATAATTGAATTTCAATTGAAATTTTGTATAATAAATGAATTTTAATTAATTTTGAATTAAAATTTTGGGAAATAATTGAATTTTAATTGATTTTGAATTGAAATTTTTGAAAATAATTTAATTTTATTTGATTTGAAATTGAAAATTTGGAAAATAATTGAATTTTAAAAGATTTTGAATTAAAAATTTTGAAAATAATTAAATTTTATGTTTAATTTTGTATTGAAATTTTTAAAAATAATTGAATTTTAATTGATTTTGAATTAAAAATTTTTGAAAATAATTTAATTTTATTTGATTTGAAATAGAAAATTTGGAAAATAATTAAATTTTAAAAGATATAGAATTGAAAATTTTGAAAATAATTTAATTTTCTTTGATTTTGAATTGAAATTTTGGATAATAATTTAATTTTAGTTGATTTTTGATTGAAAATTTGGATAATAATTTAATTTTGGATAATAATTGAATTTTAATTGATTTTGAATTAAAATTTTTGGTAATAATTGAATTTGCGTTGATTTTGAATGGAAATTTTGGATAATAATTTAAGTTCATTTTTGATTGAAAATTTGGATAATTAATTTTGAATAGAAATTTTAGAAAATAATTAAATTTTATTTCATTTTAAATTGAAAACTTGGTAAATAATTAAATTTTAAATTGAAAATTTTTGATAATTATTGGATTTTTAATTGATTTTTAATTAAAATTTCGTGTAATAATTGAATTTTAGTTTATTTTGAATTGAAATTTTTAAAAAATAATTCAATTTTATTGTGATATATTTTTTTTTAAATTATAAACAATTGTTAAATTTCATAAAAATTTTAATTGAAAAATAATTCTGATATAATTGAATTTGTGATGTATTTCATTAAAATTATTAAAAATAATTAATTTAGTGAAGAATCATTTTAGTTCAAAACATGTTAAATAATTGGATTGAAGAAGATTTGAAGAAGATCTACATTTTATACTAAAAAAATGTATTTTATTTACATTTTTTTTCAAATGTAAAAAAATGTCGCATTTTATTAAAATAAGTCGATAAAAGTCGTATTTTTGAAAAAAAGTCAGAAAAAGTCGTATAATCCGAGGCCTGTAATCATATATAATTTTCATTATTATCATTTAATATGTAATAATATTCTAATAAGTTAAATTATTATTGATAATATTAATCTTTAATTTCTTTATAAAAAACAATTAAATACTCAATTTGGCGCGCGTTTAATTTTGCTAGTTAATTAATTAATTAATTAATTAATAACAAATTATTTAATTTTTGTAATTTATTTTTTTTTGCGCTAATTTGCAGGTGACATTACGCGGAATAACGCGACATCGAAGTACAGGTAAATTGGCAACAGTAAATTGTACAATGCCACCGTCAACGCCCGATAAAGATAGTTTAAATTTACGAACATGGCGTAAAATTGAAAATGAAGGACGACAATTATTTAAATTATATTTACCACGTATCACCGAGAGAAATGGTCCAATTTGTTGTTATCGTGTATTTATGATAAAATTAAATCAACAAATGACAATTGCCGATTTACCATCGTCACCTGACGATATACCAGTTTATTCTTATAATTATGTACATACGTCAAATTCAAATGGCGCATATCTTGCCGAAATGTTTGACAGCGATCGTTTAATGACAGAAATATTTCTTGGCGATGGTGAATCATTTAATGGTAGTACTGAATGCGATAAATGCATTGGTTTACGTCCAAAACCAATACCAACTGTACTTCATTTTATTCCTGAGACAATGGGAAATTCGTCAATTAATTCAACGACGACGACGACGACGACAAGTACAACGACGCCAATAATGACAACGATGAATTCAAATTTTTTGGGAATATCAAATATTCCATTGGGAATTGTTAATCAATTGGAAATGACAACACAAATTGTGCCTGTTGGATTTAGTGAATCGACGGCGAGAAAAAGGAGAGATGAGACAAATGGAAGTGAAACTGTGGAATTGCAACCAATTCCACCGCAGGATGGATTTTTGGATGAGAAGGCAAATTATACGGGATTCATTGAAGTTGTTGGTGAGGATTTTTTAAAATAATAATTTTTAACTTGAATGGTTCTTTGTTTCTTTTTTTTGGTACATATTGAAAAAAGGAATGTCGAATAAATTTGTTTTTTTTTTAAGGAATATTTATAATTAAAAATCGTTGAATGGGATAATTTTTTTTAAAAACGTTCTTTTTTTTTGTCTAGTTTATGGCAATAAAGAGGGACAAGTATTGACTGCTTATAGTAGTTATTTTACTCCACTTTATGGTGGAATTGAAGTTTCAACAACAGCAGCACAAGATTCAACGACACTTGGTGTTATTCTTCAAATTTCAATTTTCATGATTTTACTAATTATCGTTTTGCTGGTTACGCTTTGTATTATGGTGAAATATTCGAAAAGAGCTCAACAACAAGGCGAGGAAATCATTACATTAACAGACAGTTTCAGGTGAATATTAAAAAAGAAAATTTTTTTACTAACATAACGATTTTCTTTTTTTATTATTATTATTGAGGCTCTTTAATTATTTTTAATTTCCAATTTTTTTCCCCTTGAATTTTTTATTTTTAAATTATAAATGATTCTTTTCTATTTTCTTTTCATTTCAAAGTTTCTAAATTTTTTATTATTAATTGAAATTTAAAATTGAAAATTTTTAACCATTTTTAGATTTAGATAAAATTTGTATTGTTGAAAAGTTGTTTTTTTTTATCCATATTTCAATTAATTTATAATTTAATTTAATTATAATTTCCAATTATTTAATTTACTAATAGAATATTATTTTCAATTATTTTCTTTAATATTTGAAGACAATTTCAATGAATTGTATAAATATTTGTAAATATATCTTTATTCAATTAAATTAATCATTTAAATTATTTAATATTTGATAATAATAATGAATAACAAATATTTAAGTACAATAATAATAATAATAATAATAATAATAATAATAATTGCAATAATATCAATTATTATAAAATATTTATTAACTAATTAAATTTAGTAAGATTGTCAAATATCGATTTTTTTGTAACTTTTGTCAAAAAAAAAGTAAAAAAACGACAAAAATTAATCCGAGGGTTAAAAATTATTTTTTAATTAAAAAATTAATTAAATTAATTGCTTAATTTATTTAATATTTAATAGTAAAAATTAATAATAAATATTTAATTATAATAATAATAATAATAATAACAACAATATTCATTTTTAAAAAATAATTCCATTTGGTTGAAATAAAAATGTTTATTTAAAATAAAAAAAAAATTTATTTAAAATACTAAAATTTATTTTTAAAGCAAATAATAATAATAATAATAATAATAATTAAAAAAAAATTCCATTTAGTTGAAATAAAAATGTTTATTTGAACTAAAAAAATTTATTTAAAATACTAAAATTTATTTTTAAAGCAAATAATAATAATAATAATAATAATAAAATTCATTTTTAAATAAAAATTTCATTTGGTTGAAATAAAAATATTTATTTGAACCAAAAAAAAATTTGTTTAAAATACTAAAATTTATTTTTAAAGCAAATAATAATAATAATAATAATAATTAAAAAAAAATTCCATTTAGTTGAAATAAAAATGTTTATTTGAACTAAAAAAATTTATTTAAAATACTAAAATTTATTTTTAAAGCAAATAATAATAATAATAATAATAATAATAAAATTCATTTTTAAATAAAAATTTCATTTGGTTGAAATAAAAATATTTATTTGAACCAAAAAAAAATTTGTTTAAAATACTAAAATTTATTTTTGAATCAAATAATATAATAAAATATTTATTAACTAATTAAATTCACTAAGAATTAAAAATATTGAATTTTTTCAACTTTTTATAGTAAAAAGCGATTAAAATCGATCTGAGACATAAAAATAATTTTTTATAATTAAAGAATTAATTTATTATAATATTTAATGGTAAGAATTAATAAAAACTATTTAATAATAATAATAATAATAATAATAATAATAATATCAATTATTATAAAATATTTATTAACTAATTAAATTTAGTAAGATTTTCAAATATCGATTTTTTTGTAATTTTTGTCTAAAAAAAAGTAAAAAGCCACAAAAATTAATCCAAGGGGTAAAAATTAGTTTTTAATTAAAAAAATTAATTAAATTAATTGCTTAATTTATTTAATATTTAATAGTAAAAATTTATAATAAATATTTAATATTATTAATAATAATAATAATAATAACAACAATATTCATTTTAAAAAAAAAAAATTCCATTTGGTTGAAATAAAAATGTTTATTTGAACTAAAAAAAAAAATTATTTAAAATACTAAAATTTATTTTTAAAGCAAATAATAATAATAATAATATTCATTTTTAAATAAAAATTTCATTTGATTGAAATAAAAATATTTATTTGAACCAAAAAAAAATTTGTTTAAAATACTAAAATTTATTTTTAAAGCAAATAATATAATAAAATATTTATTAACTAATTAAATTCACTAAGAATTAAAAATATTGAATTTTTTTAACTTTTTATAGTAAAAAGCGATTAAAATCGATCTGAGACATAAAAATAATTTTTTATAATTAAAGAATTAATTTATTATAATAATATTTAATGGTAAGAATTAATAAAAACTATTTAATAATAATAATAATAATAATAATAATAATAAAATATTTTTGAACTATTTACACTTATTAAGAATTTAAAAAAAATGGAATTTTTTTCTACTTTTTATAATGTAAAAAGCGACTAAAAAATGTTTTTCTTAAATATTAATAATAATTATTTTACTCTATTTCGCTCCCTAAAAAAAAAAAATTAAAAATTAAATGGGATGGGGGGGGGGCACCAAAAAAATTACTTTCACAATTTTTCTTTTTTTTTTTCTAAACACATTTTTTTTATTATTTTCTAACAGACATCTTTGCAGAAGTTTAAGAGGTCGTCATCAATTGGTAGCGGCAAGTCCACCAGACATGCCACCAGTACAAAAACTTGAACTCTATCAATCATTTATTGAACGTCATCGTAATTCTGATTATGGTTTTCAACATGAATTTGAATTATTACCCGATAAATTTACTGATCGTACAACGCGCGCTTCAGAAATGCGTGAAAATTTATATAAAAATCGTTATCCCGATATTAAATGTTATGATCAAACACGCGTACGTTTAACACAAATTGATGGTATTTGTGGTTCTGATTATATAAATGCAAATTTTGTACTTGGCTATAAGGAGAGAAAAAAATTTATTTGCGCCCAAGGACCAATGGAGAATACTGTTTGTGATTATTGGCGTATGATATGGGAACAACATCTTGAATTGGTTCTAATGTTAACAAATCTTGAGGAATATTCAAAAACAAAATGTGCAAAATATTGGCCCGATATAAATGAGACAAAAAATTTTGGCGATATAACTGTTGATCATATTAGAGAGAGAGCATATTCTGATTATGTTGTGAGAGAATTAAAAATGTCAAGAACTGGTGAACGTGAATCAAGGACAATTGTACAATATCATTTTTTGGTATGGAAAGATTTTATGGCACCTGAACATCCACATGCAATATTGAAATTTATTAAAAGAGTTAATGAGGCATATTCATTGGAAAAGGGGCCAATATTAGTTCATTGTAGCGCTGGTGTTGGACGTACGGGAACATTAGTTGCATTGGATTCATTGTTACAACAATTGTCTGAGGAGGGACAAGTTTCAATATTTAATACTGTTTGCGATTTGAGGCATCAAAGAAATTTTTTGGTACAATCATTGAAACAGTATATATTTATCTATAGAGCGTTAATGGAAATGGCACAATATGGCGATACGGAAATACAAGCATCGCAAATGAAAGCCGCTGTTGAAAAATTAAGACAGAGGGAAAATGGAAAGGAAATGTGTCGAATGGAAGAGGAATATGAGGTGAATTTTTATTTTAAATTTTAGACCTTGGAACGATTTTTACGACTATTTTTTAAATTTAAAAAAAAAAATTTTAAACAAAATACGTTTTTTTAGTATACAATGCAAATGTTCTTCAGATCTTCTTTATTTCAATTATTTAACAAATTTTTAATTAAAATTCCGCACTAAATTAATTATTTTTAATAATTTTAATGAAATTCTCCACAAATTCAATTATGTTAAACTATTTTCAAAATCAATTTTTTTAAAAAAAAAAGGTTATCTAAAATTATTTTGATAAATTATTTTCAATTCTGTAAAATTTAACAAAAAAATTTTTTTGAAATTCAATTATTTCTAAAAAAAAAATAATTTCAACTGTAACTCTTAAAAAATTCTATAATTATTGTTAATAATTTCAATATTTCTTAGAAAAATTGAATTATTATTTTTAATAATTTTTAATATTTCTTTAAAAATTTAATTATTTAAAAAAGCTTCAATTATTTTCCAAATATTTTTTTTTTTACCATTAAAACTAAAAACTTTGCAAAAATTTTAAATTCGAATTATTTACATAAATTAGAATTTAAAAAAATTTTTAAATGGAACTTTAAAAATTTGTTTTTTTTTAGAAATTTGTTCTACTTTATTTCAATTATTTAACAAATTTTTAACTAAAATTCTTTACTAAATTAATTAATTTTAAAAAAATTTTAATGAAATTCTCCACAAATTCAATTATTTTAAACTATTTTCAATTCAATTATTTTTTTAAAAAAAAGGTTATCTAAAATTATTTTTGATAAATTATTTTCAATTCTGTAAAATTTAACAAAAAAATTTTTTTGAAATTCAATTATTTCTAAAAAAAAAATAATTTCAACTGTAACTCTTAAAAAATTCTATAATTATTTTTAATAATTTCAATATTTCTTAGAAAAATTGAATAATTATTTTTAATAATTTTTAATATTTCTTTAAAAATTTAATTATTTAAAAAAGCTTCAATTATTTTCCAAATATTTTTTTTTTTACCATTAAAACTAAAAACTTTGCAAAAATTTTAAATTCAAATTATTTGCATAAATTAGACTTTAAAAAAATTTTTAAATAGAACTTTAAAAATTTGTTTTTTTAGAAATTTGTTCTACTTTATTTCAATTATTTAACAAATTTTTAACTAAAATTCTTCACTAAATTTTATAAAAATTTTAATGAAATTCTCCACAAATTCAATTATCGTAAATTATTTTTAAATTAAAATTTTTATGAAATTTAATAATTGCTAATAATTTTTTAAAAAAATTAGCAAATAAAATTACCAAAAATTTTTAATTCAAAATCACTTGAAATTTCATTATTTACAAAAATTTCAATTATTATTTTTTAATGATTTTTAAAATATTCTTTGAAAATTCAATTATCTGAAAGCAAAATTTTCAATTAAAAACTATTTTGGAATTCAAATTTTTTTTTTTTTATGGGATTTTTAATAAATTCTTCATCAACAGAAATTACTAAAAATTTCTCTTATTATTTAATTATTTTCTGAAATTTAACAACAATCTTTTGAAATTCAATTATTTTCAAAAATTTCAATTTAAAAGCTTCTAAAATTTAATTATATCTAAAATTTTCTATTTAAAATTTTTTTAAATTTAATAATTTCAATTATTTCAATTAGCTATTTTGAATGATTTCTATAATATTTTTCGAAGATTTAACTATCTGAAACTATTTTTCAATTAAAAATGGTTTTCAAATTATTTTATTTTTGTCTGCAATTTCTAATAATTTTTTTTTTAGTGAAATTAACAAAAATTTCAAATTAAAAATCACTTGAAGTTTAATTAATTTCAAAAATCAAATTTGTAAATCTTTGAAAATTCAATTACTTTTAAAAAATGTTATCCAAAAAGTAATTGATAAATTATTTTTAGTTCTGTAAAATTTAATTATTGTTTGAAAATTAACAAAATTTTTTTGAAATTCAATTATTTCAAAAAATTTCAACTTTAACTCTTTCCAAAATTTTTATTTAAAAATCTGTAAAACTTGATTAAGTATTGCTTGGAATTTTTTTTTTTTTTGATCATCAAAACTAAAAAATATGACAAAATTTTTAATTCAAATAAATTGCTTAAATCACGACTTGAAAAAAATTTAAAAAATGGAACTTTAAGAATTTTTTTTTTTATAAATTTGTCTAAAATTTTGAAAATTTGTCTCAGTTCGATTTTGAAATATTCGAAATAAATTTTCTTAATAATATTTTCATTATAAAATTATTCTCATTTCAGAATTAATAAAATAAATTTAATATCTAATAACATTAGTGTTATTTAAAGTAAAATATTTTTTAACAAATTAAATTTTTTTTCAAATAAAAAATAACGAATTTTTTGGAATACAAATCGACTAAAACGATCCGAGGCGTGAAATTTATTTTTTTTTTGCAAAATTTTGGGAATTTTATTAAAAGTTTCTGGAAAAATAGAAAAAAAAAAATGTTTTTCAAAAATTATAATTTTTAAAATTTTCAATTTAAAATTTTTCCTTGTAAAAATTATATTAACAATTTTTTATGGTAATTGAAAATTTCGAAATATTTTCATTAGTGTTCGAACAGTTTATTTTATGCGCCTCAGTTTTTTTTTTCAAATTTGGCAAACAAAATTTATGGAGAGGGAAAAAATTTAATTTTCTTTTTCCATGATATTGAAAATAAATCGAAATTTTTCAATTATTACATATTTTATTTTTTTTTTGTGAATATTTCTGGATTAAAAAATTGTTTTTTGAATGACGAATTAATTTTTAATTTGAAGAATTTATTATTAAATTAAAATAAAATTATTAAATTTCAATTTAATTTTTTGTTAAATTATTAAAATAATTCAATAATTTAAAAAATAATAAATAGAAGAGAAGTAAGAAAATAAAAAATTTGTTATTATGAAAATTTGTTAAATTTGAAGTAAATTGTTAAATTAAAAAAAAATTTAATTTTGAAACAGTAAATAGTAATTAATTAATTAATAGTAATTAGTAAATAATTAGTAAATAATTAGTAAATAATTAGTAAATAATTAGTAAATAATTAGTAAATAATTAGTAAATAATTAGTAAATAATTAGTAAATATTAGTAAATAAAAAAAAAATAGGTAAAAATATTCTATTTATTTGTAAATATCAAAAATTGATTGGTATTTTTTTTTAATTTGTCGTTGGTCAAATTTCAGAAAATTGTCGCTGTCATGGAGGATAGAAAATCGTTTTCAGTTGGTGCAGCTGATGAGAATAAGGGTAAAAATCGTGACGATACAGTAATACCGTACGATAGAAATCGAGTGATATTAACACCAGTTCCTGGACGTGAACATTCAACATATATTAATGCATCATTTATTGAGAGTTACGATAATTCCGAGTCATTTATTATCACACAAGATCCAATGGAATCAACGATTGCCGATTTTTGGCGAATGATTTCCGAACAATGTATATCGACAATCGTCATGCTTTCGGACGTAAGTCATAATTTATTTATTACACTATTTTCATATTTAATTATTATTATTATTAGTATTTTATTTTATCAATTATAATTTTTGGGAAAAAATTAAAAATAATAAATAAAATTAAAATTAAAGCAAATATAATATACAATTTTTTTTTTTTTTGTCCGACAGCTGAACGAGGGATACAGAAAATGTCCACGCTATTGGCCTGACGATGAAACAATGCACGATCATATTAGAGTGCGTTATATACAAAGTGAGAGTTGTCCATATTATACGAGACGTGAATTATGCGTTTCAAATACAAAAGTCGATGAGAATATTGTCGTAACACAATATCAATATCATGGTTGGCCAACTGTTGAAGGTGAAGTGCCAGAAGTGACAAGAGGCCTCATTGAACTTGTCAATCAAATGGCACAATCAAATGGCAATGAAAATACAACTGGGCCATTAGTTGTTCATTGTAGTTGTGGCTCCGATAGGAGTTCAATGTTTGTTGCGCTTAGCATATTGGTACAACAATTGAGAACTGAAAAACGAATAGATATATTTACGACGACAAAAAAATTACGATCGCAGAGGCATGGAATGATCAGTTCATTCGTAAGTTTGGATTTTTTTTTAAAATAATTTAAAAAATTTACAAAAAAATTTGTAAATTATTATTCTTTGTCATTTTTTGGTAACGATAAAAAATTTTCCAAAATTTCAGGCACAATATGAATTTTTGCATCGAGCAATTGTGAATTATTCGGATTTGCACAATCTTGCCGACGATGAACCAGCCTCTTAATGAAGGGAGGTGAAAGGTTAGGCCCGATGGACTCTGCAATTTATTTTTGCTTGCGCTCAAAAAAAAGAAGAAACTAATTTTTTTTTTTTTTTGATTGGCCTCTCTTTTTTGTCTCGATAAAGGTAATTCATTTTTCTTTTTTACTACTACCATTCGAGACAATGAAAAAACACCTTAGTTTTTTTTTAATTTTTCAATTTTTTACCCCAAAAAAAAACTCGACTCTTTAAATTAGGAGCCAATTTCGTAAAACTTTTAATTTATTCTAAATTAGAGGGGGGGGGGATATTTTTCCGTTTTTGAGAAATTTTTTTTTTCCAATTTAGGCAAATTTTCCAAAATAATTTACGAAAAAAACAGTTCCAAAGAAGAAAGTTTCTCTCTTTAAACGAAAAGAAAAAAAAAAATTATTTGGGATTTTTCTTTAGAAAAGCAATTTGAATTAAAAAAATATCGAAAAATTGTTTTCTTACAAAAAAACGAAGTAGGAAATTTTCTCGCCCCTTTTTTATTTTTTTTTTTTTTCTTTTAATGAGCAACGCAAGTTTCGTACGTGGAAACCTATAAAAAAAAAATGGAGAAATTTCAAGGAATTCTCTTTATTATCAAAAATGGCAATCGTTAATTTTTTTTTTCCTTTTTTTTTGTCGTGAAATTAAGAAAATTGTCATATATATATATATGAAAAAGAGAATATCACTGGATCGAATCTCAAGCCCATAAAGTTACCAGAATTAAGTGAGGGCTTTCTCGAAATCGTTGAGGCCCACCGTTTTTACAGTAACTAAAGCGAAAAAAAAGCCCAGGAAGTGAGAGAAAAAAAAAATGGAGAAAAAAAAAAAAGTACATTTAATGATCATCGCAATGTGGAGAGAAGAAAAAACTGATTAGTTTTACAAGTGTTTATTTTTTGAACGATATTTATATATATACATATAAATATTACATATATATATACCATTTAGATATATATTGTACTTTTGTAAATTATTAATAATTAATAATTACTGATTACTGATTACTGATTACTAATTACTAATATTAGTAACAAGCGATTTTTTTTACAGAAATCTTTTTTTAAGAATCTACTTTTGGTCCCTCAATAACCAGTGAATATAATAATATAAATTTGAATTTTAAAAATCATTAAATAAATGTGCAAATTTTGCTTTTTTTCAGCCTATTTTTTTAAAAATATTTTTACTGATATTTATTCTGTATATTCGCACAATTTACTAAATATTTACATGATTAAATTGAAGGAGAGAGAAAAAAAAAAAGTGCAATCGATTTAATTGTGATAGAGAAATTTTTTTTCTGTTTTCTATTAAATAATTGAAAATTTCATTTCTTTTTTTCGAATATCGAAAGTTTTTATTTTTTCAATTTAAAATCTATTTTTTTTATCTTTATCGGTTTTTTATATTATTATTATTTATTAATTAAGCTTCAGCCTTTCGGCCCAGAAGTGGACTTGGTTTAATACAAAATTAAAAAATTATCGGTTTTTTATATGAATAATTTAATTTTTTATATTTATAAAAACAGAAACAAAATTTTTGAATACAAAAATAAATTTTTTTTTGTAATTTTTCTCTTTTTTTTTTTTTTATTTTTGTAACATTTTGTATCAAATGGTTTAAAAACAAAAAAAAAAAAAAACGAAAAGAAAGGCGAATATTTTTTTTACAATAGAAAAAGTTAAAAAATGACGACCAATAAAAAAATAAATTAACATAACTTATCGAAAATATTATTATAGTTACTGTGAAGACGGCGCCTATTTTTTTTTTTTAATTGTCCCTCATCGCGGAGGAAAGGAATTAGTTATAAATGAACGTGAAAAGAAAAAAAAAGAAAACCCAACGTGTGATAATGTAAATGATCACTATTTTCGAAAGCAATTAATTTGTAAAACTAGTCAAAGATGTGTCTAGTGACTTTCAACCAAATTGAAAAGTCAATAACGCTATACATATTATAAATATTCTAACGTATATATATATATATTTATATACAAATATATAGATATATATAAATATTATACAATTTACATTCATATTTGGTAATAATTTTTATATATTTTTTTTCTTTTTAAACGAAAAAAGAAACTCAATTCAATTTTGAAAATACCAGAGGCGGCCTAGAATTTAATTAAAAATATTGAATGAGTTGATTTTTTTCACAATAATATTTTAGCTTTTTTTTTTTAACAAAAATTTTTGAATATTTAATGTAAAAATTTTAATTCTTCCAATTTCAATTTCGAGAGAATTTTACGAATTGTAAAATTCTGAAAAATTTTCAAAGAAATTTTTTTTCTTGAGAAAATTCAAAGAATATTTAAAATTTCGTAATAATATAGTAAATTATTTTCAATTCCGTGAAAAAAAAAATAATTAGAGGAGAAATTATTCAAAAATTTTGCAAAAAATTTCATTTTTAAATTAACAAAAAAATTTAATTTCATAAAATTTGGATTTAAAAATTTTATTTACAAATTTTATTTAAAAAGTTTGTATTCCAAAATTTTATTTACAAATAATTTAATTTAAAAGAAACTTTTTAATATTTATAATATTGAAAATTTCCGGAGACTGAATTTTTTAAAAGGCTTAATCATTTTCTACAAAATAAAATAAACAAAAAAAGTAAAAAGTAAAAATAAAAATTTTTCAAAGTTTATAAGCTGTGAAATTGAGTAAAAATTGTTTCTTTTTTGAAAGAAATTTAATCATTGACTTTAACTATAAAAATAGTAATATTAGTAAAAGTATTTTTATTCTCTCTGAATTAAACTTTTTTTTTAAAAGTACGCTTTTTATATTAAGAAGCTTTTTATAATTATCTTTTAGTATTTTAGAAAAAAATGTTAGCAATAATATAAAACGTAGAATTTTTTTTTCGTAAAAAATTAGAAAACATTGAGAAAAATAATTTTTGTTTCACAAATCAAAATATTTTTTTTTTTCAATTAGAAAAGAATTTTTATTAAATAAAAAAATATTTCAAAATTTTAATGTATTTTTTTTTTAGCCAAATAACTTTGTTTATTTTCTCTAAATAAACAAATAAATGATTTTATTTAATTAATGTAAGTATAAAAAAAAAAAAATGTGCAACTTTTACTCAATGGGCGTAAGTGAGAACAAAGTCGTTCGACAATAAAAAAAAAATTGAGACAAAGATATTTTTTTTAATTCTAAATAATTTTTTAAAAATCTATTATTGTAATTTTTTAATAATAATTTTCTAATTTTTAATTACAATTGCAAAAGATTAATTTTTTTTTTGTCTTTTGAATTATTTTTCGAAACTTCCTTTACAAAAATTTGTCCTTTGAAAAAATTTGATAATTTATTTCTTTTTTTATTATTATAAATACAAAAAACTATTTTAAAAAATTTAATTTTAAAAAAGAGTAATTATAATATTCGTAAAAGAAAAATTTTAATTCGATTAACAAAAATTTTTTTTTTTCGCTAATTTATTTGTCACTTGGGTGAAATTTGAAAAAAAGGAAGTTTCATTATATTGGAATTCTTGATGTTTATTTTTCTGTTGAGAAAAAACTTGTTTAGTGATTATTGTCCCTCAGGCTAGAAGTCAAGCCACTTTAAGAAAAGTAGCGCAATTGGAGTTTTTTTTTTTTTTTTTTTTTCTTTTCATTTGCGGTTACAAACTCTAGTGACCCAAAGCCAAGACCCTTGTAATGAAAATATAACTATGTACACATATTTATATTTATATCCCTCTACTTGAGAGTTTCTTTTCAAAAACTTTTTTTCTCCCCTTATCCAAAGAATTTACAAATTATTTTTTCGATTTTTTTTATTATAACAAAAAGAAATTTTTTTTTCTCTTTCCTCTAATTTTCATTTCTTGACATTCAAATTGTTTACATAAATTTGAAATTGAAAAAAAAAATTCCATAATTAAAAAAAAATGTAGTAATTAATAAATAATAAATTTTGTAATTAAATAAAATAAAATAATTAAATTAATAAAAAAATACAGAAAAAATTTGTTAAAAAATTTTTCTAAAAAAAATTTTTTGTGGTTTTTTTTATCAACTTTTGCGCTTTTTTTTTATAAAATAAAAAAAATTGTTTTAAATGACAAAAAACGTAGTTTTTTTTAAAAAGAAAAAAATTTCTATCAACTTTTGCGATAAAGGCAAACAAAAAAAAATTGTTTTCCACTGAAATAGAAGGAAAATTTTAGAATTTTTTTTCAAAAGACGAAAAAAACAAAAGAAAAATATGAACCTCCCTAATGCTTAAGAATACTCAAATATTTGCGAAAAACAAATATTTTTCCTAGATATATAAGTGAAAAAAAAAATGACTCAATTGTTCGACGGAAATATTCCAAAAAAAATTTATTGATGTTAGAAACTGATTTAACGATATAAAAAAAAAAACTCAATTTTTTTAAACGTATTTTCATATCAAAAAACAAATTTTTCACCATTCAAAAAAAAAAAAAAAAAAAAAATTAGAAAAAAGGAATAGTAAATTTTTTTTTTTTTTATATTTCACGTTAAAAAGTTCCATCATCAATAATAATAATTATAATTTATAATAATAATTAATAATTATAATTAAATAATTAATCGAAAATTGTTCAATGTGCCATCGGAAAGATTCGATCCTGAGGAAAATAATTTCTATCATAAAATAAAATTCGCGATTCTCTTTTTTTTTTTTTTTCGATATTAATTATTTTTCTCAACAGGTTTTTGCGTACGCTTCGCGTGTGTATACTTGTATAAATAAATGGCTGAAAAAAATATTTACCTAGATTATAAGATTCTTTTTTTTTTTATATATATAATAAATAAATAATAATCGATGAAAAAAAAGCAAAAAAAAAAAAAAAGAAAAAAAATTAAGTAAACACAAATGCGAACCAAGAATTTTTTATCACTTGCGTATTTGTAAACTGAAGGTGCAGTAAAAGTCTAATAATCCACTAAATTAAGAATAAAAAGAAAAAATTTTTTTAAAACTACAAATTCAATTAATTAATTTAAAAAAAAAAAATTTAATTGCGAAAAATTGTGGAAATTAAAAATCAAATATTGAAAATTAATTGAAATGTGAAAATTAATTAATTGAATTTAAAAAAATTGTGAGTGTATTGAGAATTTTGATACTTGGTATGAATGAAAATTTCGTTTTAAGGAAAAAAAAAAAAAAAATTTAGTCGTAAATAAAAACTGCACTCGATGTCAAATGAAAAACTGCTCGACACAAAAAAAAAGAAAATTTATTTCTATTTATTCTTATTACTTTGATATTATCCGTTATTCTAATTGTATTTTCTTTTTTTTTTTTTTTTTATTTTAAAAATGCGTTTCCTACGAAAAATAATAATAATAATAATATTGTACATAAAATCTGCGACAAAAAAAAAAAAAAAAAAAAAAAAAAAATCGCGCTCATTTGCATATTTTGAAAAAGCTATTTTTATTCTCCCTGACTAAATATCGAAAATGTTATCACAAAAAAGAAAATTTACTCACAAATTTTGTTTTTCAATTTCTATTTAATTTTTTGATTAATTTTTTCTTTTACAAAAAAATTGTTTTATGAAAAATTAATTAATTCGAAATCGAAAAATTAATATTCCATTTTTTCAATTTCTGTTTAATTTTTATTTTTTCTTTTACAAAAAAAAAAAATTTTATGAAAATTTTTTTAATAAATTGAAATTGAAAAATTAATATTCATTTTTTTCAATTTCTGTTTAATTTTTATTTTTTCTTTTACAAAAAAAAAAGTTTTATGAAAATTTTTTAATAAATTGAAATCGAAAAATTAATATTCATTTTTTTTAATTTCTATTTAATTTTTATTTTTTCTTTTACAAAAAAAATTTGTTTATGAAAAAAATTAATCAAATTAAATAGAAAAAAATTAATTTTTAATAAAATAAATTATTTTTTAATAAAATAAATAATTTTTTAATTAATAAAAAAATTTCTTTTACAAGGGAATTTTTTTTTTTAATTTCTCATATTCTTTGTTTTTTCGATATTTAGTCAGAAAAAAGACAACAATAACAACAACGTAACAAAAAGTCAACGAATCAGTGATAAACCAAAGGAAATTTCTTTTTTTTTCGATTGCGGTGAAAAAAAAGAGAGAATTAATAAAATGCACAATTTTTTTTTTTTACTGGTTCGTTAACTTTAGGCGATATTTTGAAATATATATATATATATAGAAAGAGAAAGAGAAAGAGATAGAGAGAGAGCGAAGGATAGAAAAAAAAGAGAACACTGTTTTTTTGTTTTGCGTTTTACGCAAAATTATACAGAGACTGAACAGGAGAGAAATTTTTTTTTTTTTTTTTTTTTATTGAAAAAAAAACAAGTTTTATTTTTGTAAATTATTTTCTTTTTTCTATTCAAATATTTGCTTATTATATATATATATTACCACTATCGTATTAATTCTGCTGTAAATCGAAAGTCGCTGAAAAAAATTCAATGTAATTATAACTGTGATTTTGTAATTTGTTTCAATAGATCTACGTCTGCAGAAAATAATCTGTTTTTTTATTTATTTATTTCAATAATATTTTTTCGTATTTAATAATTTTCCATTTTTTTTATAATAAAATTCTAGTATTTTTATTTATTAACAAATATTTCTTTATTTTAGATTTACATTGGTATATTTAAATTGATAATTTTCGGTTTTTATTTGAAATTTTGAATTTATACGTTTTTTAAACAGGAGCGTACATAGAAACTGAAACACCCCTGCTATTGATTTTTTTTATCATTTTTATTTCAAATCGAATACATTGGAATTTAATTTTATTAACATTTCTTATTTCAGAAGGAAAATATTGGAAATTCTCCCTATTTTATAATTTTATATCAACGGTTTTAAATTTTGAATTTGGACAGTTATTTCAGGGGCGTGTGTAGAAACTTCCGTCTCCCTTGCATACGCCCCTGTATTAAACTAGGGAATTTTTATTCAAAGTGTGTTTGTATTTTTTTTAATTATAAAAAAAATGTTTCGCGTACAATTTTTATTATTAAATTATAATTAATAGTAATTTAAAAATTAAAATTTGGCATTTTTTAACGCTATTTTGTGAGATTTCGTCTTTAAAAAAAAAAAAAAAAAAAATTATTTTTCTTATCTTTGAATATTATGTTTACGATGGTTGAAATTTTTCCCACTACGTCCCTGTGTGAATCGATTATTTCGACTATCGACAGCTTCAAGGACAAATGTCGTCAATTGAAGTAGTAAATCGTTTTCCCGTTGTTCCCTCGGGACAAAATTTTTCACTTGAGGAAATAACAAAACACCCATCATAAATAATAAAGCCATACCAATAAAACTGCTAACAGCCACAAATAATGGATTTGTCATTTCTTTATTTGTTTCCATTATTTTTGTATCTTGCATTACGTTGTCAGGCTGAAAATAGAGATTTTTTTTTTATAATATATTTTTATAAACATTTTTCAAAATTAAATTGTTTAGGAATATTTTTTCCTAACCTCAAAAAAAGAATTTTTGAAATTTAATATTATTCGAATTATAATAAATAAAAAAAATTAAATATTGTAACGAGGGTGCAGGGATTTAGTTCTCGTGTATACGGCACTGGTCGCGTGACGTCACACTGCGATTCGAGGAGACTTCCCCATTGTCGTCTCAGTTTTTCGTCACTAGAGTTACAATTTCAAATCTTAGCAAAAATCTTATTAGTACGCGATTTAGTTTCGTTTTCGTTTTTTAATCGCGAAAGTGAAAATATGTATTTTTTGAGCAAATCATCATTCAGTGTACATCGAATTGTTGGCGGATGAGGGAGCAAAAAAAAAAATGGAGGCACGTAACACCCGGCAGAAATGGAAATTGTAAGTTTTTCATTGTTTAAAACTACTATTTGAATTATTATTTATAAAAGAATTGCGTTAAAAATTTTCGACTTTTTTTTTGAGGTTATGTTCGTTTTTACGAAATTTTTTTTTATTTGAGGCTAAAAATAACTTACTATTGTTTTGTAGCCATAATTATTTCTAAGTTCATTTCCAAATGATTGAAGGGGAAAAAAATAGTAACTATATTGTGGTGATGTGGGTATTTCTAGTTGATTTGATGTGACACGCGGTGTTTTTCCTTGTGAAGAAATAGAATTCGTGAGTAGTGGTACAAGTCCCACAGGTGAACCTTTTTTTAATGCATTTTCATACATTGCAGCTAATTGAATTTTTGTCATTCCAAGTGGTTCTTCCTTCCATGATTTATTATTAATCATTTGGGGTCGCAACACAATTTCCTGTCAAAAAAAAAATATAAATCTTCTTTTTATATATAGTGAAGAAACCATCGCATTTTTCTATAAATATTTTTTGAGGTTAATTTTATCAATTTTTCCCCGATGAATAAAAATATTACAAAATATTAAAATAGAAATAGAAAATAAATATAGAAAATTAATAATAATAAAATATAAATGGAAAAATAAATAATATAAATTGCATTAGGGATTTTAATTTTTATGTAACTAGAAAAAAGTTTCTAGAAGGTAGTAAGAACAAAAAATTTAGTTGGTAGCAGTGTAACTTGAAAGAAAAAAAAATCCTGTTGGTAGCAGTGTAACGTGATGAAAAAAAAATTCAGTTGGTAACAGTGTAATTTAAGAAAAAAAATTCAGTTGGTAACAGTGTTTAGAATAAAAAAAAGAATTTCCTATTTAAATCAAAGAGTGAAACCGCGGTGAAAAATTAAAATAAGAATTAAAATACTTATAGGAAATTGATTTAAATAAATTCGTATTTCAGTAAAATATGTAAGTAATTTACGGTTTTATTAAATTTGAAAATTTTGTAAAAGTTTAATTTGAATAAAACAGAGATAATGAAAAATCTCCGAATTATCAAATTTTAGGTTATGTTTCCCATATCTCGTTTTCTCTAAAGTGTTTATATATGTCTGTATTAAATTTGATTACATTTTTATTGTAAATTTTTAATATTAAATTTTTATTATACCTGATTGTCGGTGGCGATTGGAAGAAAATCATTATCAATTTTCTTAATAGAAATTTGATTACCAGGATATCGATTGTAATCAAATTGATGATAATAATCCGGTTTAGTTTTCCAATAACGATGGTGAATACTATTGACATTTTTTTGTCCATTTTGAAATGAAATTGACATTGAATGAGAAAGATGATTTGATGAGATTTCGTTCTGATTATTATTATTATTATAATTATTTCGATTATTATTTAAATTATTATTATTATTAATCAGATTATTATGAAAGACAGGATTATTAAATGTTTGTAGTTCGTTCATTACTGTTTTTAAATAAACGTCACTCGATTCCTTGTCAATCGCGTTGATTGTGTGCAATGGCAACAATGGCATCATTATCATCCAAAGTGATGAACCAATTTTTTTTAATCTCATCTTACTCTCGTCCCAATCTCCAGTCTCTTCTGTACTTCATTAATTATAAAGCTTAACTAGAATCAGAGGGGGAAAAAAAAAACTTTTCTTAATTACAAAAAAAAAAAAAAGAAAAATGTAGAAAATCTCCACTTTCTCATTTAGAGTCAACTAAAAATTAGGAAACTTTATCAGTTTTATTACGTTTTCGATTTTTTTTTTTTTCATGTGTAAGAATGAGAATTTTTTTTATATAGGTACAAAAAATATTTAAGCAATTTATTTCTCTATTTTAATAATTTATTTATTTATTTATTTAATAATAATTAGGAAACGTTACCACTTTTATTTCTTTTTAATTTTTTTTTTCAAGTGAAATAATGAGAATATTTTTTAATAACAAAAAAAAAATTCAGCAATTTTTTTTTTCTATTTCAATAATTAATTACTTAATAAATAACTTAAATAAATAAATTAATTAATTTAATTAATATTTTTTGAAATTTTTTTTTAGAATGATAATTTTTATAGGTACAAAAAATATAAAAATAAAACATTTGTAAATTACTTTTTTATTTTAATAATATAATTGATAGAATAATTATTATTATGTAATTAATTGTTTATTATTATAATTATTATTAATTATTATAAATAAATTAATAATAATTGCAGGCCTCGGATTATACGATTTTTTTGACTATTTCCGACTTTTTTCGACTTATTTTAATATAAAATGCGACTTTTTCGACTCTTTTTTTTTTTTTTTTTTAATTTTTTTTACAAAATTTTTAAACAAAATACGTTTTTTTTAGTATAAAATTCACATCTTCTTCAGATCTTGTTTATTTCGATTATTTAACAAATTTTCAACTAAAATTATTCACTCAATTAATTATTTTTAATAATTTTAATGGAATTTATCAAAAATTCATTTATTTTAAACTATTTTTCAATTTAAATTTTTATGAAATTTAATAATTAATTATTATTTAAAAAAAAAATTATCAAATAAAATTACTTATCAAAACTTTTTAATAAATTCTTCATCAACAGAAATTATTAGAAATTTCTCTTATTATAATAATTATTGTCTGAAAATTAACACAATTTTTTGAAATTCAATTATTTTTAAAAATTTTCAATTAAAAATCTTTTAAAATTCAATTATTTTCTAAAATTTCAATTCAAAATCAATTATTTACGAAATTTTCAATTCAAAATTTTTTAAAATTCAAATATTTTTCAAAATTTTCGTTCGAAATCAAATAAAATTCAATTATTTTCAAAAAAATTTGAATCCAAAATCAACTAAAATTCAATTATTTTCAAAAATTTAAATTCAAAATCAATTATTATCAAAATTTTCTATCTAAAATCAACTAAAATTAAATTATTATCCAAAATTTCAATTGAAATTCAATTTTTTTAAAAATTGCAATCCAAAAGTAACTAAAATTCAATTATTTCCAAAATTTCCATTGAAATTCAATTATTTTCAAAATTTCAAATTCAAAATAAACTAAAATTTAATTATTCTCACAAATTTCAATTCAAAATTAATTATCAAAATTCTCAATCTAAAATCAACTAAAATTAAATTATTTTCAAAAATTTCAATTATTTTCAAAATTTTCAATTCAAAATCTTTTAAAATTCAATTACTTTCAAAATTTTCAATTCGAAATCAACTAAAATTTAATTATTTTCAAAAATTTCAATTCAAAATTAATTATCAAATTTCTTAATCCAAAATCAACTAAAATTTAATTATTATCCAAAATTTCAATTGAAATTCAATTTTTTTTTAAAAATTGCAATCCAAAAGTAACTAAAATTAAATTATTTCCAAAATTTCAATTGAAATTCAATTGTTTTCAAAATTTTCAATTTAAAATCAACTAAAATTTAATTATTTTCCAAAATTTCAATCCAAAATCAACTAAAATTCAATTATTCTCAAAAATTTCAATTCAAAATTAATTATTATCAAAATATTCAATCTAAAATCAACTAAAATTAAATTATTAGCCAAAAAATTTCAATTTAAAAGCTTCTAAAATTTACCATCTATAATTGTTTTGAAATTTAATAATTTCAATTATAACTCTCTCCTGAAACTCAATTTTTTAAAATTATTTTTATAATATTATTCGAAAATTCAACTATCTGAAACTATTTTTCAATTAAAAATGGTTTTCAAATTATTGTATTTTTGTTCGAAATTTCTAATAAATTTTTTTTGCATGAAATCATCAAAAAAATTTAATTAAAAATCACTTGAAATTCAATTAATTTCAAAAATCTCAATTATAAATCGTTGGAAAATTCAATTACTTTAAAAAAAATGTTATCTAAAATTATTTGATAAATTATTTTTAATTCTGTAAAATTTAAATTTTATATTGTCTGAAAATTATAACAAAAAACCTTTTGAAATACAATTATTTCTAAAAATTTCAACTTTATAACTCTTTTCTATTATTATTTTAAAAAAAAATTTTATTTTAAAAATTTGTAAAACTTTTTTGTTAAAATAAAAAAAAAAACCGTTTTTTTCGACTTTTTTTGGAACATAAATCGATTAAAACGACTTTTTTTTGTGCCTTTAAGTCGATCCGAGGCCTGTAATTGTAAGTTAATTAATATAAAGTAAAAAATTTATTAATATAAATAAATAAATTGAAATCGAATATTTATTTAAATATTTTTTTTATTGAAATTAGTGTATAAAAAATACAAAAAAAATTTTGCGGTACTTTTTTTTTGTAAATTGTATTTAATGAAGTAGAAATACAAAAATAATAAAAATAAAAATAACTTTGAAACACGTGTTTGAAAATTTAATGAGTTTTTTTTGGTAATGAAACTGGCTTTACAAGTTTCGCACAATTTGAAATGTGGAAACTAGAATAAAATGAAATACAAAGTCTCTGGGAATCATAAAATTAACATACACACACGGCACGATTTTCTGTTTTTAATTAGACCAAATGATTTCATATGTTTCATGTGCGTGTGTGTGTGTGTGTTAATTAAAGTGAATCTATATTAAATTTCTCCTAATTCAAAATTATATTTATCTCCTCGTAATTTTCTATACGTGTTATAAAATTAATATTCGCGGATAGACGATTATTTATATATATATATATTTATATATATTTAATATAAAAATTATCATAATTATATTTTACTGAAATTTATCATCTTTGAATTTAAAAATTTTTTTTTTCTAATTAATTGATCATAAATTTGTTATATAATATTTAATTAATTAAATTTTTATTTTTTGTTTTTTTAACGTCTATGAAGAATTTAAGAAAAAAATATGTAAATTCTAAATCTGAATTAGTGAAAAAAAATTTCTAATTAATTTAAATTTGTAAATGACTTTTTGTTATAAATTATAATTTTTTACTAAAAAAAAAAAATTAGTAACAAAATTTTTTCAGTCAAATTTTTGTGTTTTTTTTTTTAATTAAGATTAGTTAAAAAAATTTTTTTTTTCTTTTTTTTACTATTTTTTTAATGAAAATTTTTTATTTCATTTATTTTTATTTATTTATTTATTAAATTGATATTATTTTTTAAAATTTTATTTACTTAATAAATAAATTAATTTCTACCGAATAAATACTAATTTTTCTAATTTAGTAACTTTAAAAATTTATTTACTAATTCAGATTTAAAAGAATAAAAGTACAAACAAAATTAAAAAAAAAAAATAGTAATTAGAATAAAAATAAATTTAATAATTAGAATAAAAAAAAAAAATTAGCTTCATTCAATTTAATAATAGAGATCAAATTTTTATGAATACAAAAATAAAATACACTGAAACGAATAGAAAAAGAAATAACATAAAAAAATTTCAAAAATAAATTCTTCTATAAAAAATAAAAATTTTAGCAAAATTAAAAAATTCACCTCTAGGGTAATTAATTTTTGAAATTAGAAAAAAAAGTTAAATAAAAAATAAACACTTAAATTAATTAAAAAGGAAAATTGAAAATAAATCATGAGAAAAAAAAAATTGAAGAGAAATAGAAAAATATATTTATAAAAATTTCAAAAATAAATTTTTTTATAAAAAATAAAAATTTTAACAAAATTAAAAATTCACCTCTAGGGTAATTAATTTTTGAAATTGGAAAAAAAGTTAAATAAAAAATAAACACTTAAATTAATTAAAAAGGAAAATTGAAAATAAATCATGAGAAAAAAAAATTGAAGAGAAATAGAAAAAAAATAATTTCCAAATGGAAAAATTAATTTCAAAAACTTACAAAAAAATTTGGTGTGTGTGGAATCACTAAAAGAAAAAAAAAAGAAAAAACTTTCACAAATAAAACTCTAATGATTGATTAAAAATTTTTGCCAATTGAAAAAATCACTTGTAAATTTTTTCATCATTTTTGATAATAATTTTTTTTTTTTCCTTTTTTTTTTTTGCTTTACTTTAACGGACACTTGATTACGATCAACACTCTCATGTTGATTGAGTTCATGAAACTACATCATCACATTCGATTCTTTGGAATACAGAACCGGTAGCGCTTTCTGATCTCTTCCCCCCCTCTCTCTCTCTCTCCTCTTTTTAATTTTCCCCACACCATTTTATTTCCAATCAAATCAATTTTAATTCATTTACCTCTTTTTTTTTCTCTCTATCCACTATTTTTTTTTCATCATTATTATATTTTCATTTTTTCTGTTCCGTGATGAGAAAAAAAAAATTAAAATTATATATTATAATTATTTAATTCGATTTTTTACTGTTTTTTGAGAAATAAAAAAAATTATTTATTTATTTACAAAAAATAATTTATTTTATAATTTATAATTAATTATAAATATAATTATAATTATTTTTTAATTATTTAATTTATATAATATAATTTATTTATGAAAAATAAACGGTATAGAGTACCTGTAATAATTAAAAAATATAATAATAATAATAATAAAAATAACTAATAATAATATGTATATAATTAAATTTTTTAATTTAAAAATTTTTCTAAATTTAATTTAATTTACTTTTCATTCTATATATATATATATATATAACTATTTCTATAATTTTACTTGCATATTATTTTATGTATGATAAAAAAGAAATTTTTCCCATTATTTCTAAAAGAGCTTTATATTAAAGTTTAATAATTATATTTTCAATCATATTTTCAATTACATTTTCCTGTCGCAGGCAAATATGAAATTTAATTCTCAATACTATAGAATTTTGCCATTAAACTTTTAAATGAAATATTAAATTAAATATCTAAAAAATATATATATATATTTATATGAAATACCAACAATTTATTATAAATTCTACGTAAATTAAATATTAATAATTAATAATGATAAATTTAATTAATAATAAAATAAATTGATTTAAATGGTAATTGTGTTTTAATAAATTAATTAATAAAAAATGATAAAAAAATTTTGTTTTTTAATTTTTTAAAAGAAGGGATAATTTAATTTTGAATTTAGAAAATAATTAATTAATTTATAATAATAATAACAACAATAATTAATATCAAAAAATTAATAATAATAATCAATAATAAAAGGCGAAAAATTTATTTTGTATTTTTTGAAGGAAAATCAGATTTATTAATAATTAATAAAATAAATAATAATAACAATTAATAATAATAATTAATTACTTTGTATTCAAAAAAATTTTTTTAATATGATTTGAAATTATATTTCATTAAAAAAAATGTTTTTTTTTTTTACTTTCTTTGAAATCAAATTTAATGATGTGAAAATTTTCCATCTTAAAAATTTGGGAAATTTGAATAAAATTTTCGGAATATTTTTTTTATTTGAATTTAAAATGAAATTGAGGAACAATTTTTTATTATTATTTTATTATTTTTTTTTTTAATAAAAAATAAATAAAAACTTCCCCCCCCCTGTCTCTCTCTCTCTCTCTGTTTTCATCGTACTTGTTTTACAACGCAATGTCGAACAAGTAACGACTGTACACATAACGGAAGATACAAAACCGGGTCTTAGGATACGATGGACACACGTTGTTTCTGTAAATGTAACACGTATTACGCGCTCATGTAACACTTTCAAGAAAAACATTTTTACATTTTTTCCGTAAAATCGAATCTCATAACAAAAAAAAAAAAAAAAAACAAGAAAACGCGGGAGAAAACAAATACATAAAAACAAATCGAATATTTCTTCTTATTTTTCGGAAAAAAAAAATGATGAGAAAATTTTTTTTTAATCGAATTTCAAAGCAAATGGAAATTAATTATAGATGAAAAAAATAATGAATTACTATTTAATAAGGTGAATTAGTTTTTCTATATTTAATTTTTATTGGAATTTTTATATTTAGGGTATAATTTTAATTTTTATGGAAATTTTAATTTGGATTTGCAATTATAATTTTTATTGCAATTTTTATTTTTATTGAAAATTTAATTTTTATTGCAATTTTTTTCTTTTTATTGAAAATTTAATTTTTTTGAGAATTAAATTTTGTATGGAAAATTTTTATTTATATTGCAATTTTTATTTTTATTGAAAATTTAATTTTTTTTGCAATTTTTGTTTTTATTGAAAATTTAATTTTTTTGAGAATTAAATATTTATAGAAAATTTAATTTTTTTGAGAATTAAATATTTATGGAAAATTTTAATTTATATTGCAATTTTTATTTTTATGGAAAATTTAATTTTTTTTTGAGAATTAAATTTTCATGGAAATTTTAATTTAGATTTGCAATTTTAATTTCTTTTTTTAATTTTTATTACATATATATTTAATTTTTTAATGACAATTTTTATTTTTATTGAAAATTTAATTTTTTTATTGCGCATTTTTTATTTTTATAAAAAATTTAATTTTTTATAAAAATAATATAATTTTTATTCTATTTTTAATATTTATGAAATTTTTTCTAAATTCCGTTTATTTATAAATAAATAAATAAAAAATGTAGGATAAAAAAATGGTAAATTATTTTAATTTAAATATTTGAAAATTAAATTAAAAATTTTAAAATTTTATTTATTCGAAAATAAAATTTCCATTTCAAAAATTTGCTTTTTCCAAATAAAATTTTATATTTTTTAATGTTAAGGTGTGAGGACAATTTTTTTTATTATTGTTATTAATTTCCTCTTTTTTTAAAAATTATTTTAAATCCACTAAAAAAATTTAGAGCGAAATTTTTGAAAAATAATTATTTTTATTTTCAAAATAATTAAAAAAATTTTTTTTAATTTCAAATTTAAAAAAAATTAAAATTAAAGAGAAAAAAAACCCATTACAAGAGAGAAAAAATGTAATTTCATTCACGTGAAAAGTGTGTGTAAAATTTTTTTTACAAACATTTCCCTTTTTATTGTTTGAAAAAATAATAATAATAATGATAATAATAATAATAATAATAATAGGTAATAATAATAATAATAAAAAAGAAGAAATATTGTCGGGATTTTAGAAGAATCCTTGTTGTAGAGTGGCCTCTATACATATATTAAAAAAAAAAAAAAATAAAAAAAATAATAATATGAAAAATGTAACCACTTACATTTGAAATCGAGATATGTATATATATGCTTTTTCATGGTAAAAAAAAATGTGCATTGAATTGAACATATACCTTTTACAAGAGTAGCTATAAAAAAAAAAAGTGAGCTCATACACCAAGGGAGTCTTTTATCATCGTTTCTACGCAAATATACATTCCTCAGTTGAAGAAGCCTTCATCTTTTTTTTTTTTCTTTTTTTTCTTCAAAATAGTATTCGCACCCTCGCGAGAAATTTTTCTCAAGTGTTTTTCAAGTTTTATCCTTATCATTCTTTTCCGATAAAGAAAAATTATAGTTAAAAATTTACACAAAAATAAAACTCATATAAATAAATAAAAATTTTTTTTTTATTTTTTACTAATTTATTATATTGATTATTTTCAAAAAAAAAATAAAATAATAATAATAATACATAATAATAATTTTTTCCTCTCCTAAATTTGTTTCAGAAAAAAAATTATAAAAATAAAAATAATAATATAATAATATAATAATAATAATAATAATAATAATACTAATAATTAAAAAAAAATAATTTTAATAATAATAATACTAATAATTAAAAAAATTTAAAATTTAAAAAATAATTAAAAAAAAATAAATCTTTAATTATTATACTTAATTATTACTATTAATTTTTAATTAAATTAAATTTTATTAAATTTTATTAATAATTATAATTAGGTAAAAAGAAATTCGTTTTTTTTTTCTTTACTAAAACCTGGTTCTATGTATTTTTGGAAATTTTCATTTTTTATTTCCTATTTTTGAAAAATAATTATTTTAAAAACAAATACCTTAAAATTGAATTTTCAAAAAAGGAAAATATTTATACCAATATAAATTTTTATTATTTATTAATTTTTTTTTTAATGAGATTTTTAATTTTTTTTTATTAATTCAAGCTAGGTTGGCCGAGTGGTCTAAGGCGCCAGATTTAAGCTCTGGTTCCCGGTTGGGAGCGTGGGTTCGAACCCCACACCTAGCAAAGGAGAATTTTTTTTTTTTTTTTTTTCTTCATTTTTTTCTTATAAATTATTATAACAAAAATTAAAAAAAAATTGTCCCCACAATTTCAATTTTCGATCTGTTCAAACGATTCGGAATTTCCCCTAAAAAAAAAAATTGATAGAAAAAAATTTTGAAATAAAATTTTTTTTAACACTTTTGAATGAAAAAAAAAACAATTTATAGTAGTTAGTAAATTTTTTTAAAAATATTAATATTAATAATAATAATAATAATAATAATAATAATAATAATAAATACATAAATAATAGATAGTTAAAAAAATTTTTTTTATTAATATTAATAATAATAATAATAATAATAATAAAAATAATAATAATAATAATAAATAATAGACAGTTAAAAAAATTGTTTTTTAAAAATATTTTGTGAAAATTTATAATAAAAAAAAAATTTGGTGATACGCTAAGAATTTTTAAAAAGCTCATGTAAATCAAAAATCTCAATTTTAAATTTATATATATCTATATGTAGAAAGCACTGTAAAACTTTTTAAAATCCTTCTAAAGTTTTATGAGCGCTAAAAATTTTTAGGGTCACTTGGAGAGATTTTAAATTTGCAAATTTTACGAGCGTCTAGATTATATAGGGGGAGATTTAAAAAAAAAAAAAAAAAAAAAGAGTATTTCAACTTTTCATTCTATAAATAAAACAGATTCTCTCTAAAGACGCAAATTTTCTCAACTTTAGAGAAAGAAATTTAAATAATAAAAATGAAAAAAAAAAATTTTCATTTAATAAATTAACAAAAAATTTGTAATTGCAAAAAGTATTTGCAAAATAATAATTTAAAAATATTGAAAAAAAAAAAAATGAAAGAAAATTAGTATTGATTTTTTTTTCTTTCTAAAGAACGTAATTATTTTTTAAAAGATCGAAATTAAAAAAAAAATACTTTTTTGTCATTTGTCGAATGAATAATGATATTATAAAAATATAATATAACGAGTATAGGCGGATTTCTGGTTCGACGGTTTTTTTTCTTCCTTAAGTCCGTTACACTCGGTTAGACTATTATTTGTGACATACTCAATAATATAATGATAACTTTCTTAGGAAAAAATAAAAAAAAAAAAAAAATAGATTCCTGACATAAAAAATTACAGAAGGCGTCCTCCGTGTTACAAAAATTGAATATGTCAATTATTTTGCGAGAGAATAAAAATTGATAATAATATTAAAATATACTCGACTTCCGAGTTTCTTGTTAAGAGCAATTATATATATGTATAATATGTTTATTAATTATTAATTGTAATATGTTTATTATAAATCAGAGTAAAAAAAAAATTTCTTTTTAAATAAAAATTTTTCAAAATTACAAATTAAAGAAAAATAAAAAAAAAATTTTTGCCATTAAATCTTTGAACTAAACATGAAAATGACAAATAAAATAAATAAAAAATAATTAAATTGTGAAATTTTTAATTATAATTATTTAAAAAAAATTTTAATAGAATTTTTATTATTTAAAATTTTCAAAAACAAATATTTATTAAATAAAACATTCACTAACCTGATAAAATCCATTATTTACTTGCGTGGAAATCTGAAAATTCTACTAAAAAAAAAGAGAACCTAAAAAATTTACAAAAATTTTTGAAAACTTAAGAAAAATACTGTAAATAAATTTAAATTTAACGAATTCTCCTAATAATAAAAAAAATTTAATTAATTTCTCTAATAATAATTTTCAAAACAAAACCTAAAAAAATATTTACTAAACTAACAAAAAAATTTAACGAAATTAAAAATATCCCACGAAATTTACAAAAAAAAAAAATTCTACAAAATTTTAGAAAAAAAAAAAAATATAATTATTTATTTAAAACATTAATAAAATTTAAAAAAATTCTGTAATTTAGTTATTTAAAAAATTTAAAAACAATCCTGTAATTTAATTATTTATTTATTTTAAGAAATTAATTAATTAAAAAAAAGGAAAAAATGAATTTAAACCGTTGGACAAAAAAAAAATTGACAAAAAAAAATATGAAAAGAAATCTACAAAAATTATTAAAACGAATTTTTTTTCAATTAAATTTTCAATTTCACTAAACTTTTTTTTTCAATTCTGTTAAATTTTGAAGGTATTTAATTTGTTTTTTTTTCATTAATTTATTTATTAAATTAATATTATAGTTGATAATTTTTTTGATTTTTATTAATGAAAAAAATTAAAATATTTAAAACTAATATTCTATTATTAATTAAAAATATTATTTATTTTAATTTACTGAAATTTTAATTAATAATTTATTAATTGACTAAATTTTAATTGAGAGGCTGATAGTAAAAATGATTTAAAATAACATTGGGAGCAAAAGTGGGATAAGCGACTTGGGAGAAAAAACGGGTTAAAATGATTCGTGTAATTTATTGATAAATTCATTATATTATCGATTCAAAAATATTAATTATAATAAAATATGCATTTTTTCCTATTGTTAATATTTTTTAATCGTTAATATAATGAATTTGTCAATAAATTACACGAATCATTTTAACCCGTTTTTGCTCCCAAGTCACTTATCCCACTTTTGCTCCCAATGTTATTTTAAACCATTTTTACTATCAGCCCCTCAATTATGAATTAATTATAATTGATTAGAATTAATTAGAATTAAAATTAGAATTAAACTAATAATTGATTTAGAATTAATTAGAACAAATTAAAATTAAAAATAATTAATTAGAATTAATTAGAACAAATTAAAAATAATTAATTAGAATTAATTAAAATTAAAAATAATTAATTAGAAACAATTAAAATTAAAAATAATTAATTAGAAACAATTAAAATTAAAAATAATTAATTAGAATTAATTTAAATTTAAAAATTAATTAATTAGAACCAATTAGAATTAAAAATAATTGACTAGAATTAATTACTATACTAAAATGAAAAATAATTTTCAAAAAATTCAATAATTTATTCGAAACTTAAAAAAATCAAAGAAATTCATTAAATCCTCAAAAACTCGAAAAAAAAATCACATAATCAAGGATAAACATTTTTTTTTTTTGGATCAAAGGTGAAAAAATGACAAAACAAAAAAAAATTTGCGTGGTAGAAAGTGGTTTAATAATACCCTAACATTAAAAAAAAATCTACTAAAACTACATTACTGTGTTTTGTTCAGTAACTCGTCAGTTTAAAAAAAAAAACGAAAAAAAAAAATTATTCGCGTTTTGTCAAATAACAAATCAATAATAATAATTATAATAATAATAATAATAAAATACGACAAATGACGACGGTGTGAGAAAGAAAAAAAAAGAAATTTTTCTTTTTTTTCCCCCTTCTCAATTGCCTTTAGCGGCGCGTATTATTTTGCAAATTTCAATCCAAGTACGTCCATACGAGCTGCAAATATCGCAGACTTTTGGCGAATTTGAAGACGTTCCTTGACTGATATTGTGACATTCTTGAAAAATTCCACCCTCATTTTCTAAACGTTCACATCCTCCAATTGTACTCGATGACGAAAGACTAACACGATCAGATGAACTTGTTGCCTCATGTGATGAGGAATTAGATTTTTTCTTTGTCTTCAATGTCAATGTGAGATTTCGCAATTCTTCCACGGACGGAAGATATTTTTTGTTATTACTACTAATATTATTTCGGACACGAAGCGATGCCGGTAATGTTGCCGAACTGAATGTACTGCTGCAGCTGCTGCTAATTGACCTCGAGGCGACGTCTGTTGTGGTTTGTTTTTTTCTTAATATTGTTGATGTTGTTGTTGTTGTTGATGATGATGTTAATGGCAATAATAATTCATCGACGACTTTAAATTGCGATCGTGGTGATGAAATGCCAATTGAACGTCCCGACGGCGATGAGAGGCGCAAACAGTGCAAAAGACTAAGTCAATCATTGAGCAGACCTTGCGACACGCTTATTAGTTGATCTTTCAATACGCGAAACGATGGTCGTACCTCGGGATTATGGGCCCAGCAAATTCGCATTACCTGTACAGAGAGAGAAAAAAAAAAGAAAGGAAAAAATTAGAATTAAAAAATATTGTAAATTATTTAATTGAAAAGTAAATTTTAATATTACAATTTAAATAAATTCGAATTTTTTACTAAAAAATCGAAATTAGAATTTTTTTAATAAAAAAAATCGAAATTAGAATTTTGTAAATAAAAAATTATAATTATAAAATTAATTTAGAAAAAATTAGAATTTTTTTTTTTAAAAAATCGAAATTCGAATTTTCAATCAAAAATCGAAACTGGAATTTTTTAATTAAAAATCGAAATTAGAATTTTTGTAATAAAAAATCAAAATTGAAATTTTTTTAATAAAAACTAGAAATTAGAATTTTTTAAATAAAAATTTGAACATAAAATTGATTTATAAAAAAATTTGAATTTTATTTATTTTTACAATTAGAATTTTTTTTTTTAATAAGAATTTACACTTACAATTAAAAAAAATAATTTCTGAAATTTTTTAATAAAAAGTTTCAATTAAAATTGTAACAACAAATTATTTATAATTTATTTATTTATTTATTTATTTATTTAAACATAAACGGGTTACAAAAAAACCCTTTCGTAATTGTCCCGTCAACTTAAAATAAAAAATAAAAAGAAAATAATTTTTTTCATTTCATAATTGACAAAAACTAATAATTACTTTTCTAAATAATTAAATACAAAAACGTAGAAATTTTATTTTTATTATTAATTACAAGTAGAAATTTTTATTTTTTCCTGTTAATTTATAATAAACAAAATTTTAATTTACAATTTTTTTAATAATTAAAAAAATTTAATTTTACTTTTAAAAAATTTTTTTACATTAAAAACTTCCAATGAATTAAAACCTCGAATGTAAAACTAAAAATTAAATTTAAATAATTTAAAATAAAAATAAAATAATAAAAATTTTTTTAATAAATTATTATTTAAATAAAAAATCTCAATTAGAATTTTGTAAATAAAAAATTATAATTTTAAAATTAATTTAGAAAAAAAATTTTTAATAGAAAATTAAAATTAGATTTTTTTAAATAAAAAATCAAAATTGGAATTTTTTAATAAAAAATCGAAATTGAAATTTTTTTAAAAAAATCGAAATTGGAATTTCTTAATAAAAAATCGAAATTAGAATTTTCTTTTTAATAAGAACAAGAAATTAGAATTTTTTAATAAATATTTGAACTTAAAATTGATTTATACAAAATTTGAATATTATTTATTTTTACAATTAGAATTTTTTTTTTAATAAGAATTTAACACTTACAATTAAAAAAAATAATTTCTGAAAGTTTTTAATAAAAGGTTTCAATTAAAATTGTAACAACAACTTTTTGTTATTATTTAAAAAAATTAAAGTTTCAATTATAATTATATTTATAATTGTCCCGTCAACTTAAAACAAAAATTAGAAAGAAAATAATTTTTTTCATTTCATAATTGACAAAAACTAATTACTTTTCTAAATAATTAAATACAAAAACGTAGAAATTTTTTTTAATTTTTATTATCAATTACTAGTATAAATTTTCATTTGTAATTATTAATAAAAAATTTCTATTACAATTGTAAAATTGAAAAATTTTTTTAAAAATTTTTCCTGTTAATTTAAAGTAAACGAAATTTTTTATTTACAATTTTTAATAATCAACAAAATTTGATTTTACTTTTAAAAAAATTTACATGAACAATTCCCAATGAATTAAAACCTCACGAATATAAACTAAAAATGAATTCAAATAATTTAAAACAAAAGTAAAATAATTAAAAAATTTTAGTAAATTATTATTTAAAAAAAATTTCTCAATTTGAATTTTGTAAATAAAAAATTGTAATTTTAAAATTGTTTAAAAAAAATTAGAATATTTTTTAATGAATATGAATTATGAATAAATATGAATTTATACTTAGAATTAAAAGAAATAATTTCATAAAATAAAATAAATAAGTAAATACAGAATTAGTTTAAAAAATAATTTATTTTTGAAATTTTCCCTTTTTTGTCATTTTCAAAGTAAAACTATATACTTTAAAAAAAAAAATTTTTTTTCTTCGTAAGAATTTTTGACGATATTTTTTTTTTTTATGCAAATTAAAAAAATTTCTGTGACAAATTTTTTGAATTTGAATTCTTACCTCGTAAACTTCTTTGAAGCAAGCTTTTGGCTTTTCGAGAATGATACCGCGTTGAACACGTTCAACAACTTCGGTGTTCTTCAGTCTTCCGTAAGGCATTTTACCGCATGTAAAAATTTCCCACATAAGAACACCATAAGCCCAAACGTCGGACTTGGAACTAAATCTAGTGTAATTCAAAACCTCGGGAGGTGCCCATTTTATTGGGAATTTGGTACCACCGCTGCTAGTATATTGGTCATCCAGAACATACCTTTAAAAAAACAAAAAAAAAAATTATTCTTCTTATTTCACAAATTGTAATTGTAAAAAATTTATAATTAAAAATTTTAATAACAATTTTAATTGAAATCTTCTTTTTTTAATTAGAAACTAGAAATTTTTTATTAAAAAAAAATAAATCGAATAAATTAATTGAATTAATTAATTAAAAAAAAAATAAATTAATAATTCTTTGAATCAATAAATTAATAATTAAAATAAATCGACCTAAATTGTATAGGTAATTGTAAAAAAAAAAATTAAAATTTTTAATTACAATTTTAATTGAAACATTTTTTTTATTAGAAAATAATAAAAAAAATAAATTAATAATTCTTTAAATCAATAAATTAATAATTATAATAAATCTACCTAAATTGTAGGTAATTGTACAAAAAAAAATAAAAATTTTTAATTACAATTTTAATTGAAACAATTTTTATTAAAAAAATTGTAATTGAAATTTATTTTAAAAAAAAATGTTCCGAATTTTATTAAATTATAAATCGGAATTTTTATATTGAAAATTTTTTTAATATTTTTAATTGGTTAATTTAACTAATAAGGCAATTAATAATTTTTTTTTAATTATTAATTAGAAGAAAGTTTTAAAGTTGATAATAATAATAAAAATGATATTATTATTAATAATAATTATTATAATAGTAATAGTAATAATAAAAATAATAATTATAATAGTAATAATGAATAATAATAATAATAATAATAATAATAATAATAATAATAATAATAATAATAATAATAATAATAATAATAATAATAATAATTTCGAAAATTATATTTGCAGGTAAAACGTGTTATTTACGACAACGACAAAAGCAAAGCGAGAGTAAAATAATCATTACAAGATCTGTAATTTCTCTTGGAAACACTTAAGAGTGAGTAAAACAGAAAAAGAGAGAGAGAGAGATACACGAAAACTTGAGAGACAAAAGTGATGCAGCGAAATGCGTTACCTGGCAAGGCCAAAATCAGCTACTTTGACTACGTTTGCAGAACCAACGAGGCAGTTTCGCGCCGCGAGGTCCCTGTGGATGTAATTGTGTCTTTCCAAGTAAGCCATTCCCTTACAAACCTGAAAGCAAGAATACACGTGGGATTATGTTATCTCGCTGACAATGACTTTTTACCCAAGAGAGAGCGAGAGAAAGAGAGAAAGAGGAAAATAGAGAAAAAGCTTCTATATGCAGCATCACTCGCTTACAAGACAATAATACTGGCAAATAAAGAATAATAAAAAAAAAAAAAAAAAAAACGAAAAAAAATCAAGAGCCAGAGGAATCGATTTTTAAGGGATGGAAAAAAATAGAAAGAGAGAGAGAGAGAGAGAGAGAGAGAGAGAGAGAGAGAGAGAAAATAGAGCATTGGTGTGGAAATTGGGAAAAATAGTCTCTCTCCCTTCTAGGAAAAATTTTTTTTTTTTTATCGACCACTTGGGAAATTGTGTAGAAAAAAAAGGCATTTTTTTTTTGTTTTTATATCGCGGTTTATTATCAACAATTAAGGAAATTTTTTTTCTTTTTTTAATTATTTAGTCACTTCTCAAGATCCTGGAATTAAAATTGACAAAATTTTTCCATTTTAATAAAAATTAAGTTTTCATGATTTTTTTACATTCTTATCATAATGAGAAAGTATTTATTATTATTATTATTATTATTATTATTATTTTTATTAAACACCAATAGAAATAATTTCTTGGTGTTTTTATTTGAGACAAATAGAATTTATTTTAAAGCAAAAATATTTATTTGTTTCGGAGCTTAATATAAATTTTTATTTGTTTTAAATAAAGAAATTTATTTAGCATGTAAATAAAATTTTTATTTAGTGCGAAATTTCTCGATTTTTTAATAAAAGTTAAATTTTATTAATTCGATAGTAAAAATATTTTTTTGTTTTTTTTTTACTATTAATTAATCAAATTTTATTAATTCAAAAGCAAAAAGTGAGTTACTAATTCAAATTAGTTAAAATTTTTACTAATTCAGATTTAGAGAGTTAATAATAATAATAATAATAATAATAATAATAATAATAATAATAAAATTTTTTTTGAAGTATATTTCAATTTATAAAGAAAAAAAACCGGGACGCATGATTATTTTTCAATAATCGTTAGAATTTTCATTTTATGGAATTTCATTTGTCGAAAATTATTTTTGAGCCGAATTTTTATTTATTATTTTATTCGAATTAGTATTTTGCAGAATTTTCATCAAAACGATTTTCTATATTACAAAATTTTTATATAACCAAAAAATTCACTTCACAGAATTTTTATATAACCAAAAAATTCACTTCACAGAATTTTTATATAATCAAAAAATTCACTTCACAGAATTTTTATTTACTCGAATTTTCATATTTAACATAAATAGGCGCATTTTAAAGAATTTTTATTGGGTAGAATTTTTCATTGGATAGAATTTTCATTTTATTGTTTCAGATGAATTTTCATTTGTTCGAATTATTATTTAATTGAATTTCCATATAATCGATTTTTCATACTACAGAATTTTTAAATTAACCGAAAAATCATTTAACAGAATTTCTAATTAATAGAATTTTCATTTGTCCGAAATTGCAAATGTCCGAACAATCGCTTTTTGGCGCGATTTTTAAAATCAACCATTCACAATTTTATGGATAATTTTTGATTGGTTGATTTTTAAAAATCGCGCCAAAATCGATTGTTTATTCGGACATTTGCAATTTCGGACAAATGAAAATTCTATCAATAAGAAATTCTGTTAAATGATTTTTCTGTTCAGTTAAAAATTCTACAGAAAAAGTCGATTTTGAGGAAATTATATTAAAATAATAATTCAAACAGATGAAAATTTATCTGAAAATTAAATTTTGTGCAATGAAATTCTATGCAATAAAAATTATTTAAAATGTCTATTTATGTTAAATAAAAATTCTGACAAATAAAAATCCTGTGAATTGAATTTTCGATTATATAAAAATTTTGTAATATAGAAAATCGTTTTGATAAAAATTCTGCAAAATACGACTAATTTGAACAAATAAAAATTCGGCTCAAAAATAATTATGACAAATGAAATTTTTATTTGTTTAAATTAGTATTTTGCGGAATTTTCATCAAAATGATTTTCTATATTACAAAATTTTTAAATAACCAAAAAATTCACTTCACAGAATTTTTATTTACTCGAATTTTCATATTTAACATAAATAGGCGCATTTTAAAGAATTTTTATGGGGTAGAATTTCTTTCGATAGAATTTTCATTTTATTGTTTCAGATGAATTTTCATTTGTTCGAATTATTATTTGATTGAATTTCCATATAACCGATTTTTCATATTACAAAATTTCTAATTTGATAGAATTTTCATTTGTCCAAAATTGCAAATTTCCGAACAAAAATAATCGATTTTGGCGCGATTTTTAAAAATCAACCAATAAAAAATTATCCATAAAATTGTGATTGGTTGATTTTAAAAATCGCGCTAAAATCGATTGTTTTTGTTCGGCTATTTGCAAAATTCGGACAAATAAAAATTCTATCAATTAGAAATTTTGTTAAATGATTTTTCTGTTAAGTAAAAATTTTGCAGAAAAAGTTGATTTTGTGGAAATTCAATCAAATAATAATTAGAACAAATGAAAAATTCATCTGAAAGAATAAAATGAAAATTCTACTCAATGAAAATTCTTCAAAAATGCCAATTATGTTAAATGAAAATTGGAGGAAATAAAAATTCTGACAAATAAAAATTCGAACAAATAAAAATTCTGTGAAGTGACTTTTTTGGTTATTTAAATATTCTGTAAAATAGAAAATCGTTTTGATGAAAATTCCCCAAAATACTAATTCAAACAAATAAAAATTCGGCTCAAAAATAATGATGACAAATAAAAATTCAAAAAATAAAAATTCTAACTAATGATTTTTAGAACATAATCATGCTTCCCAAATTTTTACTAATTCAGATTTAATAATGATAATAATAATAAAAAAAAAAAAAATAATAATAATAATTAATAAATGTTTAATAATAAAAATAATAATAATAAACAAATTTTTTTTGAACTATATTTTAATTTATTAAGAAAAAAAATCTGCTTTTTCGTATTTTATTGTCAGTTACTATCAATGTTACTTCAAATGATTTGTTTTTAATGTCAGTAGCGTATGAGTTTCAAGGGGAAGGGGGGAGAGAAATAAAATCCTTGTATTGGTTTTGGAATAAATTTTTTCTTTATGTCCCTATATGAGAAAGATGGAAAAAAAGGCAATAGAGATAGAGAGAGAGAGGGAAAATGAGAAAGAGAGTGCGATTCTCCCGAGAAATAGGAAATAAAGTTTCAAAAAAAAGCTTCTCACAAAATAGTGAACTTGACTATATTTTCCTTTTTCTTCTTCTTCTTCTTTTTTTTTCTTTTATCTTAACTCTCTCTTTTTTCTTATATTTCGTTTCTCTCTTTTTTTTACGAGAGAAAATCGTCGCGTTAAGTAATTCCTTGAGAATTCCAATGGAACTGTTGCATTTCATGATAAAGAGAAAAAGAAAAAAAAAGAAAAAAAAAAAGAGTTTATCTGCGACTGCAGCAGGTCCATTTGCAGCGGAGGAAAATCATTCGAGTGTCGTTAAATTTCTTTTCATTGCCACTTTACTTTTCGTATAGAGAGGAAAAAAAAAGAAAGACAGCGAGAAAGCAAGTTCCTCAAAATCCTTGTTCAGAAAAGTATAGCGCAATTCTTTTTTTTTTTAAATTGACCCGATTTTTGAATCCCTCAACTTTAATTTTCAACTTTATTTTATTTTTTACTTTTGTATCTGGATATATATAGTTCTTAACGGATTTCTATATAGAAAGATGAGGCGCATTTCTATATAATTCATAAGTTGAAATTTTCATTTCAAAAATTTTTATTATATTGAATTTTCTATTAGAAGAATTTTGATTTTTCAAATTTCTTTTTTAATTATTATTTTTCAAATGTTTATTTTTCAAAATTTTATTTTTTAAATTTTTATTTGAAAATTTTTTTTAAAGAATTTTTATTTAACAGAATTTTTAGTTAAATTTTTTTAATTTCACAGAATTTTTATTTACTTAAATTTTCTGTTTAAAAAAAAAATTATAATTTGTAAATTTTTAATTTAGCAAAATTATCAACAGGAAATTTTTCTAATAAAAATTTTTTTCAAAATTAAAATTCTAACTAATTAATTTTTATGAAACAATTATGCGCCTCAAATAAATGAAAAAGAGGTAAAAAAAAAAGAAAGAATAATATTTTTTTATATTTTTTTTTGGTAACTCACCTGAATACACATATCCAACAAAAGTCCGACATTTGTTCCAAGAGTAGTTTCGTGTCGACGGAGGTAGTTTAAGAGCGATCCGTGTCTCATGTATTCGGTGACTATATAAATTGGTCTATCTTTACTACAAACACCGTAGAGTTGGACTAGGTTTTGGTGTTGTAGTTTCCTAAAAGAAAAGAAAGCAAAAGAAAATTTTAAACGTTGCACATACAATTTTACATACAAATTTATTACTATTTATTATTATTTTTATTAATATTATTATTTTTATTAATATTATTATTTTTATTAATATTATTATTTTTATTATTATTATTATTATTATTATTATTATTATTATTATTTACAATTTTATAAAAATTTAATAATTTTTTCAAAAAATCCGCCATTTTTCATTTTGAAAATCAACATTATGGCGCTCTCACACCTTTTTGGCTGCTTTAAGGTTACCGCATGGCAACGCACGGGTGTGAGTGAGACAGAAAATTTTTCTGTCGCACTCACTCTCATGCGTTGCCATAGTAACTTGCAAGCAGCCAAAAAGGTGTGAGAGCGCCTCAAAAATTCATATCAGCAGAGATAAAAATTTTAGGTTAAACTATTTTTTTTTTTTTGTGAAAATTGCACAACTGGATCTTTTCAAAATTTTTAATAAAATTTAATTTTTAATGATAATTTTATTTGGTATTAAAAATCAATTTTTTTTTGGTTTTGAGGTTATGTTAATTGGATTAAAGTGTGCGCTTTAAAATTTTTCATTAAAAATTCAAATTGAGTCGATTTGAAAAACACGTGGTCGTACAAAATTTAAATGCGCATGCGCGTCTCTTTCTGTCCTTCTCACTCTTATATATATATATTCACAATCGAAACTTTTATTAAAAAATAATTGAAATAACATTTTAAAAAAAAAAAAATATTTGTATATTTTTAATTATATTATATTTTATTTATAATTTAAATAGTAATTAAAAAATAAAAAATGTTATTTTATATAGTTTTTTTTATTATTATATTTGTTAAACGTTTATTAAAATGGCGGGAATACATTTTTTTTCTAGCAAATATTTGTATATTTTCGATTATTTGAAAATAAATTCTAATTGTAAAGAGTAAAGTAAATGTAAAAAGTAAATTTTAAATTGCCTTAAAATTGATGAAAATTTTAAATTGAGTAAATTTGAGAAACACGTGGTCGTACAAAATTTAAACGCGCGTGCGCGTCTCTTTCTGTCCTTCTCACTCTTATGTATTCACAGTCGAAATTTTTTATTAAAAGAATTCAAATAATATATTTCTTTTTAAACAAATTATTTGTATATTTTTAATTCTATTATATTTTATTTATAATTTAAATAGTAATTAAAGAATAAAAAATATTTTTTTTTTGTCGAATTTTTATATTTTTTAAACCTTTATCAAAATGGCGGGAATAAATTTTTTTTATTTTCTAGCAAATATTTGTATATTTTCGATTATTTGAAAATAAATTCTAATTGTAAAGAGTAAAGTAAATGTAAAAAGTAAATTTTAAATTGCCTTAAAATTGATGAAAATTTTAAATTGACTAAATTTGAGAAACACGTGGTCGTACAAAATTTAGACGCGCGGCCGCGTCTCTTTATGTCCTTCTCACTCTTATGTATTTACTATCGAAAATTTTATTAAAATAATTGAAATAATATTTATTTAACAAATTATTAAAATATTTTTGATTATATTATAAATTTTATTTATAATAAATATTAATTAAGAATTAAAAAATTTTGTTTTTCTCAAATTTTAAAATTAAACTTTTATTATAATGGTGGGGATAAATTTTTTTAAAAATTTTTTTTAATTAATATTATAATATTTATAATTGTAATTATAAATAAAAAAAAAATTTTTTTCAATTTTTATATTTTATCTATGAGAAAAAAATATAATATTGAAATAATTATATATAAAATTAATATTAAAATTACATAAAGAGTGAGAGAGAAAGAAAAAGAGACGCATTTCCCTCTCTCTGTCCGACAATATCATAGCGTCATGTGATTGGTGGAAAATTCAAAATTATTCTCGCGCGTCTAAATTTCACACGATCACGTGGTTTTAAATTCACATTTGTGCTTCATCAATTTCATATGGGGTGTGGGATCATTTCTCTAGCGTCGGTCATAGACAACGGTTCAAAATCGCAAGTATTATCATCGGGCATGATTTTTAATGACCACGTGTTTGTGAATAATTTTTAATTCTCTAAAATCAGTGAATTTTAGCTTTCGGGAGTGTTTCGTAATTTTTTTTTTATTTAAACCCGCGATCGAGTAATATTTAGGGATTGAATTTTTTTTTTGTCTCGTCAATGGCTTCCTGGTGTCACGTACCTCAATGATAAGGGCGAAAGTAAAAAAGGGTATCTTAACTTTGAAGTACACAAAATTCTTGCAAAAACTTTTTAGAACTCGGTCTATTTTTACGGTTATTTTTCACATTTTTCAAAATGGAAATTTAACTTGAAAATAGGGATCTCCGAGGGTTATTTAGTTTTGAAAGAATCACCTTGAAGCTGTTATTAAAAATTTTTTAGAGTCAGTGTTAGCTTCCGGGAGTGTTCGCAAATTTTTTAAATCCGCGATCGAGTTATTTAGGAAGTATTTTTTCAATATTTTTATTTTTAAAGTAAAATAATTTTTTTAATTTCGGGAGTGTTCGAAAAATATTTAAAATCGCGATCGTATTAAATGAAAGTATTTTTTTTCCTAAGTTAACACGTGGTCCAGGAGTGTACGAAATTTTTAAAACCGCGTGTGATTTTTTTTTTTGCTGCCAATTTTGGAAACCACCGTTCGAGTGCCGCTCCGGGATGGAAATCGGGCATGGGCGAAGGGTGTCCACGGTGAGAATTTTTTTTTTTTTTAATTATAATTTTAATTTAATGAAAATAATAATTTAATTTAATTTTTTTAATTATTATTTTTTTTATAATTATAATAATAATAAAATGTAAAAAATGGCAAATGAAAAAAAAGTACAGGGCCGTATGAAGAATTTTGATGATTTATTTTAACTTAATTAATTTTTAAATATTTTTTTCTAATTTTTTGAATTTTTTTTCTAATTATTGAATAGTACTTTTTTTCTTAATTTTGGCGATTTTTTCCTAATTTTCTTTTTTTTCTAATATTTTTCTCCCTAATTTTTAAATGCACTTTCCCCCATTTTTTTAGGTATTCCCCCTCCCCCTTATTTTTTTTCTATTTTCTTAATATTACTTTTTACTAATTTTTGAATATTATTTTTTACTAATTTTTGAATTTTTTTTTTACTAATTTTTGAATTTTTTAAAATAATTTTTGAATATATTTTCCCCTTATTTTTTTAATATCTCCATTTCCGAATATTTTTTTTCTGATTTCTAACTGTGAGAATTTTTTTATTTTTTATTTTATAATTATAATAATAATTAAATGTAAAAAATGGCAAATGAAAAAAAAGTACAGGGTCGTATGAAGAATTTTGATGATTTATTTTAATTTAATTAATTTTTTAATATTTTTTTTCTAATTTTTGAATAGTACTTTTTTTCTTAATTTTGGCGATTTTTTCCTTATTTTTTTTTTCCTAATATTTTTCTCCCTAATTTTTAAATGCACTTTCCTCTATTTTTTTTAGGTATTCCCCCTCCCCCTAATTTTTAAACATTATTTTTTTTCTATTTTCTTAATATTACTTTTTACTAATTTTTGAATATTATTTTTTACTAATTTTTGAATTTTTTAAAATAATTTTTGAATATATTTTCCCCTTCTTTTTAAAAAAAATTTTATTTTATTTTTTTTAATTTCCGAATATTTTTGGTATTTTTTTCTGATTTCTAAATTTTTTTTTTCTTTTTGAATTTTTCAGACTGAAGGACAGGAAGGAGGATGCAGAGAAAGCATGGCCCCTGCATAGTTCCCCGGTCTCCCCGCATAGAAGAGGGGCCACTGGGGGACTGGTCCCGAAGAGGCGATGCTGCCATCGCTCCGTCGAGGTGAATCCGCGATTGGCAAGTGAATTTTATTTCTGAACGTAGCGACACAACCTGAAATTGTTTAATTTCTAAAATTCTATATTTTAGAAATTAATTATCACAAATGGCAAACAATAATTTTAAATGTAGGAAAATTTTTGTATTTTTACATTTAAAATTTTGTTGTTATTTTATTTCAGGTTCACATATATGTTTTGGATAAAACTCCCCATTTTTTTCTGTTTAATATATTAATTTTTTTGCAATATTAAACAATTTTTTCTTTTTTTTGTTTACAATATATAGTTTATAAAAAATTTTTTATCAAACAATTTCACAGTAAATTATTAAATTTTTTATTATTAAATTAAAACAAAATATTTATTGTAAAAAGAAATTTTTTTTTTTTTTTAGTAAAAATAATCTAAATTTTGCTATTGAAATATTTTTATTCATATAAATATAATAATTTTCTTTTGAGAAATAAAAAAATTAAATTTTCATGAAATTTCATTACAAAAGTAAAGAATTTTAAAATTTTAATAACATGCCCTCCTTGAATGTTTATTGAGTGCTTTGTTTGAGTGATTAAGCTCAGGTGACGGATACGTTCCGGGACGTAATCCCTAGTGTAGGTCAATTTGCACCTGGGCGGTATGCGAAAATGATAATCGTTAGAATTTTCGCGTTTTTTAGATATAGCTAGGGAGGTCGTTTTTTTCTAGAATGAGTGTGAAGTAAATTTTTTTCAAAAAACAGGTATAGGCAGGGAACAATTTTTTGTGTGTGAACGTTTTTAGTTATAAAAAATTTTTGCATGATTTATCTGTGTCGCTATCTTCTATTTTTTCATTTTGTAAAAAAATTTGTTTATTTACACTTTTATTTGGAAAAAAGTTCCGTTTTTTTTCCAAATAAAACTGTAAATGAGCTGAAATATTTTGTTTGTATTGTGTTTAATAATTTTTCTTTCAGCAAAATCATCGTGGTGAGAAATTTTTTTTGTTGTATTTTTACATTTTTTTTCTGCTTCTGATTATTAATATGAATATTTTTTCCATGTTGTTATACTAAAACAGAAACAAAGTTACAATATTGTAACTTTTTTTCTCTTTTTTTATTCTGAAAAAGAAACAAAGTTTCTTTGTAACTTTTTTTCTTTTTCAGACATGTACTAATCAAAAATTTTTACTGTGTCAGGTATTTAATAATAAATTTTTTCTGTTTCAGGTTTTTAATAATGAATTTTTTCTGTTTCAGGTTTTTAATAATGAATTTTTTCTGTTTCAGGTTTTTAATAATGATTTTTTTCTGTTTCAGGTTTTTAATACACTGGAGTCTCCCAAGAGAGGACTTCTGAAGAGAGGACTAAGTAGTGACGCGGCGCGGTAAGGAGTGAGGGGGGAAGAGATGGGCGGGATCAGAAAGAGGAACGTGAACTCAGGAGCGTTTGTTTTTAGTGTACCTTTCTCGCGCAGTGTTTTATGTGTGTAATAGAATGTATGTAATAGAATGTATACGGCCCTGGAGTGTTTACAATTTTCGGCGTCAAGGACGAATTCCGTAGAGAGGTCCAAGACTCTTCCTGTCCTCTCTTCGGAGACTCTAGTGTAGTGAAATTTTTTTTGTTTCAGATTTCACATTGTTACTGAAAGAGAAAAAAAGTTTGTAACTTTTTTTCTCTTTTTTCCTGAAAGAAAAACAAAGTTACAACGGTGTAACTTTTTTTCTCTTTCAGATGCATACTAATCAAAAGTTTTTTCTGTTTCAGGTTTTTAATAATAAATTTTTTCTGTTTCAGGATTTTAATAATAAATTTTTTCTGTTTCAGGATTTTAATAATGAATTTTTTGTTTCAGGTTTTTAATAATATTTTTTTGTTTCAGGTTGTTAATAATATTTTTTTGTGTCAGGTTGTTAATAATAATTTTTTTTCATTTTCAGGTTGATAATAATAATTTTTTTTCATTTTCAGGTTGATAATAATAATAATACGATTTTTTTCTTTTTATGCTTCTCTTTTGTTCTAAAACAGAAACAAAGTTACAGTATTGTAACTTTTTTTCTCTTTTTTTCTGAAAAAGAAACAAAGTTTCTTTGTAACTTTTTTTCTTTTTCAGACACGTACTAATAAAATTTTTTTCTGTTTCAGGTATTTAATAATAAATTTTTTCTGTTTCAGGTTTTTAATAATGAATTTTTTCTGTTTCAGGTTTTTAATAATGAATTTTTTCTGTTTCAGGTTTTTAATAATGAATTTTTTCTGTTTCAGGTTTTTAATAGTGAAATTTTTTCTGTTTCAGATTTCACATTGTTACTGAAAGAGAAAAAAAGTTACAACGGTGTAACTTTTTTTCTCTTTCAGATGCATACTAATCAAAAGTTTTTTCTGTTTCAGGTTTTTAATAATAAATTTTTTCTGTTTCAGGATTTTAATAATAAATTTTTTCTGTTTCAGGATTTTAATAATGAATTTTTTGTTTCAGGTTTTTAATAATATTTTTTTGTTTCAGGTTGTTAATAATATTTTTTTGTGTCAGGTTGTTAATAATAATTTTTTTTCATTTTCAGGTTGATAATAATAATTTTTTTTCATTTTCAGGTTGATAATAATAATAATACGATTTTTTTCTTTTTATGCTTCTCTTTTGTTCTAAAACAGAAACAAAGTTACAGTATTGTAACTTTTTTTCTCTTTTTTTCTGAAAAAGAAACAAAGTTTCTTTGTAACTTTTTTTCTTTTTCAGACACGTACTAATAAAATTTTTTTCTGTTTCAGGTATTTAATAATAAATTTTTTCTGTTTCAGGTTTTTAATAATGAATTTTTTCTGTTTCAGGTTTTTAATAATGAATTTTTTCTGTTTCAGGTTTTTAATAATGAATTTTTTCTGTTTCAGGTTTTTAATAGTGAAATTTTTTCTGTTTCAGATTTCACATTGTTACTGAAAGAGAAAAAAAGTTACAACGGTGTAAATTTTTTTCTCTTTCAGATGCGTACTAATAAAAATTTTTTCTGTTTCAGGTATTTAATAATAAATTTTTTCTGTTTCAGGATTTTAATAATAAATTTTTTCTGTTTCAGGATTTTAATAATGAATTTTTTGTTTCAGGTTTTTAATAATATTTTTTTGTTTCAGGTTGTTAATAATATTTTTTTGTGTCAGGTTGTTAATAATAATTTTTTTTCATTTTCAGGTTGATAATAATAATTTTTTTTCATTTTCAGGTTGATAATAATAATAATACGATTTTTTTCTTTTTATGCTTCTCTTTTGTTCTAAAACAGAAACAAAGTTACAGTATTGTAACTTTTTTTCTCTTTTTTTCTGAAAAAGAAACAAAGTTTCTTTGTAACTTTTTTTCTTTTTCAGACACGTACTAATAAAATTTTTTTCTGTTTCAGGTATTTAATAATAAATTTTTTCTGTTTCAGGTTTTTAATAATGAATTTTTTCTGTTTCAGGTTTTTAATAATGAATTTTTTCTGTTTCAGGTTTTTAATAATGAATTTTTTCTGTTTCAGGTTTTTAATAGTGAAATTTTTTCTGTTTCAGATTTCACATTGTTACTGAAAGAGAAAAAAAGTTACAACGGTGTAAATTTTTTTCTCTTTCAGATGCGTACTAATAAAAATTTTTTCTGTTTCAGGTATTTAATAATAAATTTTTTCTGTTTCAGGATTTTAATAATAAATTTTTTCTGTTTCAGGATTTTAATAATGAATTTTTTGTTTCAGGTTTTTAATAATATTTTTTTGTTTCAGGTTGTTAATAATATTTTTTTGTTTCATGTTGTTAATAATAATTTGTTTCATTTTCAGGTGGATAATAATAATAATAATACAATTTTTTTCTTTTTATGCTTGTCTTTTGTTCTAAAACAGAAACAAAGTTATTATAATGTAACTTTTTTCTTTTTTAGCTTGTTATTATATAATAGATTTTTTTTACAAATTGTTACTGAAAGAGAAACAAAGTTACAATTTTTGTAACATTTTTTCTTTTTCAGTTTGTGTTAATATAAATTTTGTTTACAAATTGTTCCAAAAAAGAAACAAATTTACAATATTGTAACTTTTTTTCTTTTTTTCCTGAAGGAAAAACAAAGTTACAACAAAGTAACTTTTTTTCTTTTTCAGATGGATACTAATTATAAAACTTTTTTTCTTTTCAGGTGGATACTAATAAAACTTTTTTCTGTTTCAGGTTTTTAATAATAATTATTTTTTTCTGTTTCAGGTTTTAATAATTTTTTTCTGTTTTAGGTTTTTAATAATTTTTTTTCTGTTTCAGGTTTTTAATAATTTTTTTTCTGTTTTAGGTTTTTAATAATTTTTTTTCTGTTTCAGGTTTTTAATAATTTTTTGTCTGTTTCAGGTTTCTAATAATAATTTTTTTCTCTTTCAGATTTGTAATTATGGATTATTTTCTGTTTCAAGTTGTTAATAATGAATTTTTCTGTTTCAGGTTTTTTTTTTTAATAATATTTTTCTGTTTCCGGTTGTTAATAATAATAATAATTTTTTTCTTTCAGCTCTCCCACAGTACGAAAATATATTGTTCAATATTTAAAATATTTCGAATATAAGCCGGCAAATATTCGAAATATGCTAAATATTGCCGAAATATTTTTTTTTACTGTTGTGGCGTGGTTAGGCCTATTGCCCACTTTTCGTCCAATTAAAAATTAATTTTTCAATTTTTAATTGGACAAATTAAAAATTATTTTTTTTTTGATTTTTAATTGGACAAATTAAAAATCATTTTTTTTTTTTGATTTTTAATTGGACAAATTAAAAATTAATTTTTTGATTTTTAATTGAACAATCTGTGTAATGGGGATGCACGTTAAAGAACGCGTCTAGTGTTCCACCTCCAGGGTGATGCGGAAGAGAACACAATTTTTTTTATTTTTCGAAAAAAAAAAATTCCATCCGATTGTTGAAAAAAAAAAAAAAAAAATTCCAATATCGCGATTTTATAAATCTAAAATTGATTTTCTTTTTAACTAAAAATATTGGAACACCCTTTTTTCTTAATTTATATTATAGAAGCTCTGCCATGGCATTAATAATTAATTAATCTCTTTTTCTGTACTTGTCAATATTTTTTCCGATGACCAAAAAAAAAAAAAAAAAAATGAAAAATAAAAACAGAAGGAGAGGAAAAAATATTGAAATATTCACTCACGTCATCACTTTAGCTTCTTCAATAAAATCATCTTCAGACATGGTGCCTTCTTTCATCATTTTGACAGCAACGTCAATTGATCCACGCCAGATGCCTCTTCGCACGACACCAAACTGGCCAGAACCGAGTTCTTCCAATAAATGCAGCTCGGCTGGATCAATTTCCCATTTATCTGTAATGGAAAATCGGAGATTCTCAAGCTTTACATTTTACAGAAAGAAAGAGAGAGAGAGAGGCTTTTGTTATATAGTAGAAGCTATATCTGATGCGGGCAGATTTACTGGAGGTGAAATTTCGCTGAGAACGTAGGGAAAGATTAGTTCATTAAATAGGTGACACTTCAGAAGCGAAAAGAGAGAAAAAGTGGAGGGAGTGAGTAAAAGGGATTTTTAATTGAACTTTTAATTGATAATCAGTTCCTCTGGCATATAAATGACAATTTGTCTTCGTGAAATGAAAATTTTTTTTAAATATAATTATTGACACTTTTACAAAAGTAAAAAATAATTTCAATCGCTTACAAAAAATTGAATGAAATTTTTTTTTATATACCTTTTTTTGTTTTATTAAAAATAAAATATTTATTTTTGTTTTTTTTTATTTTATTAAAAAAAAAATATTTATTTTTGTTTTTTTTATTTTAATTTAATTTTTATTAATTTTATAGAAAACAATAAAAAAAAAGGAAAAATAAATTTGTACAAACATAAAACAAAAGAAATTATTCCACGCGGTTTTCTAAAAATTGATTTCGAATTTGTTTCAAAAATTTATATATAAATTTTAATTTTGAATTTATATACGTAATTGAATTTATATACGTAATTGAATTTTATATGTAGAATTTTATATTGAAACGAATTTTAGTAGCAAAAAAAAATTTTATTTCATCGATATTTTATTTACCTATATTGGAATTTCTATTAAATTATTTTTTTTTTTTAGATTTTACGATTCACTGAATTTTCCATTTAACGGAATTTGTAAAATAAAAAATTTATCGATAACACAAAATAATTAATAATTGAAATATTATTTACAATTTATTTTTATAATATAAATAAATATTTTTTTTAAGTTATAGAAAGCGTTTTTTTAAAGTACAAAATTTGATTATTAATTTTTTTTTCGTTTTTTCAATTTTGGAAAATAATGAAAAAAAAATTCTAAAAAACATTTTTAAATATTATAATAATCGATGATTATTTTTACACTAAATTTTAAAATTAGCGCCAAACAATATTTTTTTAACAGATATTTATTTTTGAACGAATGAAAATTGTTCACAAAAAATTCGGCTAAATTAAATTCTGTTAAATAATAATTTCGGAAAAAAAATAAAAATTCGGCTAACTTAAATTTCTGTTGAATATAACTTCGGCTAAATATATTAATAAATTCTCTTAAATAATAATTTGAAAAAAAATAAAACTTGTGCTACATTAAATTTCTGTTAAATAAAACTACGGGTAAATTAAATTTGTTACATAAAAATTAGGCTAAATTAAATTTCTGTTAAATAATAATTCGACTAAATTAAATTTCTGTTAAATATAAATTCGGCTTAATCAAATTTTGTTAAATAATAATTTGAAAAAATTAAACTTGACCTGAATTAAATTTTGTTAAATAATAATTTGAAAAAATTAAACTTGGCCTGAATTAAATTTCTGTTAAATATAACTTTGGCTAAATATAAATTATGTTCAATAATAATTCGAAAGAATAAAATTTTTGGCTAAATTAAATTTTTATTTAATAAAAATTCGAAAAAATGAAATTTTGGTTAAATTAAATTCTGTTAAATAATAATTCGACTAAATTAAATTTCTGTTGAATATAACTTCGGCTAAATATAAATTCTCTTAAATAATAATTTGAAAAAAATAAAACTTGGGCTAAATTAAATTTCTGTTAAATATAACTTTGGCTAAATATAAATTATGTTCAATAATAATTTGAAAGAATAAAACTTCGGCTAAATTAAATTTTTGTTAAATAAAAATTCGAAAAAAATGAAACTTTAGGGTTAAATTAAATTCTGTTAAATAATAATTCGACTAAATTAAATTTTTGTTAAATATAAATTCGGCTTAATTAAATTTTGTTAAATAATAATTTGAAAAAATTAAACTTGGCCTGAATTAAATTTTGTTAAATAATAATTTGAAAAAATTAAACTTGGCCTGAATTAAATTTCTGTTAAATATAACTTTGGCTAAATATAAATTATGTTCAATAATAATTCGAAAGAATAAAATTTTTGGCTAAATTAAATTTTTATTTAATAAAAATTCGAAAAAATGAAAATGTGGTTAAATTAAATTCTGTTAAATAATAATTCGACTAATTTAAATTTCTGTTAAATAAAAATTCGAAAAAAATTGAAACTTCCGTTAAATTAAATTCTGTGAAATAATAATTCGAAAAAATTAAAACTTGGGCTAAATAAAAACGCGGCAAAATTAAATTCTGTTCAATAATAATTCGAAAAAAATTGGGCTAAATAAAAATTTGGCTAAATTAAATTCTGTTAAATAATAATTCGAAAAAAATTGGGCTAAATTAAATTTTGTTAAATAATAATTTGAAAAAAAATAAAAATTTGGCTAAATTAAATTTCTGTTAAATAAAAATTCAGCTAATTTAAATTCCAGCTAATAAAATTCGACGAAATAATAATAATTTTTTTGTAAATTAATTTTTACAGTTAATTTTACGCTTATGAAATTGTGGAATTTTTTTTCCCCCTCTTTATTTTATTAGCACAAAATTACATATATGTGTGGGGAAAAAAAAAATAATAATAATAATGTTTTCTCACCATGACTTAAACCAGCAGTGGCTGGAACTGGACGATCACAAGGACTCGCTTTCAGTCTACTGGCAAGTCCACCACTGTTATGTTTGTGATAATTGACGAGATCGGGAATAGAAGAGGCGCAATGCTTCTCTGACAGGTAGAATTCTCCTCTTGAATTTTGTTTGATGTGGTAGTGTTTGACATGGGGATGGGGACTGAAATTTAACCACAGGGTAATTCATTAATCCAAATAATTTCCCGTCACTCAAACCAATATCACCACCACCAACCCCTTTCAACGCTATTATATATATATTATAATTTATATATTAAAATTCCTCAAAATCAAAACCTCGATATTTAACTAAATGTACTATGTATTTTTTTTTTTTAATATTAATTTATTGCATTTAATTAAATTTTTTTGTTTTTCATTATTTAAAAAAACGAAATAAATGATTATTAATTATAATGATTATAATTATTAATTATAATTATTTAATATAATTATTATAATTAAATATAATCGTAATTATTAATAATTAATTAAATAATTAGAATAATTATAATCAAAAATTGAATATTTAAAAACTTAATTTTTTGGAAAAATTAAAAAATTTACCTCAGTAAAAAATTCACTTTTGGAAAAATTAAATATTTGAAACATTAACATTTGGAAAAATTAAATATTTGAAACATTAACTTTTGGAAAAATTAAATATTTGAAACACTATTTTTTGGAAAAACTAAATAATTACAAAATTAATTTTTCGGAAAAATTAATTTTTTGAAAAATGAAATATTTAAAACATTAACTTATGAAAAAATTGAATAATTAAAAAATTACCTCTTCGAAAACTAAAATATTAAAAAAAAAATTAAGTAAATAAGAGAAAATTGAATTATTTCAAAAATTAGGTATAGTTGATTAAAAAAAAAAAAAAAAAAATTGTTTTCAATAAATAAATTTGAAATAGACAGAGGCAGTCTTAATAATTTAGAATTTATCGTATATTTAAGACATGAAATGAAATTTGTTTTCATTCGATTTGATCTATTTTCATCATTAATAAATGTAGCTTTAAAGCTAAAAGCTCTCTTTACACCTGAGGAGTGACAAATGTTGAATTGGCAAAGTCTAAAGTGAATAATCGTTGCTAATTTATAATTTTGAATAATGCTGACAAATTCTCCATTATATTAGTTACAAAGATTCTTATTTGAAATTGTACTAAAACAAGGAAACTGAATAAACGGAAAATTCCCTCCGCGAAAGAGGGAAAAGGAATTTCGCAAAATTAAAACATAAATAAAAAATTTAAAAAATTTAAACTTTTTGTAAATGAAAAAATTCTAGAAAAAAAAGAAAGAAATTAGAAAAAAATTAAGTGTATTTTAATGTAAATATTATTAAAAAAAAAAATTAGGGAAAAATTTTGTATTTGTAAATATTAAAAAAAAGAGAAATAAAATATGAAAAAAAATATTTTTTAAACAAGATTTTAAGGATTTTTTTAATGAAAAAATTTTAATTGTAAATTAAAATTAAATTTTGTTAGCAATATTTTTTATTACGTTATTTCCTTTTGAAAAAAAAAGTTAGAAAAATTTGGAGAAAAAAAACAAAAATAAAATGTAACAAAAACATTTAGAGACAAAAAGTTTGGATTTAAGGAAAAATATATCTTTCAAGAGAGACGGAGAGAATAGAAATTAAATTTAAAAAAAAAAAAAAAAAAGTGAGACAAAAGAGTAGAGAAGAAAAAATTGAAAAGTTTCGCGTCTTAGTTTCCTAATTCAATTATTCACTTTAAAGCTTTTCCATCTCCTTCCATGCTTCTTTTTTTTTTTTTTTTCGGTTGTTATATTATGTACTTGAAGGAAACTAACATTTTCGTATAAAGAGAGAGTGTATAGAGGCCTTTAGTGGAGGAATTACGGACGACGAAACAGCCCTCTTTCTCCTCCTGTTTCAGTAAAGACTCTGCCCGTTGCCGCGACATATCGCCAACGTACCACCTGCAAAATGACAAAGAGAATTTTTAAAAAACGTGTCACAAGTACCTCGTTGTAAATTAACAAGCGTGCTATTTTACAAAAGAGAAAGAGAGAAGAAGAAGAAGAAGGAGAAAGATACTCTCTAGTATTATGAAAACGCTTAGCGAAACATCCGCATAAAGTACAAATTTTTTTTTTTCCAAAAAAAATTAAAATTAAAAATTTCCTGTAAATTGGTTTTGAAAATTTTCGTCAATTGTTGTTCTATACAAAAGTAAGAAATTAGTCAAATTTTAACTTGGTTTGCATAAAAAAATCGTATAGGAATTTTTAATTTATTAAATTAATTAAAATTACTTAATTAAAAAATTAAATAATTTAATTTAAACATTAATTACTTTTATTTAAAAATCGAATATTTATTCATTTTATTTATTTAATTATTAATTATAAAAATTAAAAATATTTCCAAATGTATTTCAAAATATGAAAATTGAAAATATCTTCCTAAACTTTAATATTTATTTAATAATAATAATTATAAATATTTAATATTTTATTAATTCTAATTAAATATATTTAATATTTATTTAATAATATTTATAAATATTATTCCTAATAAAAATGATAATATATTTTTCATTTTTGACTTCCTCGGATAATTTTCTTTTTTTTTTTTTTTTTAATTTTATTTGAATAATGAGATTTTTTTTCCAAATAAAATATTTAAATATGAAAGTGGGACAACAATGGATTTTCTAGAAAATGTGAAAAAAAATGTTTTCAAAAAAAAAATTAGTTTCTCTTAACATTTTCTCGCAAATTCATTTGTTGTTCCACTTTTATATTTAAATTTTTATTATTTCTCTCATTTGATAATTAGCTAATTAATTAAATAGTAACAATTTTCTAAAATATTAATTATTTATAATTAAGTAAAAAATTATCAAAAAAAAAAATTTGTTTTACAATTGAAAAAAAAAATTTGCCCAAGCAAAAAACTGAAAAATAAATTTTGAAAAAGAGATTGGAAAAAAATCTTACAAATGTAGATATAATGAAAAATAATTAAATAAATTTTCTTCCTATTTGAAAATACTGATTTTCGAAATAATTCCATTTTTTTTTCTACAAAACCTTTTTTTTAATGAAAATTTTCGGAACTTGTTACTTTTATGTAGGAACAACAATTTACCAAATTTTTATTTATTTATTTATTTATTTTTTTTTTGAGGAAAAATTTACGAGAATCGAGTAATGTTTCGTTTTTTTTTCTTCTCGCGTTTTCCCGTCACTGCTTTTGTATACGATTTCGATTATTAAAATTATTCACTCGACGAGTTTTGTTTTTCTCTTTCGTGCAAACTTTAATTAGCAACGGCGCATAAATTTGCCTTGAAAATTAATATTTTTATCAACTTGATTCTTTTTTCTCTTTTTTTTCTTTTTCTTGTGTTCTAAATATTATTCTATACTTTTTCTCATCATTCATTCTTTTTCAATTTTTTTTTTTCATTAATTTTTAATTAATTAAATTAATTTCTTTTTTTCGATGAAAATTAATTCAATTGCAAATAAATTATTTTAATTGCCTTTTTTTTAAAAAAAAAAACAATATTCTATTTTACGAAAATTCTAATTTACAATGAATTTTATTTTACAATGAATTTTATTTTACAATGAATTTTATTTTGCAAAAATTCTTTTTTAAAAAATTCTATTTCACAAAATTCTATTTTAGAAAATTCCGTTTTAAAAAAATTATATTTAAAAAAAATCCATTTTAAAAAATACTATTTTACAAAAACTCCATTTTACAGAAATTATATTTTAAAAAAAGTGCAAAAAAGTTTTTCAAAATTGTATAATATTATTAATAATAAATAATAATAAATGCTGAATTATCGAAATGTATAAAAATAAATAATTAATTAGTTTTTGAGTAATTTTTTCGAAATAGCAAATTTTTTTTCCATTTTTATTTTAGATTTTTTATTTATAATTTTTGAAATTTATAAAATATTTTTTTTTTTAATGTAATCGAAGACAATTTACAGTTTAAAAAAAAATTGGGACGCATTATTATATTCTAAAAATTATTAGTTAGAATTTTCATTTTTATAAAATTTCATTTGTCATAATTTATTTTTGAGCCAAATTTTTATTTATTCGAATTAGTATTTTGCAGAATTTTTATCAAAACGATTTTCTAAATTACAAAATTTTTATATAATTGAAAATTCACTTCACAGGATTTTTATTTGTTCGAATTTTTATTTACTCGAATTTTCATTTAATATATAATAGAAATTTTAAAGAATTTTTATTGGGTAAAATTTCATTGCATAGAATTTTCATTTGTTCGAATTATTATTTGATATAATTTTCCATATAACCAATTTTTCATGCTACAGAATTTTTAAATTAAGCGAAAAATCATTTAACAGAATTTCTAATTAATAGAATTTTCATTTGTCCGAAATTGCAAATGTCCGAACAATCGATTTTGGCGCAATTTTTAAAATCAACCAATAACAATTTTATGGATAATTTTTGATTGGTTGATTTTTGAAAATCGCGCCAAAATTGATTGTCGTTTCGGATATTTGCAATTTCGGACAAATGAAAATTCTATCAAATTAGAAATTCTGTTAAATGATTTTTCTGTTAAGTTAAAAATTCTACAGAAAAAGTCGATTTTGATTATATCAAATAATAATTCGAACAGATGAAAATTTATCTGAAAATTAAATTTTGTGCAATGAAATTCTATGCAATAAAAATTATTTAAAATTTCTATTTATGTTAAATAAAAATTTTGACAAATAAAAATCCTGTGAAGTAAATTTTCGATTATATAAAAATTTTGTAATATAGAAAATTATAATTATTTAACAGAATAATAATTATAATTTTTAAATTTATAATTTTCTCGAATTTTCCAAAGGTAAAAAATTATTTTGAAAAACAATTTGGAATATTTTTAATTTTTTTTGTATAATTTTAAAAAAGAGGGTTTTTATATTTTCGGAAATTGTAATACCATTTTCAAAAAAAAAAAAAAGAAAGAAAAGATCTCATCGAAATTAATTTAATTTTAATTCACATAAAGGCGTGAGCGCGCACATACTCTAATTTTCAGGAAAAGAACATTTCGGTGAAATAAGTCGCCTCACTTATTGTGCAATGATGCGAAAAATGCGACTATTCCTTTGCACGGCTTAGCATATTATGAGATTGCTAATTCTCTCCATTTTCGCTATCTCATTTTCTTTGCTCGATTTTGTCTCCATTATTATTTAAATAATCCACACTGGGAAGCTCTTGTTCTCTATTTTCTTTTTTTTTCCCTTCTTCTTCCTCCTCCTTTTGTAAAAGTTCATTTTATATTAGGAACAAAGTGCGCAACAGACTTTACGAGAGTTATTTAATTATTAAGAGTGAGAGAGTTGGAAAAAACTTTTTTTTTTTGTCTATATCAACTTTATTATTAAAGAAGAATGAGAAATTAGTATTTTCTTATTCTTCTTTTTCTTTTTTTCCTTCTTTTTATTTTTATTTATTGTACTTACTCGTATTTTTGCAGACCCAGAAGTTCCTTTTCCTTCACGTAATTGCTTGGTATATATCCAATGGAACTGAAAGAGAAAAAAAAAAAAAAAAAGAAAACCGAAACGAGCACGTTTCTACTTTTAGTTTTTCCTGTTTAGATCCAAATACAATAAGCATTTTTCTTGAGGAAAATTAGAGCTTTCATTTTTCTCTACGCGCACGTGTGTGCGAAAAAACAAATCCGATTTTGTTTTTTTTTTTATCCGGAAAATTCAATTTTCTATTTTTGTTTATTTTACTTATTTTACTTATTTTTTTATATTTATTTATATTTATTTATTTTTATTTTCATTTAATTTTCTTTATTTTTTTTTATTTATTATTTGTATATTTTTTTTTTTTCATTTTATTTTATATAATTTTATCATAGTTTTTTCCTACAAAGTAGATGAAAAATTCTTTCGTTTTTATATTTTTTATTATCTACAATATATCGGAAAGTATTTTTAATTTTATTTCAAAAGAAAATTGCGCGACAATTATATTCAAATTTTAATTGTATATATTTGATTAGAATAAAATTTTGTTCGTGAAAAATTTTCATTCAAAATTTTTGTGGATATTTCAATTTGAAATTATTGTTATAATTAAAATTTTATAAATTGAATTTAAAAAATTAATAATTTTTATTATTAAATACAAAAATTATTAGTATTTGTGGATATTTCAATTTAAAATTATTATTGCCAATATTAAAATTTTATAAACTGAATAAAAAAAATCAATTACTTAATGAAAATAATTTTTAAAATTGAAATTTTTGAGAAATTAATTTTATAATTGAATAAAAGAAAAAAAAAGAAATTATTTTCCATAAAAGTAACAAGGAAATAAAAATAAATGAAAAAATGTACAAAAATGAATAAAAGTACAAAAATGAATAAAAATAAGAACAAATAAATGAATATAAAAATAAATAAAATACTTAACAAAGAAATAAAAATGAATAAAAATAGTAAAATAAAAAAACAAGTAAAAATAAATAAATAAAATTGAATAAAAGTAAATAAAAAATAAATAAAACAAAATGAATAAATAAAAAAAATAAAAAATAATAAAAAATAATAAAAAGGAATAAATAAATAAAAAATAAACTAAAGGCAATAAATGTTAATTAAATTAATTAACTGGAATTAAAATCAAAAAAATTCAAACAGATTTTTAAAAAATTGATTGTGAAAAACAATTTTGATAAAAAAATTTTCACTTTTAATTCCCCCAGCGTAAAGATCGAATTTTCCTCTCGAATTTCTATTTAAAAAAAAAAAAAATTTTCTTTTTTTTTTTTTTTTTTTAATTAATTGCTCACCCATTTTCGTCTTTGACTTTCCACCAATGCTCTTGGGAGTCATCGAGAACCTCGTACTCTTTACCCTGAAACGATGAAATGAAAAAGAAGAAAATTATTATACTGTGGGAAATTGATTGAAAAATAAGAATTAGCTGGATTTGATTCGCCCTTTTTTTTTTTTTTTTTTTTTTTTGGTTTTTAAATGGGAGAATTAAAATAAAATTAAAAAAAAAAAAAAAAATGATTGCTCAGAGCTCTATTTATCAACTCTCTGCGCGCGCGAATCAAATTAAAAAGAAATTGAGCACTACGAATGCATTCTAGTGTTAAAAATTTGCTTTCTCATGTGTTCGCGTTTTGTAATTAATTGAATCTTAATTAGTCAGGTAGTTATTACCTTTACGAGTGACAAATCGCCTCCCTCGATGGCTCGGAATGGATAAAGTGCCACCACAACTTTTGTTCTCAGCATCAGTTTCTCCTGGAAGACACAGTCAGATTAGTTTTTTTTTCTGCAAAAATCGAAATACTGATCAATAAATTAATTTTTCATTATCATTATTATCATTATTATTATTATTATTTATTTAATTATTTAAATTATTATTTGTAATATTTTTTTTATTTGAAATTTTATTTTTTATAAATTTATTAATATTAAAAATAATATATAAATAATTTATTTCTTTTACAATAAAAATAAAAAAAAAAAATTCTCTATTAAAATTATAATTAAAAAAAATTTTTAATTAATTTTCTTTTAAATATTTTTTTCTCCAAAAAAAAAGAAAGAGATGAGAACTAAAAAAATGAATTTAATAAAAATACAATGGAAATGACAATGAAAATAGAATAAATGTGAAAATGGGAAAAAAAAGTGGAACTGAAAATAGAAAAAGAAAAAAAAATGTCATAAAAATAAATGTATGTATAAAATAAAAATTATAAGATAAAAGTGTAAAAATAGAATTAAAAAGTAAAACATATATGTATATAAAGAAAAATAATTAAAAAAAAAGTACAATGAAAATTGAGAACTAAAAATGTATAAAAATAAAAAATATGTATAACAAATATAAATGAAAATGCATAAAAAAAAATGAATAGAAAAAAAAAAATTTTGAGTATATAAATATCAAGAAATGAAAAAGTAAGTATGTATGGGAAAAAATATATCTATTGTTATTTTTAAATTGAGAAAAAAAATTTTTTTTTTCTTTCCACGAGGGATTTTTCAATTCATAACGACAAGAGTTTATATATATATATATATATATTTTCAAACGATGATCCGATAAAGGATTTGCAGAGAATTATTTCTTTTCATTTAAAGTTAAGCTGATTAAAATGAGATTTTAATCACTATTATCGATTCTTTTCAAACTTGGCTTGGAGAGTTTATTTTCAGAGAATAAAATTTTTTTTTTCAACTCTCTATTACCTTTAAAAAAATTTTTAAATAAATCCAAAATAGTTTCACAATTTTACACACTATTTTATATATATTTTGTTGGAATTTTTAATTAATTAATTAAAAATAATAAAAATAATAATAATAATAATAAAAAATAAAAATAATAATAATACAAATAATAATAATAATAAATAATAAAAAATAATAATAAAAATAATAATAATAATAATAAATAATACAGGGCGTGTCCGGTTTATTTTTGAAATAAAATAATTTTAAAAAAATTAGAAAAAATTAATTATTTATTTGTAATAATTAGAAATAGTAAATTATTAAAATTAAAAGTTTTGTAGATTCAAATAAATTCTGATCATATGTGAAACAAAAATAAATATTTAAAGCAAAAATAATAGAAAAACACTCGTGAGTTAGATATAATTTATTGTCATGACTTTTTAATTGAAAAAAAAAACGAAAAAAAAGAAATAAAATAATAATGTCGAGAGACGAATAAATGTCAAATGCACACAATATTCATTATTATCAAAAAGGCGATGCATAGACCAAGTTCCCAAAGCTAATTATGCAACTCGCTTTTGCCAATCGTAAAATCCATTCAAGTCCATGAAACTTTTATAATAATCTCAAGTATTCAATTTTATTCTAGTTTGTGGCGATCGTAAATTCACTGGCTTTGACTCTTATATATATACATTACGATCATCATTATTCTATTTTTTTTTTTTTTTCTATTTTCCTTCTTCTTTTTTTTCAAGTTTATCTATTTTATTTCCTGTTTTCATTTTGTTTTTATTTCCTCTTTTTTTTTTTTTTTTTTATTTCTGGTTTTATCATTATTTTTATTTCTGTTTGAATTTTATTTTTATTCTCGTTTTTTTTTATATGTTTAACCCCATTTTGGTGCTTCTAGTTTTTTTTTATTTTTATTTTAGAGTTTCAATTCTTGTTTTAAAATTCAATTTTGGTTTATTTTAATTTGGAATTGGAATATTTATTTTTCTATTAAAGGGGAATTATTTTTTTTTATTATTATTAAAAAGAGATAAAATTAAAATAGTTAAAATTAAAATTAAAAAAATTAAAATTAAAAAAGTTAAAATTATACCTAATTAAAAAATTTAAAAAATTAAAAATTAGAAAAATTAGAATTGTAATTAAATGAAAATATTGAAAATCAACAAAAAAAGTGAGTGAAAAAATTTGTATTATGCGCGTAAAGTAATGAAAAAACTTAGTACATTAAATTTTTTATAGAAAATTGGGAAATTAAATTTTTATTTTAAAGAAGGCAATTTTTCTAAATTTCCCAGAAGAGGAAAGACATTTTTTTTATAAGACATAAAAATATCTAATTATGCTTTTCTTCTAAAAAAAAAGAAACTCTTTTGATTAAAGAAAAAAATTTGCTTTCGAAAATTAAAATTGTAATTGCAAAGTAGATAAAAAATAAAATAAAATAAACCAACAAAATTGAAATTATTAAATTACATTATTTAATTAAGTTAAAAAAGTAGTTAAAAAGTTTTCTAAAGTTTTCAAAAAGTTTGAAAATTAATTTCCAAAATGGAATATCATAGTTTGGAGGCGAGATAATTTTCAAATTTCAAAACAAAATTATTAAATCACAAATTTTGTACTTGGTTGAGTATTTTTACTATTCAAATTTTTTGATTTTGAAAATTTCTTTTTATTAATTTCTAATTATTATTTTTATAAGACGCATGATTATGTTTTAAAAATTGTTAAAATTTCAATTTTATCGAATTTCATTTGTCATAATTATTTTTGAGACAAATTTTTATTTCTTCGAATTAATAATTTAAATAATTAATAATTTTAAAATTCGAGTAAATAAAAATTCGAACAAATAAAAATTCTGTGAAATGAATTTTTTGGTTATATAAAAATTCTGTAATATAGAAAATCGTTTTGATGAAAATTCCGTAAAATACTAATTCAAACAAATAAAAATTTCATTTGTCATAATTTATTTTTGAGCCGAATTTTTATTTGTTCAAATTAGTATTTTGCAGAATTTTCATAAAAACGATTTTCTATATAAACAAAATTTTTATATAATCGAAAATTCACTTCACAGGATTTTTATTTGTCAGAATTTTTATTTAACATAAATAGACATTTTAAATAATTTTTATTGCACAGAATTTCATTGCACAAAATTTCATTGCACAAAATTTCATTGCACAAAATTTCATTGCACAAAATTTAATTTTCAGATAAATTTTCATCTGTTTGAATTATTATTTTGATATAATTTCCACAAAATCGACTTTTTCTGTAGAATTTTTACTTAACAGAAAAATCATTTAACAGAATTTCTAATTTGATAGAATTTTCATTTGTCCGAAATTGCAAATTTTCGAAACAACAATCAATTTTGGCGCGATTTTCAAAAATCAACCAATCAAAAATTATCCATAAAATTGTTATTGGTTGATTTTAAAAATCGCGCCAAAAAGCGATTGTTCGAACATTTGCAATTTCGGACAAATGAAAATTCTATTAATTAGAAATTCTGTTAAATGATTTTTCGGTTAATTTAAAAATTCTGTAGCATGAATAATTGGTTATATGGAAAATTATATCAAATAATAATTCGAACAAATGAAAATTCTATGCAATGAAATTCTACCCAAATTCTTTAAAATTCCTATTATATGTTAAATGAAAATTCGAGCAAATAAAAATTCGAACAAATAAAAATTCTGTGAAGTGAATTTTTGGTTTTATAAAAATTCTCTGTAATGTAGAAAATCGTTTTGATAAAAATTCTGCAAAATACTAATTCGAATAAATAAAAATTCGGCTCAAAAATAAATTATGACAAATGAAATTTTATAAAAATGAAAATTCTAACTAATAATTTTTAGAATATAATCATGCGTCCCAATTTTTTTTAAAACTCTAAATTGTCGTCGATTACATAAAAAAAAAATATTTTATAAATTTCAAAAAATATAAATAAAAAATCTAAAATAAAAATGGAAAAAAATTGCTATTTCGAAAAAATTACTCAATAACTAATTAATTATTTATTTTTATACATTTCGATAATTCAGCATTTATTATTATTTATTATTAATAATATTATACAATTTTGAAAAACTTTTTTGCGCTTTTTTAAAATACAATTTCTGTAAAATGGAATTTTTGCAAAATAGTATTTTTTAAAATGGATTTTTTTTAAATATAATTTTTTTAAAACGGAATTTTCTAAAATAGAGAATTTTTCTAAAATATAATTTAGTGAAATAGAATTTTTTAAAAAAGAATTTTTGCAAAATAGAATTGTTGTAAAATAAAATTTATTGTAAAATAGAATTTTCGTAAAATTGAATATTTTGTTTTAAAAAAAAGGCAATTAAAATTTAAAACTAAAATTTTGTGAAATAGAATTTTTCAAAAAAGAATTTTTGCAAAATAGAATTGTTGTAAAATAAAATTTATTGTAAAATAGAACTTTCGTAAAATAGAATATTTTTTTTTTAAAAAAAGGCAATTAAAATAATTTATTTGCAATTGAATTAATTTTCATTTGTCCGAAATTGCAAATGTCCGAAACAATAATTAATTTTGGCGCGATTTTTAAAATCAACCAATCAAAAATTATTCATAAAATTGTTATTGGTTGATTTTAAAAATCGCGCCAAAATTGATTGTTCGGACATTTGCAATTTCGGACAAATGAAAATTCTATTAATTAGAAATTCTTTTAAATAATTTTTCGGTTAATTTAAAAATTCTGTAGTATGAAAAATCGGTTATATGGAAATTCAAACAAATAATAATTTGAACAAATGAAAATTCATCTGAAACAATAAAATAAAAATTCTATCCAATGAAATTCTACCCAATAAAAATTCTTTAAAATGCGCCGATTTATGTTACATATGAAAATTCGAGTAAATAAAAATTCGAACAAATAAAAATTCTGTGAAGTGTATTTTTTGGTTAAATTCCGTAAAATAGAAAATCGTTTTTATGAAAATTCCGCAAAATACTAATTCAAACAAATAAAAATTCAGCTCAAAAATAATTATGACAAATGAAATTCCATAAAATTAAAATTCTAACGATTTTTAGAATATATATAATAAATAGAGAATAAAAGTAATTTCTTTAAACGTTTTCCAAACATTTTTATAGAAAAATTTTTCTTATGTAATTTCGAAATTAATTATAATTATTATATAATATTAAATTATATAAAAATAATAAAATTTTTCTTTTTTACACTTTTCTGTTCTGTGTTTTTTTTTTCTTTTTTTTATTTGAAGAAAAATTGTTTATTTTATGTGAAGCTAAAACGGTGGCAGAGCTTATTTATATGTATTATATAAAGTTGAGGGAAAAAAAAGAGAAAGAAGAGAAAAAAAAAGTTTTTTTTTTTTTTTTGATGTTGATGTACCTTGGCTTTTGATGAAGGTGTACCTGGTGCACCGCCTGGCATTATTGGAGTTGAAGGTGTTGCTGAAACAAAAGCAGACAATTTTCATGCAAATTGTGTCATCGTATTATCATATTATCGTATATTCTAGATCTCTTCTTCTATATTATATATATATATATTTCTCTCTCAAGGACTCGTTGAGATAAATATTTTATCTTGTCTCTCTCTTACTCTCAAAATTTTCATGGATTAACCAGTTTAGTTAAAGACAATCTTCAACTCATTTTATATAATCGTTTACAGCTTCCAACTAAATTCACAAGTTTACCATGTTGAGAGAGGTAAAATTTCATTTGAAATGAAATTTTCCTAAAAACCCTTCCCCCACAGTATTATGCTTTAAATCCTCTATTTCTCTTTCTCTCTCTCTCTCTCGCTTGCTCGGATTTTGGTCTTCAAATTTCATCGGATTTCCATAGAATTTTTGCAGATTTTCTCTCTATCGTTTTTGATTTTAATTTCAATTTCAATTTAATATTTTCTAATTTATATTGTCGGAATGACAAAATTGATTTTGGAATTTTATTCTATTTCCGGGTAGAAAAAAAATTAATTAAAAAAAAATGTATTTCCATTTTTTTTTTTATTTATTTATTTATTTTTTAAAGTCTTTTGAAAATGAGGAAAAAAAATTTCTATTTAAAAATGAATTTACCAAAAATAATTGAAAAATAATACTGCAATGAATTTTTTTTTTCAGGCAAACAAAAATCGACTGAATTTTTTTTTTTTTTGAATCGGTTAAAATCAAAATTTTTTTTAATTTTTGTGCTAAAAATTAAATGTTTATTTGAAAATAATTTATAAAAAAATTTCTCTGCAATATTGGAAATTTTTATATTTGATTTGATTATTAATATTATTATTATTATTATTAATTATTATTAATTATTATTATTGATTTATTTGATTTGATTATTAATATTATTAATATTATTAATATTATTAATATTATTATTATTATTATTAATTATTATTATTTTATTATTATATTAATTATAATTTTTCCAAATTTGGTTCGATTTTCATTTTCTTTTTAAATTTTTGAATTATTTCAATCTCTTATAATTAAAAAAAATATATTTCCAAAATCCGCTGAATTTTTTTTTTTTTTGAATTGGTTAAAAAATCAAAATTTAATTATTTTTCAATCAAAATTAAATGGAATTTGAAATAAAAATTTACAAAAACCAGTATCAAAAAAAAAAAAAAATTTTACCTTAACTTTCCAATTTTTTATTGAATTTCAAATTTGGCACATTTTTTTTTTTTTGATTCAGCACAAATAATCCATTCTTGTAAATTCACTGTACATTCAAAAATCACAAAAAATTCATAAATTTTGCAAAAAAAAAAAATTTTCAAAAACAAAAATTTTCTCATAAAAAAAAATTTCACACAATTATTAACGTAAAAAAAATTGAAAATTTTACAATTATATACAAATGTTTAGGAATAATTTATTAATAATTATTAAATAATTATATAAATAAAATAATAATTTATAACAATTTCTTTCGTAAGAAAGCAGGAACTATTTTTTTATAAAACAAAAATACTACCAAAAAAATTCTAAAAAATAATTTAATAAAAATTAATTCTATGTTTATATAAATAAATAAAATAAAATAAAATAATTAATTAAATAAAAATAAAATTTCCAAATATAAAAAAGGTTTTTTTATAACGAAAAATTTCCAAAAAATTCATCAAATTTTCCAAAAAAAAACCAAAAAAATTTCAAAAAATGAAAAAAAAATATAAAATTTACAAAAAAATTTCAAATTTTTCTAAATTAAGGGGTCTACCCACTTTAGACGCGCTAAAATGAAGGCTGTTTTCAAGAATTTTTCTGATTGGTTTATATTATAAATATTGACATACAAGTTGTTAGACTAAAGAAATACACTTCCGAAATACATGAAAAAATTTTTGTTATTTGTTTTTTAAAAATTTTATATGCATGCAAATGGTAGTTGAAAAAAAATCCCCCAAAAACGATGGGTCCACGCTGTTGATGAAATCTCTGACATGGATTGTCCGAAACCAAAAAATCAAAAAGTTTTGGATTCAGTGTGGTAATAGCTATTGCGCATATCAAGGGATTTTTTATTTTTGCAAAATTGACAAAATGGCGGACATTTTTCGAAAAAACTAACACACGGTTTTCTTTAATTTTTCGAAAAATGTCCGCCATTTTGTCAATTTTGCAAAAATAAAAAATCCCTTGATATGCGCAATAGCTATTACCACACTGAATCCAAAACTTTTTGATTTTTTGGTTTCGGACAATCCATGTCAGAGATTTCATCAACAGCGTGGACCCATCGTTTTTGGGGGATTTTTTTTCAACTACCATTTGCATGCATATAAAATTTTAAAAAAACAAATAACAAAAATTTTTTCATGTATTTCGGAAGTGTATTTCTTTAGTCTAACAACTTATATGTCAATATTTATAATATAAACCAATTAGAAAAATTCTTGAAAACAGCCTTCATTTTAGCGTGTCTAAAGTGGGTAGACCCCTTAATTAAATAAAAATAAAATTTCCAATATAAAAAAGGTTTTTTTATAACGAAAAATTTCCAAAAATTTATCAAATTTTCAAAAAAAAAAAAACCAAAAAAATTTCAAAAAATGAAAAAAAAAAATATAAAATTTATAAAAAAATTTCAAATTTTTCTAAAAAAACAAAAATTGAAAATTTTTTTCACGTACAAAGTAAAAGAGGAAAAAAATGAAAAATCCTCGGTGAAATGAAGAACAACGAACACACGTCGGCGAAACGACCCGAGATAAACTGGATTAAAATATTAGACCGAGTGTGTATGTATATGTGTATGAATGTGTAGCTCAGAAGAGTGGGGAGGATGGAAGAAAAAAAGGCTGAAAACGGTGGATGAACAAAAAAAAAGAAAAGATAAAGAAAGAAATAAATGGAAAAAGGACGAAACACGTGTAAAGGGCGCGTGCGTACGCGCATATACGTTGGGACATTTTAGAGATTTAAGAGAGATTCTACTGCTGGAAACTGGGAAGTGAGAGAGAGAGAGAAAGAGAGAGAGAGAGAGGGGGGGATCGAGGTTGCATTGATTTTGTCTAGACAGGGTGGAGACGGGGAAATATTCTCTTCCTCAACATTGATAAGAGAACCCTTTGCATGGCCTCAAATAAGCCTACAGATTTCACTACTCTTCCTCGAGGGCTTCGTCACCATTTATCACTCATCTCAAAAAAAAAAAGAAGAGAAAAAAAAATATGATGACATCACTCTGTTTATAATAGAGCCCTCCACCTATATATTGTATAATACTTTTCAATTCAAATAATGATGATCGATTATTATTATTATTATTATTATTTCCTGACTGAGTCATTAGAAGTTATTGAAACAGTAGGAAAAAAAATTTTATAATCAAATTTCGAAGAATAATAGTCGAGGCATTTAGGTTTAATCATAAATAAACGAATCGTAAAAAAAAAATTTAAATTCCACTTATGGGTTTCGAAAAACATGACTGAAAAAAAATAGTCGGTAATGTAGAAATCTAGAAAAATTGTCCCTAATTTCGAAAAAAAATAGTTGTGGCATTTAACTTAAACTTTAAATAAGCGAATGGTGGAAAAAATTTCAAAATATCACTTATAGGTTTCGAAAAACAAGACTGAAAAAAATAGTCGGTAATGTAGAAATCTAGAAAAATTGTCCCTAATTTCGAAAAAAATAGTTGTGGCATTTAGCTTCAACTTTAAATAAGCGAATGGTGGAAAAAATTTCAAAATATCACTTATAGAATTCGAAAAATAATGCTGAATACCAATATAGGTCGGTAATACAGAAATCTGCATGAAAAATGTTGTTTCTAACTTGGAAAAAATGGATGTGGCATTTAGCTGTGACACAATATTAGCGAATCCGAGAAAAATTTTAAAAAAAATTCACTTATATTTTTCGAAAAATAATGGTGGCTAAATTACGATTGTCGATAATACAGAAAACTACCACAATATTTCATAGTCAAATTAAAAAAAAAATAGTTGTGGCATTTAGCTGCGATCCTCAAATAAGCGAATGCTATGAAAATCTTACTAATACCACTTACAGTTTTGGAAAAATAATATCTACAAAACTGCGTTTGTCGGTAATGCAGAAATCTACCATAAAATATTTTGTCAAATTGAAAAAATAGTTGTGGCAGTCAAATTAGATATTATACTAGCGAATGCAGCAATAAAATTAAAATTTATTTTCGATTAATAACGGTGACGAAACTCTCTCTCGTCGGTAATGCAGAAATATAGCAAAGAATTTATAATTGAATTCGAAAAAAATAATCGTGGTACTCAGGCTAGACGCCATACAAGCGAATATTGCAATAAATTTAAAAATATATTCTATTTTCGAAAAACAGCCACGTCGAAATTTTGTACATCTGTCGGTAATGTAGAAATTTACAACAAAAAAAATTGTAGTTAAAATCGAAAAAAATGGTCGTGGCACTCAGGATAGACGCTAGACAAGCGAATGCTGCAATAAATTTAAAAATAGCTTCTATTTTCGAAGAACAGCGACCACTAAATTGTAGGCTTGTCGGTAATGTAGAAATCTACCGAAAAATTTATAATAAAAATCGCAAAAAATAGTCATGGCACTCATGTTAGACGTTAAACAAGCGAATGCTGCAATAAATTTAAAAATAGCTTCTATTTTCGAAGAAAAACAACGACGAAATTGTACGCCTGTCGGTAATGTAGAAATCTACTAAAAAATTCATAATAAAAATCGCAAAAAATAGTCGGGGCACTCAAGTTAGACGTCATACAAGCGAATGTTGGAATATATTTAAAAATAGCATCTATTTTCGAAGAAAAACAACGACAAAATTGTACGCCTGTCGGTAATGCAGAAATCTACCAAAAAAATTAATACTCAAATTTAAAAAAAAATCGTCGTGCCATTTATCTCATGCATCAAATAAGCAAATACTAGGAAAATATTAAAAATACGACCTAGAAC